CTTTTTCTTTTTCTTCGTCACTTTCCAAGTATGCACGAACACTCGGCTATTGAATCGTGTCCAATGGAGTGTCATTCCCCATTCCGTTCCGGTTTAGCTCTCCACCACGTGGTGATGCCCACGGACGTGAGGCCCAGCCTTGCTGAAACCATCCCTGGTTCGTTGCTGATGTACGGCATCGGCCGCTGATTCTCGCGTGTTTTTGGCCGCAAAACACAGGCGAGCCCGAAAAAGAATTTTTTTTGACTGTGTGGGCAATGGTAGGATGCGCGGGCGGGATCGCCAGCAAGCGTCTATGGTTCGCAGGTGCGAAGGGAATTTTTCTTTTCTAGGCAGGGCTCACGACTAACACGGCACGCCGCATCCGCCTCGTGTGCCAGCGGCACATAGGGACCTATAATAAAAACCCGTTGGAATCAGCGCCGCCGCTCGCCTCAGCCGTTATGACAAGTCGACATCGATCCCGCAGGTTGACACGAGTTGGCACGACAGCTGGACCATGGGGCTGGGACGGGAACCAGAAGAAACGCAGCCAGCCACACGGTTCCCAAAGGAAATCGAGAAAAGACGAAAAAGAAAGCAAGAAGGGGGAATGGGAAGTAGGTAGGAAGTAGACAGAATTTGACGAGAAAAGAAAGAGGAAAAGGGTCGAGGAAGGAGAGACCGGGGAAAAAGTAGAGGCCAGGAGAGAAAAAAAAAAAAAAAAAAAAAAAAAAAGAGAAAAAAATAGTTTTTATCTTTTTCTCGAATATTCAATGTTGTCTCATGAATGCTGAACGATTGTCCAAGCACATTTGTCTTCCCCCTGTGCATCAATGTCGATTGATCCAGTTTGGGGGATCAATGATGGGGCCAGGGCCATCGTCGCACCGGGTTCTGATCAGCGCTTCAGACTTGGGGGTGCTCAGCCCAGATTCGACAATGGGAACTTTGAGAATGGTGGAAAGACGTCAAGCAGTTCCAAGGGGGTGGGTGCATTGTGCTGGCTGTCCCCCAGATGACTTGCCTAAGCGACCCCAACTCGTTGACCTCACCCCATCGTTTGCGCCCTCCTGTCTCGCCATCTTCAGGCAAGGCACAAAATATTGTTTGAGCCGATAAGAGAGAAAAGGGACGAGATCGAAAAATCCTCATGGTCATTGTCTGGCCTCAACGCAGATCAAATGCACGCTTCACACCCACTTCGCCTCTTAGTAGCCCCCGTCCTTGAGTTCTGTCAAGGCGAGCCTGACAACAACGGCTCCTTCTGTGAAGGTGCAGTATAAGTGTAGGAATCGCAGATTACCGAGCTTGAGCGCACATCATCCCGCCCCGTCCCAAGCTGTGCTCGACTTGGTTGTGCTGTGCTCCCCACCAAAACCGGCCAACACCAATGGTGGAGGGAGTGGGCAAGGTGGGTAATGCTACTAGTAAAATTTCGATTCAAGTAATACTTCAATTTTGTTGAGCAGGGTTCTATGTCTGGAGGGAATCTTGTTTTTGAGGCGCTGTTCGATCTTGGATATCTCCTTGGGATTGATCTCCAGGAACGAACCCCCTTTCACCTACGATCAGCTCCGTCCACTGTTCGTCTGAGAGCCCTTGAGGCGTTTAGTATCCTGGTTCTGCTACCCATCTGATTGATAGCTCCCGAGGGGCGGTTTCTATCCGCTCTTCGCGGATCGTCTTTGGCGGTCCCGAAATACCACTCGACAACGTGGGCGGCGAGCCAAAACCAAAAATCTGCCCTCAACCTGAAGGCCAAGGACGGTTTTTCCCCTCCGCACTCCTCCCCTTCGCGCAAGCTCACGCCTCACGCCTCATACCTCGCATCGAAATGAAGGGCAGGAAGACGCATGCCGCACCACTGGAGCCTGACACACGTGCTCCGTCAGCCAGAAACACACCCATTCCTCTGTTGGTTCTGTTTTTCTTTGGTGCACACTTGCCTCCTTGCTGCGCTTCCCATCGCCCAGCCTCAGGGAGGGAGGGGGCAGGAAACCCCACGCCCACAACGGGTTGATACGGGATCGGTCCGCCAATGCGTATGCTGTGAAGAAGGGGGCGTGGGCGGCGAGCTTTGTCGCACCAAGGCCCAACTTTCTAAGCCATCTTCAAACTAATGGCCGTTTTTTTATGATCGACGGGCAGTGCGGCAACTGGGAAAAAAGGACGAACGCGGCCGTCCGCCTGGCGGCGGGAGGGAGAGAATCAATCATCAAGTCTACCCAAGTACGGTGCCCCCGCCCACCGTGACCATTTCCCCCATGGCCGGCCCCTCCAAGTTTGAGTAATCTTGGCAGGGCAAAACATTATTATAGCGTGAAGAAAAGAAAAAAGAAAAAAACGTGGGCATCTCCCCTTAGCCTCGCCGCAAACGTGCGTGATGCGTATCAAGTTGTCGGGACGTTGCATCGCGGGCAATAGATCTTCTTGCTGCTATGTAGATACATACCCCTACCACCTTCGTGCAACCCTCACATCAATTGATGGATCGATTTGCGTCAAATGGCGTAGAGCAAGCGTCTCCTCCCCTTCACTCCCAGCCCGGCACCCCAAAGCACGCCCTCCCTACGCCTCAGCACGGAGGCTCAGCTCTAGGTAGGCCTGCCTACCCACCCACTCATATCTTGTCCAGAGCGAGCCGCAACTTCCTCTTTGCAGCCTGAGAAAGAGAGAATCACAAGGAGCAAAGTAAGAAATCCTTCATGTAATGAAAGGGCGCTCTCCTGCGTATCCCCTCACAGTCCGACGCCACCGCCATTGCCGTCATCCTCATCCTGTTCTCTATCAAGCTTGATGTCGCATTCACGCTATGGCCGATGACGAGGCAGGGGCTTTTGCTCATCTCCTCCACGCAATTTTTTCTCTCGCCTCAGGACGGGGCCACGAGGAAGCTGAGCGCCGGCGGTAAAAGGCGGCAGAGGTGCATTTACGGTGAGCGGAAGGATATGTCGGGAATGTCATGGCACGCCCTCGCTCTTTGCAACATACCCTTTGTTGCCCTTGGGAAGGTAGGAAATGTGTCAAAAATCACCAACAAGAAGAACAAGAAGAAAAGGAGACGTCTCCTAGGACCGCGGCCATTCCCATGTTTCGCAGCGGACAACTGGGCAGGTGAGATCGCGCGCGGAGACCCCGGGACCGTAAAACGAGAGCCTTCAAGATTGTGGAGGAACGGGTGTTCCCAATCTCCCCTCATCCACCCCCAATCGGTTGCCCGACGCAATTCAAAATTAAGTAAAACACCAAGAAAAAAAAAGAGCAATGACCAGTGAGCAGGAATGACCTATTACTTCGTATTACTCCTCAGTCACGTTGCGTTGCATCTACCAACAAAAAGAGGCCGCCACCGATTGTAGATTGTGGGAGTTCGGACATTAGGGTCCCAAGATCGCGAGACATCACGCGGCGCAAGGGCGGGTCCGGCACAAAGTGCTGGCGCGCCTCGAGACGCCGACGGCGGGGATCGGAAAGAGAGAAAGAGAGAGAGTGTGTGTGAGTGTGAGTGAGAGTGAGAAGGTGGCTCCAGCACCGATTCTGGCAGTTCCATCCCCGACCCTTGGTGACGGCTTCTTCCCAGAGATCGAAGCTGAATGCACAATGCTCTTTGCTTTTTCTCATTCTTACACTACAGCAAAATCCATGGGTGTATTGTACTCGCTGCTGGCTTCCTCTTCTATGTACTACTTTTCCTCTCTTATCTCCTTATCTTTGTCCCCATAATAATTCCTTGCTTCCTGCCAATATTACTACCTACCATTGCCGAAACGGTGAACGAGGGGGAGGTGGGAGAGAAGATCGCGGTCCATCTCCCACGATTTCGGTGCATATACCGAGGTAGTATACTGTACAAACCCACCGCGTCGGATTCAAGGGGGCCGGAGCCAGCTTACTTTCCCCAGAATCCCAATCAATGCCCCAAAAGATCGAAAGATGTCAAACTCAACTGAGGCACTCGTTTAATGGCCCTCGAGAGGGATCCAAAAGCAAGGAGAGTAGTAGAGAGCAGAAGAGGGACATCGCGTGGGACAAACAAAAAGAGAGGGGAGAAGAAAAAAGAAAACAAAAAGGTGAGGAAAAGGGGGGTCGCAGTTGGAAACGAACGGAATGACAGACTCTTCAAAACGACTTCCAGAAGAGACACATGTCGCGCTCATTCCGCACTCTCCGTGTGAGCGAGACCTACCCACATGCGCGCAATCGCGTGCGGGAGATCGGTCCATACCATACGGAGCAACAAGCAAAGAAGCTGACAAGGAGCATGACCTCGTGTGAATGCATGGCTGGGACGGCCCCGCAGCGTGTGCTCATCTCGGAACGGGTCAAACCAGCGTGAGAGCTGTCACAAACACCATCTCGCCTCCAACCTCGCTCGTTCGCTTCTATCGCTTCTATCGCCCTTCCATTGCATGCCTCCCACATGGCGTTGCTTTTTTCTTTTTCTCTTCCGGAGCTGAGATATCACTTCATTATTCAGGCAGGTGGCTCACCGCCACCGTTGGCGAAGGCTAGTTTCGGGGGCCCACGGCCTGCTGGCTCCGCGCTTATGAATGGGAAGAAAAGGCTCAAAAAGAGACTGCATTGACCTAGTAGAAAATAACGCCTCCGGGCAAGCCGGGCCTCTCTATCTATTTTGCGTCGTCCTTGGACGACGTGGATTGGGTGAGAATATGGGGTATAATGCGCGTCGCAACAAGAGACGATACTAGTATACATAGCTTCGGGGAGTGATGGGGAAGGAGGACAAAGGGGAACAAAGGAGGGAAAAAGAAGAAGAAGAAAAAAAGAAAAAGCAACTCATACGCACACCAGCTCCGGGTGTTTGAACATCTAAGTCATATATACCGTGTAACTGCAAACCCTTCTTGAAAAACAAAACATTAGACGTACATGAGACATATGAAAGGGTGAAAGAAGGATTGACGGGGTGGGGTGTAGGAATGGCGAGAATGACTATGGCGAAGATGACGATATGTGACTGGTCCACAAGCTTCACCATCGGGTAGGCCTCTGCCCTTTTAATACGCATGGGGATGGCGCACCGCAGACGGGTGATGGTGGTGGTCGTGAGGGTGGAAGAAGCCCTGACCCTGGTTGGGTTCGAGACCGGCAGAACCGCCCATGCTATCGGGAGTGCAAGGGCTGTGCATCGAGGCGGCATACGGGGTCGAGAATCCTGCCGGTAGGAGTATTGGCGACTCCCCATTGTAATATCCGGCTCTGGAGACGAACTCGCCATCGACCGGAGGCTTCGCAGGTCGTCGGGCATCATACGGCCGTGTGGGGACTGGTGCATCATGCCGTTGGGCGAATTGAACGAGTGGGATGCTGCCGCTGAGCCATCGTAGGACGGTGAGCCTGGGGAGCCTTCAGACATGCTGGTTGCATAGTACGTGTTTCCAGCGCCTAGCTGATCCCCAAGGTGGCTATTTAGCGGGCCACCAAGTGACGGGGTATTCATCGGGTTGGACGTCGGCGTGCTGGTCGGAATCGATTGCCGCGGCCGGCGGGAACCGCCTTGCTGACGCGGCACGTAAAGCCTTCTCTGCGCATTGATATACTGGGCGAGGACCGGATTTGACCCTCGAGAGATGCGGAAGTTGAAGGTGTCCTCGGACTCCTGCGACATGGGCCTCTTCAGAGTGTTGTGCCCCAAGCCCGCCTCGGTACAGGTGTCGCGGAAAGGTGTGACAAAATCTTCTCGAAATTTACCAGCTTGAGAAGGATCCCTGCCGAGACAGATGGCGTAGTTGATGAGGAGGCAAATGTCTCCGATATGGCGAGTCTCGAGTCGCTTGCGCAAAACACTAGAAGTCTGGGGTGCCATTGTAGCCTAGATTTTGCCAACTCATCGAGCCCGCATTCAGCCCACGCCCTGCTGACTTGCAACTGCCTTAGGAGGTTGCGGATTCGGCTCGAATATGTCCATTGTCCGCTCTGTGCTCCATCATCAAAATGCTTAACCACGTGGCTGACGTATTCCTTGAAGACATGCTGCGCTTCGCTATCTCGGTGTGCCTCAAAAACCTGGAGACAGTTATCGAAGCCGCAAGCGAAGACGACCTGGGGGCACAAGTTGACCTTGGCTTCGTCTAGCGACATGCGTGAACCGCCGTGAGCCTGCTTCAAGTGCGCCTTGTAAGCCGTTTGCCAGTCGAACACGAGCTCACATCCACGGTGACGGCAGTGCCATTGCGCATTCGTGTTGTGAAAATCTTCGATGTGGCGTTTCAAATCGTTCTTCCTTGTGCAAGTTTTGACGATGCCTTCTTCGTTACAGAAAGCGCACATAAAGGAAGCCTTTGGTTTAGATGACGAGGCGGCCAGACTATTAGGTGTTGATGAGGGCTCAGGGGATACTTCTGTGCCAGACACTGAGCCATCGTGGCTATTCCGGGGGTCGTGTCGCCGTGTGACTGACTTGAACCGTGCGTAAGACTGGCATTCTTCGGCGGGGCATTTGACAGGATGCTGCCTGCGATAGAAGCAGCATCAGAGAAGGAGCGTATGCTCGTGCTGCTATCGAAAATGCTAGGCGGTTTATCGGAGAGTATTGATGACGCGTAGGTCGCATTTGATATAATGGACGCTTGGTCGTCTTGGACTAAAGGTGAGGGTTAAACGTAATTAGAGGAGTTGCTCAGATACGGTGCACGCCTAAGATTCTCCCAGGTAGAGAAATGATGGCGACATTGCGATAGGGGTTGAACATGTTAAAGTGACCGACCGCTTGCCCGCGGGTCTCAGAGGTAAGGGAGTTGGATGTGGCGAGATAATAGGAAATAAGCGAAGCAATTGAGAGACTCACCAACTGGGCCCATGACGCCGGCTCTCCGAAAGAGGTGAGAGAGTTCAGAGGCTGAATATCGGCTCGCGAGATATGTTACTAGCTGTTCGTCATTTACCGATTCCGAGGCACGGGTCTGTTGGGCCGGCCCGTTGTCTCCCGGCCATGCTTGAGACGACATATTAGTCGGCGGCTGAAATATAATCCCAAGTCCCTCGATCAAGCTCGCGTCTTTTATCATTCACGCCTGTGGCAAAGGGAAACCAAGAATGAGAGAAAAGGTTATTGTTAGATAAGAGAGGGCGAATAAGCCTCCAGCGATGCGTCTAGAGCGACTTTCGAGTGTGCACGGTTGAGGGTTGGAGTCGAAGCCTCTATTGAGGTTGGTGACCAAGTCAGGTCTAAGTGCAGAAAGAAGGGGAGAAAACGCCGGATATCACAATCAAGTGTCGGTCTGGCGCTAACCGTAGTTTAAAGAATGTTAGCTAAGGATTCGGAAGCCGAGGAGCTGCGACTCAATCGTGGATACGGTTGCAGAACTGTTCCGTTCAATTTTCAGGGAGGGGAGAAGGAAGGGGGGGCGCAAGCCACAGGATGGTGGCATCGAGGCGATAATGGGTAGAGGAAATGTGAGAAGAGACGACGAATTGACTAGCCATGGTGGACCAGCCCAACCAGTGGATAGACGCAGGCTGTTGAACTAGAAGGGAATGATTTGCGTAATATGGAGGACAAGGGCGGGCAGCTGATAGCGAAAAAGACCTCGCCGAGTGTGCAGGGGTGTAGTAATGTATAATGTATCGATAAGGGAAAGATTAGGGTAGTTTGGGGGTCCCAATCGGAGTCGGTGCCAGCACCACAGCTTTTACATCGCCGAGACTTGACAACCCACGAACAACAAGGGGATTGTTCACAAGAGTAGATTGTGCTCAAACTGACACGGAATCCTGCTATCGTTCGGTGGTACCCACCGGACTAGGTTGCCCCAGCCGGACTAATGCCAACACTTGGCCCTCGTTGCTGCAGAGGAAAAGGGAATGGGGCAATGGGGCCGATACAATTGTGCTTATGAGACTGGGAATAATCCACGATACCAATACTGCAGCCAACGATTCCTCACTTTCCCGCTGCACGGCACGCTGGGCCGGGCTTTTGTGCGTGGTGTGGTGTGGTGCGGTGATGATGGCAAGGGCAGGATCAAGATGATGTCAAGGATGGAAGGTGCCGATAGGGGAGCGATACGTGAACAGGGGCAAGGATAACGGGCAGTGGGAGGCGTGGGTGAGAGAGAGATAAGGCCAGGGCAAGTAACTCGAACGTACGTCCTCTCCCGCTGTAGTCTGTACCTTTTTGTTTTTAGTCTGATGTAAGCCACCGCTTCCCAGAGATTCTGTGATCGGTGATGCGGTTGGCACACCCCGGCAGCCCAAGTGTAAAATCGTAAGGCTGAGAAATGACCTCTGATTTGCCCTTTCGGACTTGGAAGAGGACTTTGGGGGTTGTCTATGGTGCTATCGGTTTTCGCAACGTTGATCGTCTTGCAGAGGGGCCGTTTGAGCGCCGGCGAGTACGACCTGCGCGCGACTTGGTAGAGAAAGATAGCGTCGGTATGGTGTGGCTATCCCTAATCCTCGCTCGCTCACGAGGAAGAAGGCTTGATAGTGATAAGACGGGCCTGGTTCTCCTAATGATGATGTTGTGCCGATCGAGGCCGCGCAGGTATATTATTGCCCAGGAGGACTTCTTAAAGGGTTGTGGGCTGGAGGAAGTGGCAGGCGATCCGTGTGGTTGATCGTGAAATTGGCGTGCTGGTGGTTGATCACACCGAGGAACTCTTGACAAGATGATCCGGAGAACAAGGAGGACTAATAAGGTTGAAGAAGGTGAGGGTCAAGGCCGGCCGCGAAAAAGAAGGGGAGGGAAACATGGGGGACTGGGGTGGGAGAGGGGAGGGTTAGATATGATATAGACAGAGAGGCCCAGGGAGTGGAAACCGGTACGGGCCCGGTGTGTGGCCAGCTCTAGTGTCAATCAGTGCTGATCGATCAACGGTGCTTCTGATAATGTCTAGTACCTGAAGATGGTGCCTCCTTCCAGACATTCAGGGATTACGAGACGGAAATACAAGGGGACAAACAACAAGCGCGAGGCTTCTGCAGCTTCTGTTACCTTTTCTGCTCCACAGCGCAGGTCCTGACACCCAGGTTGCGGGTTGCCATTCCATACAAGCAAGGTGCTTAATCTTTCGAAGCAACGAGTACGAGGAACTTCCAGGTTTCAGTACATGTGCTGCACGAGGAATTCCTATTCGCGCCAAGGGACTGATGAAGAGAGACATTGAGCGGGCCATGTACCTTGGTCCCTGGGGTGTGAACTGACGCAGCGAGTGGTATGCGTGGTGCAGCTAAAGGAAGGCCAGTGTACGATGGAGAGCAGATGGTGTGGATGAGCAGATGGAGGACGGGGAGGGATGGGGAGGATGGGGAGGGAGTACAGCGACACGGGGGTGAAGGTACTCAGGTACATTTGGTCATGAGAATTCGCAATAAGATCGTTTCGTGTGAATAATGTCAAGCTTCTCTTTTCCCCCAGAGACTTGTTCCCTGCATGGCACGCATCAATCGATGCGAGGTAATAACTCAGCAAGCTGGGGAGAAAGGGGAAAGGAAAAAGAAAACGAAAAAGAAAAGTGAGTCGAGGCGTGTGGTGGTTGCAGGTTCCAGCGAATGGCTGCGACACATCAATGAGTTGGCTGGGGCTGACAGGATGGTTCGGTGGGCCTTTCCACCAGGAAGACCTCCGCACCATGTACTGGTACAAATCGAGCTACCCATCCACCTCCGCCTTTGGCGCACCTCGCCCATCAATTGATCCAAACCTCTACCCCCCACCTTTGCGGTTGATGGAGCAGAGTTACTTGGGCGGGTACAAGCCAGTGAGGTTGCAGGCGAGCCATCATGGCTGAAAATGGTGTAAGTGATCCTGGGCTTGGCCCATCCGGTTTGCGAAGGGCCGGGGACCACACACCTTCCCCGGCCTTTTGTCCACAGCTTTAGCACCGGGTGGATTACCTGAGAGCTCCTGCACGTTCAGAAGGCCGAATTGGCGCTGGGGTCCGGATGCCGGATATGGAAGGTATAATGTCATCGCTGGAGAGAGAAGGCGAGACACACCACCACACGCGGCAAAATCGTGCTTTCACCACGGGCACATGCGCCTTCCCGCCGTCAATACCGCCTCCAGCGAGACATTCCTCTGTGGGGTGCCTATAAAAGAGATTGGAGGAAGCTCAATGTTCAGGCTGTCCATATTGTCTCACGGTAATAGCGAATACCCCAGCATGGTTCGAGTCACCTACTTCGTACGTCTTACAATGTTTGCCCCATCCTCATTCCGACATTCGCCATGAATGTTAGCGGCTGCGGAGCCCAGAGGACAAAGCTGGAATGGGACCTGCGGAAACAGCGAGGGTGGTTCCAGGCGGAAGGTGCATGGCGCACGAAGATACACATGCGCCGACATCCACACCCTCACACGGGCACCTACTCATGCATGGATTGATTGAGAGTCGAGCTTCCATTCCTTCTAGAATGCGCCAGGTCGGTGGAACTTGCGTCCAAGGGAGGATATTATCCTGAATTTCTCAAAACTTTGGGTCTCTGCAACTCTCGAACTCACTAGTGAGGTGAGGGGAAACGGCGTGTCCGGAATGACCAGGGATCCTGGAGCCTAACACGTACATGAAGCCCATGTCGCTGGCACAGCTTGGGTTGGATCCTCGCGTTGGCGACATGACCATCATTACCTATTCAAAGTATAGCCATCGGATTGTCTTAGCTACTTACCCGAGCGGCGCATTAGCTTGGTCTTGAAGCGGGGGTGAGGCAAGAACGGATAAGCCCAGGTGGGAGGCGCCAAATGGACCTCATCCTTCGTTGCCTTGGATGCAAAAGAAACGATTGATGCCTTTGAAAGATGGAGGGGGAATCCCTCATTCTTTAGAGCGACGTGATGAACTGCGCACAATCCATACTATGAATTATCGATCTTAACGGGAAAATCTATCACAATTCTCAGACGGGAGGCTCAGAACGACCATGGAGAAGCTCTATTTTTCATACTTCATTCGAGTCGAGTTGAGGAATTGGAGCGACGCTAGCCTAGGACCCTGTGAAAGAGGACTGGAGGGTTTTGGTCCGGGAGCTTCCACTGGCCTCACCACTGCCCCCACCACTCCTTGTTCTAAGATTGTTCTCGAAGGCCGCTAAGAGGGAGGAACAACGGGACCCGGCAAATGGTGGCATGGGGCATGCATGGGGATGCAACCGGCTTCTTTTCCCTCCCCATCTTGTCCCCACCCCCTGGAAAAAGACCAGGTTCATCCCCCAAGGGTTGCACTGACTAGCCTGAGGTTAGGCGATGGGTAAAAAGATGCTATTCTTCCATATTACCCGCAACGCTACGCTCCGCTCCCAGAAGACGCTATCCCACAAAGCCGGACGCAGCAAGTCAATCAATTCTCTTGGTTTTTCTTTTCTTCTCTTTCGAGGTTTCACCAGCGGACGGCCGGCGGACTCTAACCTCCACAAGTAGATGCATGCGATCGAGAAGAGAAGCGGAAGCGAGCCGACAAGGGCAGGCATTGATATGATGGTACAAGACGCCTAGTGGCTCCTTGCCAACAATAGAGCAGGTGTACTCCCCCAATCATTGAACGCCTCGCCGTGCCGGCGGCGCTACAGCCGTTCCTGTCGGTTTGCATCAACATTATTTCCCAGATTTCTGGTCAAACAATATCACGACTCATGTGCGGAATCTGGTGGAAGGACGAGAGTGGGACCCCATGCGGAGCAGTTCATCCAAAAAGGTAGCCAACTTGGTTTTTCCTTTCCTTTCCTTTTTCTTTCCCTTTGGCCTGGGAGATAACCTAGCGCCTTTCCTCAATCCAACCATGTCACAGGTTTAGCCGGAGGATGGGCCAGCGAAGTGGAACGAACGCCCGTTTTGTGTAGGATCTGCCGCCGTGGAAAGCCAGCGACTGAGGTGTACTCCGTGGATGGACTTGGGACGTCCTCTAGAGGTGGACGCAGAAAGAGCATTCATACCTGTCTGGCCTCTCGTTGCACATTGAGGTATTCAGAGACGAGAGGGATGTGCAGGCCATCACCGCTCAGTTGGCGAGAATCTCATTTCTATTCGTGATGGGCTGGCTCCCCTTTCTTACGTGGTACCAAAAGTAGGCTTCGTTGGGGTCGTGTGCGAACCGTGACGGTTCGCGCACATACGATAAGACTGGTTGGGGGTTTTAGCATGCCTGAGATCGCGCCCTTGAGTGGCACAGCTCTGGTCCCTGACTGGTTTTGGATTCAATCGCGGAACCGCCGTGTGGGGAGTGAGAAGAAAACACGCTGTCCTGGCACGCCCCTCCCTGCTTCTTCAAACGGAATGGAAAGAAGAGAATTCTCCCCCATGTTCATTTGCCTCTCGATAACGCCTTTGTCCTCCGGGGCAATGACTTCCTTGATGATAATTGTTACTCACTAATACCGAGGTAATATTCCCTGGGCCATCTACGAAAGCAAGGATGTATGGACGCCTCACCATCCATATCAACGCAAGATGCAGGGAGAGAGCAAGGCAGAGAGGAGCGTGCGCAGGCTGGGAAGAAGGCTTCGAGAAGGAGGGTCTGAAGAAAGATAGACATCGTCCAGCCTAGGTTCCTTTTTTGCTTCCTTTTTCCCCTTCCAGAAGTATTCTCCGACTTGGTCCACAATTTCAAGAATCGAGAGAGCTGACCCATCGACAAGCAGAATGGGGAAAAAGAAAGGAAAAAGGAGAGGATTAAAACGCGATGAACGCGAGGAGCGAGCGAGCGGAGTGAACTCAGGTGCTCAAACTTGCACCACGGACCGCTGCAGCAGGATCGGTCACGAGGATCGCCGGCGGTGGCCTATCACTGCAAGGACTTGGTGAGTCGGTGGAATGAAGCTTACAGTGCAGCCACTCAGGATGGTGGGTCAAAGAAAGGGGAAAAGCCACATTGCGGTGTGGTGGGACAAGGTTGTATCGCACAGGCCCCGTCGTTGCGCAAATGGAAATGTTCCAGAAGGTCTGGCATCCCTGTCGGGTTGGGGAGGGGGCGACGTCCCCCAATCCTCTTGGCTTTCTCCCATGTGGAGCAAAGGACAAAGGGAGAAGAAACCCATTAAGCCTTGGACATCATGTCTAGCTGGGTGAGGAGAATACCTATTCCATAAGGGCGAACCCGAGCGAACCCGAGCGGAGGGCGGTGCCGCCGCAACAGGACGACATAAGAAAAAGAAAGAAAGTGAGATTGTCTCGCGTTTCCATCGAAAGGAAAACAGGGGACCGAGAGCCAAGGTACAGTTACTTTGAGAATTTCTCCAGCTTGACTCTATGTTGTCTGGGACGTCGTGTTTTGTGTAGGAACAAGGAGTGGGAGGATGGGACCAGCATGGAGGACAGCCTGGAGTGCTGCGCCAACGTGCGCCGGGCATCGCGGAACATCAGCGTGGCAGCCCTGTTGGCGACATCGCGCACATATCAGTCAGGGGTGAGAGAGTTGGGAGGGTGGTGGCCGTGGCGATCCGCGCCACCTCCCAATGATCTCCATGATGCATCATGAAAGGACCCCGATTCAGGTCGGAGGGCTGTAACGGCGTGGAAACTGTCTCGGCGTTGTCGACACTTCGCGCTCGCGAGAGCGTTTTGACTAGCTCTATTTTTGTGTGGCCAAGACGCTCAGCTACGGAAGAGCTAGCTAACTTGTTCGGACTAAAATGGCAGGCAGAGCTTTGGTTCGTTCTACACAGGCCTTGAGGTTCAGCTGAGTTGGCGAGAAGGGATGCAAATGTGAGGTGCAGCCGGCAGGCGGAAGGTTTGAGCCGCGAATGCGCAATAAATGAGAGGCGGGCCCCATTAATCAGGGTTCGGTTCTTTTTAATGAAGTGGCCAGAGGATCGACGGGAGCTGCAGCGCCAGTATAAATGATGGCTGAGACGAAAGCCAGGGGATTGCTTGATTTCGCACCACGGACAGGATCGATCGCTCTGGCTTGCGTTCCCGGGAGTGGAAGGGAGCCAGAGGAGAGGAAAAGGAGGGGCATGGAAGGGGCCTTGCGCCTGGCGGAGTGTCAGGTCGGTGGCCCGAGTCATGATGGAAAAAGCTCGTATTTCCACAGAAGAAGGGACGGGAACGTGGAACGGACTGGCTCGATTACAGGGCCTTGCAGGCGGCTGATCGCCCCGTTGAAGCCGCCCTGCCCTGCGTGGTTCGACCCAAGGAGAAGGTGAGAGAAAGATGAGGCGCCGCGAATCTTCGCCCACTTCATGTGCGGCGAAGTGTGATCAAAGAACGACGCCCCACGATCGCAAAGGGACGAGCCGAAATGATTTTTAGCCCCTCCCCTCCACTTGCCTCACCTCCCCCCACCAACTTGGGCCTAATTTGGGGTTTCGGGATGGTCACTGGCTTGTCCTTGTGCTGGTCAAACATGGTCCAACACTTTGATCAGCTTTGGGCGACCAGCGACCAGCGCACCAAGTGCCAGACAATGGCGCCAGCTGGGACAACCCAGCGAGCCTCCCCCTCCCTTGCGCTTGCGGCATTCCCTTAGGCCTGATAAAGATCTAAGCACGGTCTATGAGTTCTTTGAGCTCCTGGCGAGAGGTGACCTGGTCCTTGTGCGGCAAGCCTTTTTCACGACAAGCCCGGATATCCCGGTTGCAGACTTGGCCATCACTTCGCCTCCCCTAAGGACCTGGCCGATCGCGATGGAGGCAACATGAAGCAATTGTGTCTAAATCGATGAAGCCTCAAAAGGGCGGTTGACATGCTCCAGAGGGGAAGGAGAAAACCAGGGGGTTGGAGGGGGAGGGGAAATAGTCTCGAACCCAAATTGAAGGGTTATGGTTACCAAATCTTCGGCCTCGGGTCAATTCATCAAATCTGGCCCAAGCTAATGGGATGGGCTTTTCATTCTTGGAAGATCCATCCATTCCCTCCTATTGGCGGGGAATTTGGGGGTTTCGTTCTCGAACCCTGAGTGTGCAGGTACGGTACGGTGAGATAAGCAGGGCCGGCCAGCTCCTTCACCGAGCCGGAATGGGCGCGGTACAGCATGGCCAGATAGATTAGTCGATCAAGGGCCTGCGCTCCGGCGAAGATCCTTCCCCCACCGCCGAACGGGTGGGCCAAATGTGCAGGTGCTGAGGAAGATGGCCTTCCACCTGCTCAGAATAACAACAACCAAAACCAGGAAGGGGTTTGAGAGGGACCCCAGCCCAGTGTTTTCCCTCCTGGTGCAACTAGCCTTATAGACCCCAACCCTCCAACCGTCTGGCCCCCCAGGGTCTTCTTGGACGGAGGACGCCGTAGCGCACTCCCGAGACCGACTCCCATCTCCTCTTTCTGGGGAATTATCGGCACGACTCAAAAGTTGGCCGAGGTTAATGCTGCTCTGGGGGCACCTATTCCGTTCTGGTTATGTGCTAGCGAGCCCAAGCTCTAGCCACCTTTCCCCCGCCACTAGCCCGATCAGGGTCCAAGAGTGGCGTTGGGTCCGTGAAAACTAGTAGTGTATTGTATCTCGCACTGTGACATGCCTCGAGGTCGGACCTCGACATCTCGAAGCCGTTGGGCAACATCATTAAACGGGTCCTGGTCCAACAGGTTCCTGAGGAGTCGATTACGCCAGTGACCGAAGCCATAAATAATGAGGTGAATTGGAACCCAATTGGCAATATTTTGCCTTGCTTCAAGCACTCGACATGGTGAAAACGGTCAAGTGTGCTCGACGAAAATACTAAGTTAGAATCCCCTTGGCTCGCACGTGAGAAAATGATTACTGCAGAAGTTAATCTAGATGGGTCCACGATGGCGAGAAACGAACCAATCAAACGCATTGGATGAGCCGATATCGCCACTTGTCGGGGTCTCCATTGGCCCAGTCTTGCGCCCTCCCTGGCAATTACCCCACAGAAGTTGATTCACTGAGAAAAAGGTGTGGGAGTTTTTTTTTTTTTTTCTCCCTTGCCTTCTTGCTGGCTGGTGCTGACTTCTGCGCACTGTAGCACTTTTGCCAAAACTTATTTTTCTTTTTCTCCTTCCCCGGCCATCGCCCTTTGCAGCAAAGCTTACGGCGGCCACACCGCTGAGTCACCCGCCCAAGGCGAACATCGGACAGACGCTCTGAGCAAAACTTCCGACTTTTCCAGATCTTGTGTGTCCTGACCCCAACAACTTCTCGTGTGACTCAAGGCAAGTTGAAAGTCGGAGGAGTTGCATATCCAGGGAAGAATTCCAATTCTTCGTCTGCGAACCATCTTTTATTTTCCTAGTTTCGTTTTTCTTCGTTTTCTTTTTCTTCTTCTCGTTCCCCTCACCGACTTCCTCCCGTCAATCCCTTCCTTGACCTTCGAAACAAAACACCAAGATGCTCCGAGGTCGCCACGCTGTCGCCGCTCTGCGGGCGGCCGCCCAACCCGCAACATCACGATCTTTTACTTCCTCCGCAGCTGTAGCGGCTGTATCTCCTCCCAGGAAACCGGCTACCGGTGTCAGGAGACAGACCACTGCTGCTTCCAACTCTCCGTAAGTTTTGGTCAAGCCCTTTCGTCGGTCAATCGGAGGCGGGGGTGGCCCGAGAGCCAAACATGGAAATCCGCAATTTGGGGGTAAAAAAAAAAAAGCCATCAGCCACGCTAACAAGGCCACATTCTCGGCAACCGTGATAGTACTGCCCGACCTGTTCCCAGCCCTTCGTTCAACCCCGAGACGAAAAGTACGAGCCATGTTCAACCCCTTAGCAATGCTCGGCCGACCGAGATGGACGAGTCGTACGTGTTCCCCACATATTTTGTCCGCTGCCGTTGCCCGGTAGTCGGAGCCAAAGTTTTTGACGTTGACTGACCGCCTATTCAGCTTTATTGGAAAGACTGGTGGTGAAATCTTCCACGAGATGATGTTGAGGCATGGAGTGAAGCATATTTGTGAGTCTTGCTGTCTTCCCTCTCGTCTTCAAAGGGGTCTCCCCTACTTTGTAACCCCACCGTTCCATCTCGTGCATTCCTGCAGATGTCGAGGCATCTTTTGGGCCAGGCCACCTACATCCGCTTCCATAGTGTGCTCTAACACCTAGCCTTTTTAGTTGGATACCCCGGCGGCGCTATTCTCCCCGTTTTCGATGCCATCTACAACTCGAAACACTTCGACTTCATCTTGCCCAAGCATGAGCAGGGTGCCGGTCACATGGCCGAGGGATACGCTAGGGCTAGTGGAAAGCCTGGTGTTGTGCTCGTTACCTCCGGCCCTGGTGCTACCAACGTCATCACCCCCATGCAGGATGCCTACTCTGACGGCACCCCATGGTTGTCTTCTGCGGACAGGTCGTTACCACGGCTATTGGCAGTGACGCTTTCCAGGAGGCTGATGTCATCGGTATCTCCCGTGCTTGTACCAAGTGGAACGTCATGGTCAAGTCCGTTGCTGAGCTCCCCGCCGAATCAACGAGGCGTTCGAGATTGCCACCTCGGGCCGCCCCGGCCCCGTCCTCGTTGATCTTCCCAAGGATGTCACCGCCGGTGTTCTCAGGAGGGCTATCCCCACCGAGTCGTCCATCCCCTCCCTCAGCGCCGCCTCCAAGGCCGCCCTGGAACTGAGCCGCCAGCAGCTCACCTCCTCGATCCAGCGCGTGGCCGATCTCGTCAACCAGGCCAAGCAGCCCGTCATCTATGCCGGACAGGGTATGATCCTCTCTGAGGGTGGACCCGAGATCCTCCGCGAACTCGCGGAGAAAGCTTACCTCCCCGTCACTACCACCCTTCAGGGCCTCGGCGCCTTTGACGAGCTTGACCCCAAGTCTCTGCACATGCTTGGCATGCACGGCTCTGCCTACGCCAACATGGCGATGCAGGAGGCCGATCTCATCATTGCCCTCGGTGCCCGTTTCGATGACCGTGTCACTCTCAACATTTCAAGTTCGCTCCCGGTGCCCGCGCCGCCGCTGCCGAGGGCCGCGGTGGTATCGTCCACTTCGAGATCATGCCCAAGAACATCAACAAGGTTGTGCAGGCAACCGAGGCCGTTGAGGAGATGTTACCGCCAACCTTCGCCAGCTCCTTCCGCTCCTAGACATGAAGTCGCGTGAGGACCGCAATGAGTGGTTCACCAAGATTGATAGCTGGAAGCAAAAGTGGCCTCTCTCGGACTACGAGCGTGCCGAGCGTGCCGGGCTCATCAAGCCGCAGACCCTCATTGAGGAGCTCAGCAACCTCACCGCGGACAGGAAGGACACGACGTTCATCTCCACCGGTGTCGGTCAGCACCAAATGTGGACTGCGCAGCACTTCCGCTGGAGGCACCCCAGGACGATGATCACTTCTGGTGGTCTCGGTACCATGGGCTACGGTCTCCCCGCCGCCATCGGCGCCAAGGTCGCGAGGCCGGATGCCCTCGTCATCGACATTGATGGCGACGCATCGTTCAACATGACCCTTACCGAGCTCTCGACGGCGGCGCAGTTCAACATTGGCGTCAAGGTGATTGTCTTGAACAACGAGGAGCAGGGTATGGTGACGCAGTGGCAGAACCTCTTCTACGAGGATCGCTACGCGCACACGCACCAGAAGAACCCCGACTTCATGAAGCTCGCGGACGCCATGGGTGTTCAGCACAGGCGCGTGTCGAAGCCGGACGAGGTTGTGGATAGCCTCAAGTGGCTCATCAACACCGACGGTCCCGCTCTCTTGGAAGTGATTACGGATAAGAAGGTGCCCGTGCTGCCCATGGTCCCTACCGGCCATGGTCTTCACGAGTTCCTCACCTGGGATGGTGGTACGTAACAAAGTCCCTCCCCTTTCTTTTTTTTTTTGTCAATTCCGATTTTCCGATCTTCCATCTTCCCCACCTCTTTTTGGCTACGCAAGCGCCGTTGAATGATTCAAATACTAACAACCTGTGTAGAGAAGGATAGGAAGCGTCGTGAATTGATGAGGGAGCGAACCTGTGGTCTCCACGGTTAATCGGAGAGACGAATAGAGATGGGACGAAAGAGAGGCGATGCACGGATTTGGGGAGGAGTGGTGGACGCACAGTATAATAACTGAAGCCGAGGAGAAGAAGGGGTAAAGGAGGGGAGTTGGGACTGGGGATGAACATGGCGGGGCCGAGCGGAGAGGGGCGGCGATAATGCCAATGACAGATGACGGCGGATATCGGAGCCCGCCCGTTGACGGACCTCGGGGGCGACTGTTTTGCGGCCTCACTCACTTGTACTTGATATCAATCTGGCTATTTTCGGTATTCTTGCATGATGGTTTCAAAAAAGTGGTTTTTTTCTTCTTCTTCAACACCGACGCCTGATGCCTATTTCGCTGTCTTGAAGGGGGTGTTCCTCTCTTTTCGCACTTTTTCCTGGTGGAGGGCACACATTTTTCCCCCTCAACTTTACCAGCTAACCTTGTCTACAAATTCAGAGGGTTCCAGGGAAGCCACGAGCACATGAGCGACTCAACCCGTCCTGTTTGCCAGACAACGTGGCGTGGTGGCGGAACGAAGGAATTATACCGCAAGGTGGCATTGACATCATCACCCACAACCTGTTGGCGGAATCAGATTTACAGAGAAGACTGTTCTTTTATAGGAGAAAAGTATTGGATTTTCCTCGGAACTGAATAGCTAACTACTAGTCTATGGAAAACACGAATAGGAATGATGAGATTTGCATGGGAAACGGGTATCACGAGAGAAAACATCCTCCCAAACGTATGAACTCTGTGTGTGTGTGTATGTGTGTGTGTGTGAGTATGCGCGTATATATGTATGTGTATAGTGGCTCACGAGGATGGCTGGATTCATCCTTGGTGAGTGGTTGCGAGGAGGGGAGGGGTTATACTGAGGGCGAAGCGGTGGAAGGAGGGAAGAATAAGAAGAATGGATTAGGCCGAATCATGGCCCTTGGTTTCCGTTGCGGAGCTTCTCTTTGGTTCAGCTGAGGAACCGGGGATAGTCTCCCGAGGATCGGAAGCTCCCGATCTGGCAAGCTTCCGGCATCTCAAGGGCCTGCCGGAGCTCCAGCTTGGTGTTGGGGGTCTGGACCGGATCGCATCTAGAGCCATTCCATTTTCTCTTTCTTCGCATTTGAGTCCGACTTTTTCTTTTCCTTTTCCTTTTTCTCTTCCTCTCCTCCCCGATTTGGGACGTCTGCGCTTGACGTCAGGCCTCGGGGCGTTGAGAAGGAATCCTCCCCAAAAAGAAAGGAAAAAGACCTCCGCAGAGGTCCGCAGAGAGAGAAAAAAAAAGAAAAGGTTCTTGCTCAACGCTTGACTCACACCGCCCCTTTTGCTCAATGTCGTTGGGCAGAAAGGGCGACAAGATGCCCCAAGGCCTTCGCTGTCCCTGGACCGTGCTTGCAGAGGCTCCGGTTGGAGACACGATGGAGGGGCCCCGGATGTCGCTGCTGCTGCCCAAAACAAGACAAAGAAGGATTGCGCTGGATGGGGGTTCGTCCGGAAGACCAACTTAGCCTAGGGGGAGAGTTTCCCACAAGGAAGCGGTCGTCCTTCCGGTATGTTCCCATTTGGACCCCTCACCGCCCTTCCCGCCCTTGCGTCCGTGTCCGAACGCGGACGTGGTTTGTGGTGTGGCTGGTTTCCCCTTTCAGTTTCTTTTCTTTTTCCATTTCCATTTCTTTTTCTTTTCTTTTTTCTCTTTCTATCCTTCTCGTTGATCAAGCCGGAAAAAAGAAGAAAAAGAGAACAGAAAAAGAACGAAAAAAGAACCAAAAGCGGGAAGAGGGGTACCCTGCAGAGCTGACCTGGAGGGAAGGTCTTTCCCTAGCGTCTGCATAACCCTCCATCCCCGCGCTTCCCTTCCCTCTTTCCCACCCTCGTTTTTTTCCTCCTCTTTCACTACCCTTGGCCGACCCGTACCCGCCGCTCCCAATGCCATCCTTGTCCTCGTCGTCACCGGAGATGCGAGAGGTGCCGAGGAGATCGGCCTCCTGGCGACCGCCGTAGCCATCGACGACGCTGGGGTCCGGGTCGGACAAGAACTTGAAGTCGAAGGCGGCTTGGCGGGCGAGGCGGGGAGGCGGGGAAAGGCCGGTCGCGGTCGCGGCTGCGGTCGGGGGCGGTTTCGTGCGGCGGGGTTCGGGTTCATTGTCTTTTAAGAAGGCCCCGATGGGGTTTTTGAAAGGCGAGAGAAAAAAAAAAAAAAAGACAAGGGAACCCGAGAAGAAAAAGAAACAAAAGAAAACAAAGAAGAAAGAAGAAAGGAAGCCCTGGTGAGCGAGAGTTCAATTCTGAGCGAAGAGGTTGTGGATGGTCCTGGGTGTTGTCTCTCCGCTTTTCTCTAATAACTCCCCACCTTGGGACCGTGATTTGGTGGTCTTGAGAACAGCAATGAGGGGAATCGAGAGTTTTTGCTTCCGCATAGGCGACGAGCATTGGGGATGTCGGCAGAGGGGCAAAGAGAGGAGCGGGAGTTGAGAGAAAAAGAGGTAATAGAAAAGAAGCAAAAAGATCCCCCAACCCCAAGTAACAGGAGTTTCGAGGAGGGGAATTGGGGCAAGAGGGGGGAGGAAGAGAGGGGGAGGTGAGATCTGATGGATGAGCTCCGTTCAGTCGGAGTCAGGATTGAGGTGAAGGAGGATTGGCAAGCTCTAAGCTCGGAAGCATGCGACCGTGAATCAGGGTATTCGTGAATGGAGCTCTGGAGCTTTAGCGTGCTGCAAGAGAGCTTGCTTGACTGCCTTGAAAGACACAAGGGCGTGAACTAGCAGGCTGCGGGCAGGCAACGCATGAACGCGGAGAAAACAAGGCACTCGTCGCTGACTGGCCAACTCTCCCGTCCGTTCCTTTTCTGTGAAGCTCGAAGAGAGATGAGACGGAATAAGTGGAAAGGGGAAAAATAAGAATAAAATGGGGACCAAACTGTATTCTCTTTGGAATAAATAATAAGAAGAAAGGTCAGACTAAAGAAGAGAGGGAGTTGGCATCAGTGAAAAGAAGAAGAAAAAAGGGGAGGCGAGGGTTGCGGTTGCTGCGCTGTGACGAGCTGATGGGCAAAGATGAAGGCCTTGTTGCCACCCCTCGTTGGCCCCGGATACGTTTGGCCTCAGGTCCTCGGAAAAAAAGAGGGCTTGCGTAGAGCTGGATGCCTTTTTTTTTTTCGGGGTCAAGTTGCCTCTCTGTATATTTTGACATCTACGGTCCCGCCAAGGTTCAGGGTCTCCAGGTTCAAACTCGGGCACTGGTTGGGTGTTGGTGTTTTCCGAATGGCTGGTGGAGGGGGAGGAACAATGAAGTGAGGGGGTGGGGGTGGGGTGCACAAAGGCCGGAGCCTGGGCGGACAGGGTCGGGAGGGGAGAGCACTTGAGGGCAAAGAGGGCAAAGAGGGCGAGAGGGCGAAGAGGTGCGGGGAGGCAAAAGGCACCAGTCGTGCGGCGGGCGGGATTTGGGGCGTTGGGGGTTTGGGGCTTTGGGGGTGCGTGGTGATTTGATGTTCGCCGGACGTCAAGTTCATCGAGGCTGGATCAATCAGACCCAATCGATTGCACGGTTTGAGGAGCACTGGGTCTTATTATGGCCTCGCCGCCCTGGCAGCACAGCACGCGACGAATAACCTCCCAACATACACACTTTGCCCTTTCAAGGTTTGTTTTCGGGGTCCGGCGCCTCGGTGCTCTTGCATGTACGAAGCAGACATCTGGATCACTTGAACGGGGCTGTTGGTTATTAGCTTACATATTTCTTCAACGCTCCCGGAAGTTCATGTTCTAGCATGCTGAACTTGAGGCGAAAAGCGCCAGTTGAGACCTCTTCAGTGACATCTTGCACGAAGCTTTTTTAACCTTTGCGCTAGAGGCGAATCAACAACGATCCTTGCCGAAACAGCCTTTGCCTCCTCCGTAGAAAAAGAAAGGGAAATCGAAAAAGGAAGGCGAGAAGATGGAGAGAGAGGCCTCGAGAAATCCAAGTGGGATTGATGGAAACACGTCTTCCGCTCTGTTTGGCTTACGGGCGGAGAGATTGAGAGATTGATTTCTCCTGTGGATGGACGTCCTACATGGTGACCAAGAGCCCAATGCTAGCTGGCCGTGGCAAACCTTGGGCTCAACGTACGAAGGTCTACCGAGGTATATCTCGCGCATTGTGCTTATAACAACGACGTCGGCGGGTTTGCCCTTTGAATCATAGGGCTCGCCGGTGTTCCAGCACGTCCACTTGGAGCAATTTGCAATGTCCCAGGTCTTAAAGTGACATCTTGAGACAGCAACAAGTACGGGAGTGCTACTGACGCGCCCATCACAAGTTACTCGTGTTTCCTATCCTTACCTTTCCCCAATAGCCCAGGGAAGTGGGTGATGGGAAAGTAAGTGCGATGCAGAGAGAAAAAAGTGAACAAGGGTAGGAAAAGGCATAAAAGACTCGACTTCCCCGATAATCAAACTCGAGGCGTCCGAGGATGCGCAAGTTCCAACTGTGCAATTTCTTGCCTTAGTATCTCGCCGGCCTGCGCTTTTCAGTACTGCCGGGCCGATCCCGGTGACTCTTTCTAGAATCGCCCATGTCTTAAACCTACTTTTCTTTCCTTCTTTAACACATTCATACTGCATATATCTAGCATCGAGCTAGAACGCGTCTCTTATTCGCCGGGCTCCCGGCAAGTGTATAAGCACAAAAGAAGCCTTCTCGATAGACTTGTCTCTCTTCTTTCAGAGGAAGCAAAGGACGGACGAAACAGAGAAATGGTTCGATCGAAAGTGACATCCGTGGATCTAGCCAAGCCAAGCTTCATGGCGTGCGCTATGCCCTACGGGATCCATACCTGTCTCACACATGAATACTAGTGTTGCCTTAATTACATGCTTCGCGATTCATCCATTGCTTAAGCCTCTGATGTTTATTTTCACCTCTTCTCGCTCTTGGCCATCTACAAGGCTTCCCGAGAGCGGGCCCTGTCTTTGATATTGATCCGCCGATCGAGAGACGTTGATCGGAGAATCAAGGCCCTCGAAAAGCTGCTTTGCTCTCGCAAGTAAGAGTATTATCGATAGGCCCATAGATTACTTAACGCGCCATATCTCCTCTAGGAGGTCATCTATCCTCAAGACAACAACAAAATTTTGATCCCATATCCAGTGATTGCGTGTAGCATAAAAACCCCCGTCCCCCTTGGCGGCATTTCCCATCCCTCGGCACTTGGGCGGTTAACCCATTGTCGCCCTACCCTCCAGGAACCAGGGAACCCCCGTTTTCGCTATGAAGCCACAATCTCAGCTCCGCCTGCTCCAGCTTCTGGCCGGCTCCCACCTCGCCGCCGCCCTAGCACAGCAGCAGCCGGGCCACGAATGCCCCGTCGAAACTCCCACCCCAAGCCTCCGCGTGCTGAGCTTCACCGTCATCGCCACGGTCGACCCGGCCGTGACGGCATGGACCCAGATCCTAGACTCCGTCTGCCCTCGCTCGCGCCCAGAGCTCCCGGATCACAAGCCGGCGCCGGCGTCTCCTGGCTTCCAAGATGCGCCGCGCCATGCCTACGACGACCACCAGCAAATTGTCTATCCCGGCCCGCTCCCCGGTGTTCCAATGGACGACGCGCCCGTCTGGCAGCTGTGGCGGATGGAAGCTGTCGGCGCACCCCGCGACCGGCCGACTATACCCTCGGCGACGGAGGCTCGCAAGACGCACAGACCGGCACGCAACAGTACCACGATCTAGACCCGCATTCGCATCCGCCTCCGTCGCCTCAGGGGTGGTGGCTCGCCACCCCGGCCTGACTTGGAGGACGGCGATGGTCCTCGCCGCCCGCCCCCGAAACGGCCCGGTGGCGGCAAGCCTGCACCGCCTAGGCCGTGGACCACTACTGGTAAGCGTCCCACTTTTGATCATAGGGGCTTTTACGCTGCGCGCTCTGCCCCTACCTTTCCTCGGCCACCGCTGCCCCTGTCGTCAGCCTTCGCAATGCTAACTACTCCACAGCTACGTCTGGAACCACTCTTTCGACCGCAATCAGCTCCTACCCAGACCCCAATTCTTCTCTGCCCACGCGTACCTCTTCCTCCCTCTCTTCCTCCCTCTCTTCCTCCCTCTCTTCCTCTGCCTCTCCCTCTTCGGCTTCTACCTCTGAGACCCCCTCGTCATCTACCTATACTTCCGAGTCCAGCTCGACAGAAACCACCGAGTCCAGCTCAACAGAAAGCTCGGAGCCCATCCCGACCCCAACACCCTGCCAGGACATCTCGGGCAACTTTGAAGACGGAAATCTCGCGCCTTGGGTGGAAGTTAGCAATGTAAATGCAGGTGACTCGGTGATCCTAGGGCAAGCCACACCGGGGAATATTGGTATGTTCTTATAGTAGACGAGTCTGAACCGTTCGGGAGTGTGATGATTTCCCAGCCACTTCCCCGGTGTGGAGATGAGCTCCAGACTGTTCAGTTAAGGCCCCGATTCCAGTACGGTGTAGCAACAGGGTCTCTTGGGTGCCAGGTTCAGGGCAACCTTGTCACCGGGCTTTCGTCGCAGACAGTATTCTTGACGACATTGCTACCCGGAGAGGATGAGCTGGACCAATATACTGGACCCGAGGCGGATTATATCCTGGACCCCGATGGCACTCAACCAATTTTCTACCTTTCGATGAATTGCACCCCAAGTGAATATGGACTCCCATTTTCGCTCTTCATCTGGGATATCCATCTCTACTGAGAGTGATGCAACACTTTGGTGGATCCGTACTCGAAGATATCGGCTCTAGACACGGCTACCACGCTCGAGGAGAAGTTGATGAGACTAGATGGGATGAGATTTACTCGGATATTCGTGTACAGTCTAGAAGCATCAATTACTCATATATCATTTCTTACATTCCACGCGCGCCCCAATGCGAAACTAAGCTGCTGACCGCGAGCCTGGACTTTGTGTGACTCGGCACGCAAGCCCTCGCTTCGACGGGGGCATATAGATCAGACGTTTGCGGGCGGGACGGCGAAGATCCACTCCGCACATTTTGTGGGATAAACCGCGACGGGACGGACGGGCTATTTTTCGAGATCGGCGACTTACCCATAAAATAAAACAGCATGATTGCGTGCACAGCCGTTTCTTAACGTTTTGCGAGACCCCGCGTGTTTCGTGGGTCGTGAAACGTCATCTGTTTCCATCGAAGAGCAGGGTGTTTCCATCTTTCAGCTCTTCTTTTCCCATCTAGTCCACCAGGCGGCTTTATTCCGGATCAATGGGGGTGAGGATTCCAACAGACAACATTGAAGGCAACATAACATGTACTGGAGGTGTCGACCCACGCATCAATGTTTAGGTTTTAATAGATGGAGGACTCAAGATTGATCTAAACTCGCTCAGTGCTCCCCTCTCATACTTTCTTCATTCCAAGGACCAAGAACTAGAGAACCCCGGAGCCAACGTTCGGCTCCGCTCTTGTTAGCCGCTCTCGCATGTCCTGTTATATTGGGTCACTCCATGCAACAGTGCCCCTCCAAAATGAAAAGTTGCCAGTTTAGAAGTAATTTCGCCACGGCCCCAATATTCTAGACATGGAACCTACCCATATTTAATATAACCATCTACCCCAAATTGCCCCATTGCAGCCGAACAGGTGGTGGGACCGGCATGTGGGGGCCGGAGCCGGACGCCATGCCCGGCCGGGAAGGGGGACCCGCCTTGGAAAAATTGGACAGAAAAATACTAGGCCCTTGAGAGGGTAAGAGGCAAAGAAATCGAGATGGAAGTTGCTGGAAGAGAGATGTGTGCATACGCTGGTTTACGGGGTGTACATGGTTCACATCTGGTAGACAAGACGGTTAAGAAGCACTCAGTAGACAGGGTTCGAAATAATACTGGATTTCGAAAAGGCATCGACTAAGAGGAAATATGAATAAAGAAGGTATCTATTTCGGGGTCATCATGCCGCTGCAGCGCAGGGTATCAGGGTGTTCATTATTAGGAACAAAAGCAGAGGATGGCCCGAGCCAGGTTGCCGAAACCGATCAGAATGTTTGAGCGGTGGCGACCCAAGGGATAAGAGAAAGAGAGAGAGAGATATGACTCGGCGCAAACGGCGAACGGTGATCAGCAAGGAAGGAAGCCCGCAAGGTGGGAGAAAAAAAGTCAATATATACACTGAAGGTCCTAAAATTGACCCGGATCGAAGATTCCCTTTCCTAGGGTAAGCCAGGGCAGAGAGCCCGCGATTCCGGCATAGGGATTAAAAAGAAGAAGACCCAACTCCGACTCATGAGGTTCGGGGCGAGCCATTTACATGATCGAGGGTAAACTTGCAAGATCAGTGTAACACTCGCTTGGGGAGAAACCGAAGGGTTGGGTTAAATCAATGAAAGTAGTTTTGTGGTGAGACGGGATCAAAGAAGAAGGAAAGAGGGAGCGTTGGCTGTTTTCCGTTTACTGGCCGACAGTCGCGCACCGCCTGTCCCACGTTAGCCTCCAGCAGACGCGCTTCCAGGTCGTCAGCTCGACGCAGAAGCCGCCGTCGCCGCAGTCCTGGTGCGACGCGCACAGGTCCTTGTCGCCGTCGAGGGAGGTGGTGGCGGCGGAGATGCAGTACTCGCCGGCGGTGGCGACGACGTCGGTGTCGGTGATGGTGGCGCAGGTGTAGGCCTTCTCCTCGGAGATCCAGAGGGTGCCGCGGGGGATATCGGCGTCGCAGAGGGCCATGAGGGTGCCGAGGTTGGAGCGCTTGACGATGGTGTTCTCCGCCGCGCTGGCGAGGGCGATGGGGAGGAGGGCGACGAGGTGGGTGAAACGCATGTTGGGCAACGAGTGTCTTTTGTCTCTTGTGTTTGTCTTGGGGAGGTTCCTGAGTCTTGTGTTGTTGTTCAAGGTGACGGTGACTCTGGGTAAGACTCGTTGACGTAGGTGGACGTTGCGTTTCTTTTCGTCTGTTTGAAATTACGGATAGTGGTTCTTTTTTTGTGGATTTTCTAAACAACTTTTTTCTTTTCGTTTCGTTGTTTGTTGATTCGCCGAAGGGGTATAAATGAGTGTACTGGCTGTAATCGATCGATTCGGAGAGATTGTTCACCGGAAGCTCATGGGGAAACGAGTTTGACAGAGAAGCTCCTGCTAGGGGTCACGACAGCCTCATTCGAAGATCGAGCAACGAGAGAAAGAAGAACCAAAGAGGGGGAGCGCGGAGGAAATGCCGCAAACCGGGGGCCCAGCTAACTTTAATCATCTCCCATCGCGAGGCTTGCCTCATCAAACGTGCGTGTGCTTGTGCGTCTACGCTACGTGCAGTGTGGTCCTATTAGTGTGTGTACACTCGTGTACATTCCCTTTTTCCCAACTATCAAAGCAAGGGTATCGACTATGGGTATGGATATGGGGATAGGGCCGCTCTTTTTCTCGACTCCCGGTCTGAAATGACCCTCTTCGGGTGTCACTGGTCCCCAGTCTTTGTCTGCGCGCTAACCACCGTGCGTTTCCTCTTTTGATGGGCAGCCACCATGCGAGATCTTGTTTGACAAGGGTACCACGTCGGTTTCCCTTCTTTGAAGGGCAAGGAGGAGGCAAAAGAAAAGAAAAAGAAAAGAAATAAAGAGAGGCATCAACTAGTAGTTTCCCCTATCGCGTCTATCTACTGAATACAAGTATCATCTCCTGAGACAGGAAAGATGAAAAGCTGGCAGCGGCTCGGTTCTCGTGTGTTTCCTCGTTCGTACCTGGGCGGACAGGTTATGATGGGGCTTATCATCCATCCATCCATCTTTTGGGCAGAGTCCATCGAAGTTCAGATGCCCCTCAGGAGATTCAGGAATGGGCTTGTCAGGCCAACGAGGACTGCAGGGCTAGTCCAGGAACGTATCGACCGTGCAGGGGTGACGCTGCGGTAGTGTAGGATCGGGACCAGGGCGGCTCGGATTTTATTGGACAAACAAGATTAGATGACGAGAGACCTCGAGTCGGCCGTTATTTTCGGGTACCTGGGATCGCCGGTCCACTCGACCTCGGCCAAGTACTGCGACGCCAGCAAGAGCCGGAGTACCACGATACTTGGCGCGCCTGGCTCGAGGACCACTCAAGTCCCGGTGGGGTTTAGCAGGCTTCTGTTCCCTCATTTCCCCTTCACTCACCGAACCGCATTTGCACAACTACAGGCGATAATTCACTATTCTCTCCCTTTTCTGGACTGTGGGACTCGTTGAGTACGAGTCTGGTGAAGCTCGAATCCTCGCCTGAGACGAAAAAAGTAACACTGGCCACAGGACCGAGGTAGCCTTGAACACGACAAAGGAGGCGAAGCTGTGCACGGTAGGAAGAGTAGCCTGCGGGTGCACAACCCATTTGTCCACGACAAAGTCCCCAGGGTTCCATTATTACTAAGAATGCCCTTGGCGACTCAGTTTGCGTTGCGGTACTGGACTGACGCATGGCAGCGCGGGATCAAATGCAGCTGCTTAATCATGGACGTTCATCAAAACAAGATTTGTCCTGGCTTCCGTGGCATCAATTTTGGCCCAGGACCCAGAATCTAGGGCGGATGGTTCGGGAGCGAAAGGGGTGGGGAAAGTTGGGCAGTGGACTAGCGACTCTGAAAATTATTTCACTTTGTAGGACTGCGTCTGAGGATTGATCGATCGGGAGCCGAGCTAATGCCAACACAAGCCTAGCACAGGATGGTGACGATACATATCGGGTTGGCTGGGCTGGACACGGCTGGGGCACCACGACCACTACGTGACTGGCCATGGCTAGACCCGACATTCCGCCGTTCGAGCTGGGGGAGAGGGAAGCTACACGAGAGGCACCTTGGAATTTAATCTTGACCTAAGCAAGCGTCACTAATAATAACCCACCCTTTTTCTACACTAGGCGCTGGGTTTGATTCCCAGCCAACGCCCTCAACCCCGAGGTTTTGGCGAGGCGCGCGTGATCGTGGTGGACGTAGCGCCCCAAGGCCTGGGCCTACTCTCTCGTATTAGTCTCGTAATGGGTCTAGGGGAGAAAATGGTTCGCTCGCGCTCATGGTGTGTATAACGCCCTGGCCACCTTTCTACCGATATCGTTGCCTCCTTCCTCGGACCTGTTTAGTCGATGCTGACGGGTGGGGGCACTGCAGAGGAAGAGAAAAGGAAGGGTTTCCGACCAATGCTGAGGCGAGATAAGAGGAAGTGAACTGGGCCTCCATCATGCCACTCCGCGTACGCGTCACCCATTCCTTGGCTCGTGGAGGAAACAAGTGATACTGCAAGTACGGGGCGGGGCTCTCAGAACCCCGACGACTTCTAACGCTGCCGAAGGAACGGCATTCTTGACTACGTATCCGAGTCAAGTAAACGCTGGAGCGACGGCTACACTAGTGGACACCACGCTCCTCTCCTCACGCCTTGGGCAGCCCAAGCTCCAGCGTGGCGGCGCCATGCCACGACGTACCTGAAGCTAGTGGCCTTTGATTCTTCTCAGCTGCAGGTCCTAGCGCGCGCCGCTCATTCATTGCTTTGTCGCGTCACCGGACCCCAGGTGACCTATTTTGAGCTGAGACACTCAAGACAAGACAGCTCGAGGCTGCTTCCCAGAATCGTGGCCAGGTCGAAATCCCCACGACGGCGCCTTCAATATGATGCGAATGCCTTCAAATGGGACGCAGCTATCGTCGAGATTGAGGAATAAATTGCAAAAGGGAGCTGTGTTAACATCCATCGCAGTGTCGGACATTGCTTTTATGCAGCTTCTCTCCCTGCTGCGCGGTTCAGGGAGGAAAATTGAGATCCTCGTCGCTGATCGGCAGCGGAAATGTCTCCCTGGCTCATATTGAGATCAGCACTCCGCTTGCAACCTTGCAGTCATGCTGGTATGAAAATAAAGTGCATTCTCGGGTCGACGATAGTAGCCCTGTCCTCTCCGATGAACTACGGGAGGCGTCAAGTGGCTGGCACGGACGACTCAGAGAAGTGCAGAGAGGAGAGGGAGGCTGAAAGCCCGTCAAGTGTGGTTCTGATAGTCCAACCTGAAGTTCCAAAGACTCTGTGCGAAAAGCTGAGCCAGGTGGGCGTTTTATACCTCTTAATCCTCGATCGTCTATCCTCTGTCCTAGCCTTGCCCTCTGAAGTCACCATGGAGCATGACTTTCTGCGCCCGAGGCGAGTAGACGTTACTCCACCCTGCTCCTCGGAAAGGGCTAAGAATTCACCCTTAAGAAATGGAGACAAGGAGGGAGAGATCCGAGGGGACGTCGGCGGCTTTGGGCACTAACTCGCGGCGCTTCAGTCCGCGGTTGGCCAAAAGCTAGCCATCGACGACTGCCCGTGAATTCCACTTGTCTGTTGGTATCAGTTTCTGTCTTGGCTTTGACGCTGGTCTAAGGAAGTGGTGAACGTGGACGTCTATGTTTCTATCATGACTGACGGCCTTCGATCTGCAGTCGCCATTTTACATTTCGGCCGCCGCTTCGTCCCACTCCAACCGCTCACTCTCCTCCCGGCCTCATCTCGTTCCACAGTTCTAAGCGTCAACATTGCGCGTATGGAGCCTACGTGTTATAAGAGTCAGTATCGCTGCCCTGACAAGCCGTGGAATCTATCGAGCTTCAGTTTTAGACTTTAGTCCCTGTATAGGAAGCGTCCGGCGACCTGGGCAATTCCACTTGGTCGAATCTAACTCAATCGAAAGAGTAGCGGCCGCGATCCACATTATAAAGCGCGGACTGAGTAGGTTCCTTTACGGATACTGTACTTGCTCCTCTCCATCTTCCACAAATAGCGAACTCGGACTACCTTCCAAGCCTTAAAAATGAACGAGGAGTCCGCTTGAATATTTAGCAACGGATCAGCCATAGTGGGGGACGGGCAATCAACTCTCTGGTGCTCGCGAGTTATGTTCCACGATAGCAGGACAGGCGAATGCAAGGTGTGCCGTTCCTTTAGTATCTTGCATATTGTCGAGCGAGTCCGCCTGGGTAGTGATTCTATTCGACTCCACGTCGGCCTAGGCGAACGTACCGTAGGATGATGCCTCATGACCAAGGATATGTGCTCCGAACTCCCGGAATCAGATCCCGCTCATAGAGCGCCGTATTCACTTGATTAATTCACGGCTTCGGGAGAGCATTAACTAATCTATCATCTGATGCTGCTCCCCTGTTCTCCTCCGAGAACCTCGCTGTGTTCGATGCTGGGTGGAGCTAAAGCGTTGTGCGATGTCCTGATGGAGTAGCAACTAGCATGGCAACATGGTTCTCTCCGCCCAAGATGACGAATGTTGAGGATGGCCCTATCTTTAATATACCAACCTTCTTGCTCCGCCCAGATCTGCTCGTCTTTGACGCGGGCTCTGCAGCGCCAGTCTATTTCATAGCTTGTTGATACCCGCACAGAGACCTCGTAATCCAAGCCGCAAAGATCTCGTAGAGATGCGGAAAATATACTTGTTTATCATGTGGGCAAGCATAACTACAGGTGAGCGGGCACCGGACCTCATCAAAGAGGAGGCGACATTCACGGAAAAATCGATGTTTAATAGTGCTAGAGACGATGACGAGGCCAAGATCATGGACCTTTGCATAGTCCATAATTCTTTTCTCCTTTAATTTATATAATGATTGATAGATCTGCTTTACGTGACTTTGAGGTGCTCGCAGATTTGCCCTTAGTGAGTCCCTCTCTAGTATCGGATTATCTTGTAGGACATAACCACGCTGATATCTCCTCACCGCAGCATCACAAATCCGCTGCCAGCGATTCGCCAGCGGTCCGCTTCGGGATCTCTGACATCCAGCACGTCACCCTCGTAGAGGGGCCTGGTCACGTGGAAAGTACCACTCCAGCGGTAAGTTGCGGGGAGATACCGGCCAAAGCTCCACAATAAGCACAGCTCCTTCACTCGAGAGTGAAAGCTTCCCAATTGTCTCAGCGGGTAGCGGCGACCCGATCTACCGAAGGTTCGGACACCTTCCACGCAAAACCCAGGATTTCTCTCCCCTCAGAGAAAACCCCCGGCAATCCGAGCTTTCTCCACGAAAATAGGCCCGCCCCTCCTCCCAACCACGCATTTGCGCCCGGTGCACAAGCTTCATTCCATTTTGCCATTTCCTTCTTCCTCCTACTCCTGTCCGGTCTCCCATCTCTGCCTCGTCAACTCTCGTGATCAGATCCTCTCCCCATCTCGTTATTTCCTGCCTAAAGCTCTAGGATCGCACCCGGGATCCCCTCGTGCACTAGCTCGCCCTTCCGCCAAGGCCGGCGAACGACATTATCAGATACCGTAGCGATGGAGTACACACAGCAGCGGATGGCGCAAGAAGCCGCGAAGCACGTAGACGCACCGTACGATCCCCGTCTTCCTTTGCTCCCTATTTGCCCGCTCAAGTCATGAGGCTCGCAAGCTAACCTGTTGATCCATCGCTGGTTTCCCCGCCATTACAGAACTTCCTTCTTCACCCCCTCAACACGATCCTCCTCGGTCTCGTCGTCTACGTCGGCTACCAGCTCTTCAAGCCGACCCCTCCCGCCTCCCTCCCCAAGGCCGAGCCCCCGACCGTCTTCCGCACGTTTACGCCGCACACCCTCCTCGAGAACAACGGCACCAACGGGCGGCCCATCTACCTCGCCATCCGCGGCCGCGTGTTCGACGTCTCGCGCAAGCCGCACTTCTACGGGCCCGGCGGCCCCTACGAGAACTTTGCCGGTCGGGATGCCACGCGGGGTTGGCCAAGGAAGCTTCGACCGCGAGATGTTGACCGAGGATCTCGACGCGCCGTTGGACAACCTCGAGGGCCTGGGCGCCGAGGATATGGAGACTCTATCTGGGTGGGAGGAGAGCTTCTCGGGCAACTACCCCGTCATTGGGAAGTTGGTCTCGGTGGAGGAGTATAAAACCTTGCAGAAGTAAAGACGCGGAGCAGAGACTTGCGCGAGAGTAGTAATCAGGACAAGGAGATGGTATGACTAGATAGTATGTGGAAGTGGGGGAAGACAGAGAGGGAGATGTTATTATGGATAGCGAATGATGGGAAAGGGCGAAAGATCTGGATTACGTCGATTCATGCCATGTGGAGGATAGAGCGACGCAGACCACCTGGCTTTTTGTTTTACCTACTGTTATTGGGAGGCTGGTTACCTGGAGGTTCAGGTTGATACCTTGTATATCATCAAGAAAGATTCAAGCCATATTCCCTCTCGGGAGTAGATAGGGCGATCAATGTGCAACTATCATTGCGACTGTGGTCCCAATGCATCTTCTCGTGGGGCCTGTCATCGTGATTGAATCCTACCTTTCTGGATCGGCCCGGTCAAGCTGCGCTACGGCTTTCCCAACAATCGATCCAGGCCCCGCTATGCGGTTAAGGGTCGATTGCTTTCCGCCTTCAGGCAGAGATTCTCGGTCCTGTATCCTTGGCGAATTCTCCCGGTGGATTGAACCATAGGGCGGGTTAGTGCCTGCAGTCCTTCAGGATCAATTTTGCGAAATCAGGTCCGTGAAAGCAACTATTCTTCTTATGGCCAACACCAATTTCCTTCTTCACCTCTTTTTTATTTTGTTTTCCCCATTTCATCAATGTTGGGGAAGAAAGGAAGAGGGCCGGGGGAAGGTGGAAGGCGGGGGAGCTATTTCTGCTGGAGGAGCGTTTATCGATGCGGGTTGGGGGCATGATGGGTGGGAAAATTCGGTTTCCTAACGGTGGCGCTGACGCTCCCGGATCCTTCATGGGAACGTTGACTGCGAGAGCATCCCGCGTCCCCGGAAATCGGATCAGCCATTCGGCCCTTGGCGAGGTAAAGGGAAGGGAAGGGGGAGGGGCGGGGTTCGCGGGTGCGAATACTACGTTGTTATTAAGTGCAGGAAATCGTCGTCCTTTTCTGGTCGGATGGATCGAGGATAATCTCTCACGGGCCAGGACGAGGAATTTGATTGCGGCGGCTGAGGGTGCCGTGAAAATAATATATATGAGTCCCGACACTTGTTGCCGAAGATTGGACGATGATCTATACATGTAGGCTCTGGGATTGAGGACTAACAGAGAAAGAAGGACTCATATATCCAGCTCATCTCTTTCTCAACTTCGTTGTCTTCACCTCCCGGTGCATCTAGGGCCTTGTTCCTGTTCTTTTAATATTATTTTTTTCCAATTATCCCATCTATAAAGTACTGCCAGGGTCGAGGGAAAGCCTTGCTGTTGGGGTCTTGAACAGGGTAATACACAAGGACGCTTCGTCACCAAAACCCCTCAACAAGCAAGGAGATAATAAGGAAAGCACGGAACCATGCGCCATCCCATCATCGCGAGCAGCGGCCTCCTGGCCCTGCTGCTGCCCACAGCAGTATCATCGGCCCGGTCCTGCTCGGCCCCTCTGACAAAATGCCTCGAGGCCGCCGGCGTGCCTCTCGACAAGCCCGGCAGCGAGGCATGGGAGATGGACGCGGCGCCCTTCAACGAGCGCCTGCCGTTCCTGCCCGCGGCGGTCGCGGTGCCGCGCACGACGGCGCACATCGAGGACGCGGTCAAGTGCGCCGCCGAGCTCGGGGTCAAGGTGAGCGCCAAGTGCGGCGGGCACAGCTACGCCTCGCTGGGGCTGGGCGGCGAGGACGGGCACCTGGTCGTGGCGATGGACCGGATGCACGCCGTCACGCTCGCCGAGGACGGGGAGACGGCGGTTGTGCAGGAGGCGCGAGGCTGGGGCATGTGGCGGTGGAGCTTTGGGAGCAGGGAAAGAGGGCGATTTCGCATGGGACGTGTCCTGGGTACGTAACTTTTTTTGGTCTTTCTTTTCTTTTCTCCTTCCTTGCTTGAAGGGTATTGGCGAAAAGAAAAACAAGGCGAGCATTGGTCGTGAGGGGCGAGTGAAGGACTCATACTAACCATTTGACAACAGGGTTGGCATTAGCGGACACGCTCTCCACGGGGGCTTCGGCATGAGCTCCTACACCCACGGCCTCGCCCTCGACTGGATCCGCAGCGCCACCGTCGTGCTGGCCAACGGCACCACGGTGCGGGCCTCGGCGGACGAGAACGCCGACCTGTTTTGGGCGCTCCGGGGCGCGGGCGGGTCCATGGGCATCGTGGCCGAGTACGAGTTTGCTACGTTTGAGCCCGTCGAGGAGTACACGCACTTCGAGGCCGCCCTCAACTGGGCGGACGGGGAGAGCCTCGTGGGCGGGTGGATGAGCCTGCAGGCCTGGGGCGCCGAGGAGATGCCGCGGGAGATGAACCTGCGGTTCAGCGTCGACTCGCGGGGCGTCTTGCTCGACGGGCTGTACCACGGCAGCCAGGCGGACATGGAGGCCGTGGTCCTGCCGCTGCTGGAGAGGCTCGGCGGCGGCGCGATCACCGTGAATACCACGTTTGACTGGATGGGCCAGCTGGAGCAGTATGCGTTTGCCGAGGAGCTCAACTACACGCACCCGTACAACCTGGTAAGATGCCGCGCTTTTCTGTGTCCTTATTTTTTTTTTTTTTTTTTAGAGCTTGCTAACCCTCGAAACCCAACTGTGCAGCACGAGACCTTTTACGCCAAATCCCTCTTCACCCACGCCCTGCCTCCCGAGGCCATCGCATCCTTCATCACCTACGCCCTAACCACCGGCACGGAATTCTACAACACCGTGCCCCCAGCACCGACCCTACCGAGCCGGGCGAGCCCTCGCTCCCGAGCCGCTTCTGGTGGATCCTTATCGACATCCACGGCGGTGCCAACTCGTACCTCGCGCAGGAGGTGGACCACGACTCCACCGCCTACGCGCACCGCGACAAGCTCCTCTTGTTCCAGTTCTACGATCGCGCCTTTGGCGCCTACCCGTCCGGAGAGGAGCCGTTTGGGCTGCTGGACGGCTTCGTGAGCTCCATCACGGACCACCTCGCGCCGGAGGACTGGGGCATGTATCTCAACTACGCGGACCCGAGGATGGAGGACGTGGCGGAGGAGGTGTATTGGGGGCGAATGTGGAAAGGCTGCGGGGCGTCAAGAGGGAGGTGGACCCCGAAGACCTGTTTTATAATCCTTTGGGGATCCGGCCGGCAGCGTGACGCGACGCGGTGGGTGGGTGATGCCAAGGGGTGTCTCAGGGGACGTGGTTAATCATCCATTGTCTGGAAGCATCGTGTGAGACACTGATGGGAACTAAACAAACGCGTGGTGGAAAACGCTGCAGCACGTCGGCTTTTCTTCCTTTTGGTATATTCTAACATCCAAATATAATGATATAATTGAAAAGATGTAAGGGGTATTCAGCATGTGTAAAAGAGAGAGAGAGAGGTGCTACATGTAAGGGCTGTGGCTTTCATGGAAGTTCGATTCTTGTTCTTCAAGTTTATATGTAGGCAAGGGACCGGCGACAGCTCTATTCACATTCTAGCATCTTCGAAGTTCTAGTGACTTTCTCGCCGAATCCTTCCCCAAGCCTGAGTCTTTCCCCTATTCTCAATATTGGAAGTCTTGCACATCAAAGAAATTGTTCAACACGGATGTTTGCGACTTGGGCCCTAACCCCGACCTGGCTCACTAACTGACAGTCAAATATGAAACCAAAACGCCCCTTATCAGGCCATTCGAGATCCGAATACGGAATAACTCGAGATTCCCACTCATTGGCCCTGGCATCGTTTTCTCTAAACAGTTCGTTGGGAAATGCGCCACCCGCGAAACCCCCGCGGGTGTAACGCCGTATGGAAGCCATTGTGGACCCCACCCTATTATATTCGTTCCACTCAATAGTCGAGATGAGTATGAAACTCGGAAGTTTTTCAACCCCTCGTTTGCGCAAGGAATATCCTGGGAAATCATGACCAGGGATTCTCCCACGGTGGTGTCGACTATCAGCGAAAAGGCCGGTCCAATATCGGTTTCTACAACCCCGGAGAGAGCGGCGTTGGGCCCTGTGACGTCCCAGTTGTTGAGGCCGTCGCTAAAGTCTCCGTTCAGGATAACCGATCCCCCATCTTCATCCACGTATCGGCAGTCGATCGAGGGGGTGGGTGGTTCCGCGGTCGATGTCTCTTCGGCTGAGGAAGATGACTCTGTTGTTGATGATGGTTCCTCTGTTATGGTTGATACGGCGGATGACACATCCGTGGAAATGTCCGTGGAAGAACCCGTGGAAGCAGATGAGCCTCCCGTCTCAGTCGAACTGACCGAGGTAGAGGAGCTCGCATCGCTAGAGGCACCCGACGTGGGAGAGCCACTTTCGGATGCTGAGCTGCTGTCGCTGGCCGAGATGGAAGATTGTGACTGGGTCACGGTGCTGAAGCTGGAGCTTGTTGATCGGTCATGGAGAGGCTTAGGACGATGGGGCCGATGAGGGTGAGAGCCAGGGGTATCTTCGTCGTCTTCGTGGTTCCATTGACCATCGTTATCACCATGGCCGTCATGATCACCATGACCGCCGTAGTCACCATGACCGCCGGGGCCATCGTGGCCGCCGCCGGAGTAGCCCATCTAAACGGCTGGAGCAGGGTAGACCAATTGAGGCACAAAGCCCCACCCCTCATAGGCTGCCGGCTGCCTGCCAGCCTCCTGGGAAGGCTCGCCTTCAAAGTGATCGACGTAGACGATCTTGCGGGCACCGCTGCCGGCCGCGGGTGGGGGCGGCGCTCCTTGTCACCCTGGCTTGCAACGCCGGCGCCGGTGGCTGAATCAGCCGCAGAGCTAGCGCCCAGTACGCTAGGACCAGGGCAAATGTGTCGCAAGACCTGGTCCCAGCTCTCAATGGTTGGCGCGACGGTGGCAACCATAGTAAAGGTCAAGACGTTAAAGGCCGGGGTCTATTTGAGAGCGGGAACGCACGCCGGGGGCTCCTCGGCGGGAGCGTCGGGGCTTCCAGCCACAGAGAGCCCGGGCCCGACTAGGAGAGATAGTGATGACAGTCGAAACATTGCAGCTAGCTAACTTGGTGCGGACGGGGCGAATGATGAGCCCTTAACTAGAAAGGGTAAAGCGGAAGGCGGACATGGCCATTGTTTATATCGACACATCTTTACATGTGTAAAGAACCAAGAGTTCATCTAATGATGGCCTTTCCTCCCTGCGAGCGGCAACAACAACAATAACAGTGGATATCATCTTCGCGATTTTCTTATTCTATTATGATTCAAATCACTAAAGCTGGTGGAGTCCTTCCGGAATAGCATTAGAAGCTCTCCCCTTTCATCCTGTGCTTGCTACGGCCGTTGACGTTGGCCTATCCGCGGCTGAGGAAGAGAGACAAACAAGGAAATAAAACAGGGAAAGGGCGATACACGGGCGTATTATGATGTACCCAAGATCCCGAGCCTCTTGCGTGTGCGCTCATTCTTGATGCTTCAACCAGGACTCTTGAACTCGACGTGATGCCTCTGGGCGTTTAAGATGGGTGCTCGATCCATCCCACGAACACACAAGACCAAGGAGATTCTCTATTTTATTTCATGTTTCGGCCTCCACTGTTTGATTCGATTTTACCTCATCTCGAGAGGCCGGCCTCCAATCTGCGAGAGGGGACTGCGAGAGGCATACCCTACATGTATCCTTTACATCGCCGATGACTCTGGCATTAAATTGGCGGGGCCAAAAGTGCCGCTTCAATCCCAAGTAAAACCTTCAACTGGGGCGAAATCAGTCTTAACGAGATCGCCGGCCACTCATGTCTTAGGTCTCAGGAGGCGGCACTGGTAGTGCGAGAAGACGTGGGTATAGAAGAACCTACCTCTGCGTCACGGAACCCTTCACAGACTAGTAAAATCTATCTCGGCCTGGATCCGGGGCTTAGGGACAAGAAAGAGGAAGATCTGGAGAATTCACTCCGTCGGCTTGGGAGGTCTCAGTTGATGGTGTGGCTTTGACCGGAAATCTTGGATTCTGCTTGTTGCCTGAGGACAACGCCCACCACGCGTCTCTTCCAACGTGTAGATGTAGTCTATTCATCCACTTCAGGTCATTCCTTGGGGTGAATAGCAGAAAAATCCGAGAGCATGGGCTACGTGATGGTTATTCCTTGAGCCTCAGCTACATGTAGGTTGTGACTTTGGTCAGGTTACAAGATTATCTACATGGGTATCCCACGACTCGATGAATCCGTGTTTGTATTACGTGTATGTACACAACACGTATTCGCAACGAGAGACGCCCAATGGGCCAAAGAAGAGCGAAAGAAATGAAGCTTCCATGAATGTGATTAAGGCCCGCACCAAATGTTTCCTTTCTAGTACCTGAACTCCCGAGTGTTCTACCCAGTGCTGTTCTCGCCCAATACCGCAAGTAGAAGAGGAAGAGAAACCCTATAAAAAACGAATTGTAGCAGAGAAAATGAACAAGATCAGAGATGAAATACGAAACAAAAAAGGCGAAGAAATGTAAAGGGTATCTATGTAAGAAAAAGCAAGAGTAACGCGGCAGGCGGTGGAGGACATACAATACCGAGGTAGATAGGGCAGATAAGTGAAAAAAAAGAAGAGAATGAGACGCGAAAAGACGGAGAGAGGGCAAGAAAGAAAAGAAACAAGGGCGTGAGGAAACCCTTAGGTCTGAAGCAGGTCCCCAAGAGACTCAATCGCCTCCTTGATCCGCAGCGCCGAATTTCTCAAGGCCTCCTCCTCATCCGGCTCGAGGACGAGAGTAGAAATGGTCCTAGCACCCTTGCTGTTGACCCTAGCCGGGACGCTGAGGCAGACGTCGTCGACGCCGGCATAGGAGCCCACGCGAGAGACGGTCAGCAAGGAGTCTTCGCTGCGGACGACGGCGCGCACGATGGAAGTGAGAGCAGCGGCGATGGCGAAGTCGGTAGCGCCCTTGCGCTTGATGATTTCGTACGCCGCTGTGCGAGTGCGGGCGGCAGCGGCACGCAGCGCATCAGCGTCGTAGGGCAGGTCAGCGCCGCGGCAGAATTCCGGTAGACGCATACCCTGGATGGAGGCCAGCGACCAAGGGACGACCTCGGAGTCGCCGTGCTCGCCGACGACAAAAGCGTGGACGGACGCCGGGTTCACGTCGAACATGGCGCCGAGCTCGGTCTGGAGGCGGGCGGAGTCGAGCACGGTGCCGGAGCCGAGGACGCGGTGGGCGGGGAACCCCGAGAGCTTGTAGGCGAGGTAGGTGCACACGTCGACGGGGTTGGTGGCGATGAGCAGGACGGTGCGGGGCGCGTGGTGGGCGACTTCGGGGATGATGGTGCGGTAGATGGCGGCGTTGGCGTGCACGAGGTCGAGGCGGGTCTGGCCGGGTTTCTGGTTCACGCCGGCGGTGACGACGACGACGGCGGCGTCGTAGAGGTCGCGGTAGCCGCCGGCATAGACGCGGGTCTGGCCGGAAGGGGACAGGGGCACGGCGTGGGTGATGTCCATGGCTTCGCCTTCGGCTTTGGCGTGGTTGACGTCGATGATGACGATTTCGGCGGCGAGGCCGTCGAGCATGAGGGAGTAGGCGGTGGAGGCGCCGACGTTTCCGGCGCCGATGACGGCGATTTTGATGGGCTGTGTGGAAGGGGGAAGGGAAGGGCCCGGGCGGGGCGCCGAGACGCCGATGGGAGTTTGGTAAGTCATCTTGTAGAGAGAAAGGGGAGAAGAGGACCCATGGTGGAGGTGGGGTGTGTGAGGAGGAGGAGGGTCCGAGGAAGCTGTACCTTGAAGGGACAGTATCGTGAGTACACGATGACTTGTCCATTGATGCCTTCTGTTGCAAATAGGGCGCCCATGATGAGAAAGTTATGGACCAAAGATCAAGTTGTTGGTGTGGAAACGAGAGAGGCAGGAAAACCTCGGCAGTATCACGGGGTTTGGGAACTAGATCGCGTAGGTGTTGAGGTAATGGTAGGTTGAAGCTCTGTTCAAGGTCACCGTTGAAAAAGGCGGTTGCTATGTTGTGTTAGTGGTGATGAGTCTGGGCAAGCAGAACACCGAGAAGACGCGTGCATTCCCACATGCATCTTTTTATATCATTGCCCCCCGTCAACCCATATCCGAATCATACGCTTTATTCTCCTCTCTTTCCTGGCCCTCCCTCTCTCTTGCACCACGGATGACTCCTCGTGCTGGCTCGCCAACCAGCTAGGGGCTACACAGAAACGTGCCACCAAGATACCAGGGATTAAGACCCGGAATGAGGAACGGTGGTCAGGCAAGGCCAACTTTCTGTCCGATTGAGGCGAAAACCAGGGGTGGGGGAATAAGGACCCATTTGCTCCCATCAACCTTGATTTCCATGAGAAGAAGAATCCTGCCCAAAAGGGCTTATAGTGGCACGAGGAGAGCTTTCTTTTCTTTCCTTTCTATAAAAGTCCAAGGCGGTATAGATTGATTGACTCATCACTTGTGTCCATTGACAAGGTATCATATTCGTATTGAGAGAAAATTGAAGCTACTGGATGATGGAGGGTGTTAGTGATGCTTCAAGGTGGCTCAGGCAATCCAATCTCAAAGGCACCGAATTTCCGACCCTGGAGCTCCCTCGTAACACCGCGGCGCCCACGCTCGCCCTGCCGATTTCCGATCATCGTCTTCTCATTTAGCACAAGGATGCATCAGACGCACTAATAATAAACCCAACCCAGGTGAAAGGCAAGGCGACGCATCATTGTGTCCCTATTGCACATGCTGACAAGCCCAAGGCCATGGTTGGGCCCCCGTCTCGGTCAGCTGGTGTCCTCAAAATGGCTCCATGTGTGGACCAAGATCAGGTCACCGAGCGCTGTGCCCTCTGAAATGAATTTCGGGAATTTGCCAGCGAGCACGGCCAGGGCTGTTTTTGAGGGCGGCTGGCTCTCCCCAAGCGAACCTCTGCTTATTAACTCGCCGGACGGGAAACGGGGAGCAGGACGGCCCCGGCGCCCATTTTCCACAGGGGCCGGAAATGGTGCGGTTTTACGAAAAAGGGCGACTTTGTTACGTGGGACACAGAGCTCCTCTTAGAAAGCCGCATGCCCTGTTTTCTTTAGATTAAATCAGCCCCGGACAAACTAATAAAACATCGAGTGTTTTTCAATGACCTAACATGACCAAGTTGATGTTCGTCATCCGTGGTCGAATTGGCAGGGGACTGCGTGCCCGTATCTGTGTCGGTGCTTGGTCAGACCGTGCCGTGGGACTCGCTCGTCGTATTTACGCCCTGGGAGGCCGCAAACCATCTCGAACCATCCGTAAGATATCTCCAGTGCAAGGCTATAAGTCGTATCGCTGGCCGAAGCTCTCTTCTGACCAGTCAAAGCAAGGCGTGCTCGCGTGTCAGGTCGTAATCCTCATCCCTGATGCCCTGTGGCGTGTTTCCCAGAGCCATCAACGACCGATAGAACCCATTCCCTCGGATATCCTATCAGGATAGCTGTTTCTTTCCAAAACCATCTACCAATCCACAGAGGTAGCATCGGCCACCGAGACCTCCCCCATTCCGGCCTGAAGACAATCGGGCTCCTTCCCATATCGCTCTAGCAAGCCATCACTGCCATGCGATGCGCCCGCGCATCGCGCAGCTCCCCGCCCGAAATCACACCTCGGCACTTCACCAAATCTCCCCCTCACGAGGTAACCCTCCATGCAAACCAAAAAAATGCCCCACGCGAGGACAAAGGGAGCAGCAAACAAAGGACGCACGAAAATCGGAAAAAGCTTAGGTAACCTTGCTCCCCTCTTCTCACCTCATCCATTCTCCACACCCCTCCCTTCCCTTACTTCCTTCCTTCCTCCGTTGTCAACGAGGAGAAAAGCTGCCTCAGCAGCCTCCCACATGCACGCGCGCTGCTCAGCTTGTCCGTTCTGCAGCACCGCTTATCTCAAAACGGAATCGTGCCATTCGGACCTACGTCCGGTCCGGCCCATCGGCTGGGTACTACTAACCCGGAAAAAGTCCGCGCCAAGGAGTGAAGGGCTAGAAAGAGCAGGTGCCCTGAGTCCCCGTCCACTGACGCCCGATGCCCGGAACCTACCGCCCCCGAGTCGAATCCTCAACCTACGCCACAATGCCAAGCTCCGATAGCTCCCGTCTCCCCGGCCGCCGCGAGTTCGGGGGTTCCCGGAAAATGATACCGACCCGTGGTCGCAGCACTAGTTATCGACAACCCCTCCAGTGATTGTCTCCAAACCCTGGAGAAGGGGAAAAGAAATAAAGGTGTTGGCTGTACTGAGATGATGGAAGACAGGGGAGGAAGGAAAAGAAAAAGGAACCCAACTTCGGTCCCTCTCCCATTTCCAACATCCCTGATATCCAGCGGGGGCCTTGAAGCCCTGCCGTACCGGAAAGTGTCAATTCGACAGCAGCCTCCGCCGGCGGTAGCTTTGATTTAGACCTACGATAAAAAACGGCAAGAGTGCACGGTACGCGTAGAATCAAGTATAAACGTCCCCAGTGTATATAAAAAGAGAAAAGAATGAAGTGAAGACTTTCTATGCTAGTCCTCTTCGATGAGGTCTCCGCCCTTCCTAAAGCCCCAAAGCGTGAACAGAAAAGGCCCAAGCTGCCAAAAATGCACTTGTCAAGAATGCAGAGTAGAGGATGTAAATAACCACGTCTTGTGTTGGTCATGGAGGACACCACAACGCCAGACTCTCCACCCGCCCTTCCTTCACCATTCCCTCGGTCAACCATATCAATGGAGTGTGGAAGGGGGCCGGAAGAAGCGGGAGAAAGCCAGGATCCGTGGGCCTCGTCTTTGTTCTTCAGACTCTACTATGCAACCAGGGCCTCCATTAAGCCTTTGCAGTTTCCGGCTCTACTAATACCTTCTCTGCCACCCTCTCGGTCCCTGTCGTCGTCCCCCTCTTCCCTCCCCTCTTAAACTATAGCAAAGAGAGAAGACCATCTTGTCAGGAGAAAAGAAGGGGAGAGCGCGGGAGAGACAACACCTTTCGTCCTTTCGTCTTCCCTCCCAAAACAAAACATGAAAAGAAAGAAGAATCAACGATATGTACAAAGAGACTCTCCGCTGGGGGCCGTGTATAAAAGAGCCAGCCATTGGAAGAGTCAGAATGCCCTATATATAACTCTTGGTAAAAAAGCTCCAATCCATATGGCGATGGACGGAAATGATTTGCCCTTCACACCCAACCAAACAAAAAGAAAGAAAGAAAAGTAAAAGAAAAGAAAAAGAGGGGAAAGAGTCCCCAAGACCCTTTCACACCGGCCTTAACCATCTCCCCCATCTGAAATGAAACCTAGGTCCTCTCTAAGTTTCTCTTGAATAGAATAAACAAGAGCGAACATGATCTGGGTATGGAATCAAGATGAACAACGAAAAGAAAAAAATGGCGGTTTAAAATGGAAAAAAGGAAAGGAAAAAAAGCAAGGTGGCAACGAAGAGATCGAAAATTGTTGCCACGACCCAAAATGCCTTGACGGCTTCTAACCATCGCATCTCCCATCTTGATTGCGTTAGGACTCGAGCCTTCGAAGCTATCCAGTCCCATCAACGGGCATGGCCAATTTCTTGAAAAGTCGCCATTGGCCAGAACCCCCGCTGAAAAAGTAAACCAAGGGAAACAACGACGCAAGTCGAACCCGGAACGTGATAGCAAGGTATTTTGGGCCACACAAGGAAAGGGATGGGGGACACATGACCCTTCTTCCTGTTGCCATATTGCCTTCACTCTTGTCTCGCCTCTCCACTTAGGGGAACCCCATCATGGCCTTGTCGGGGAAAAGGATAATGTTGGCTAGACGGATCACCTCGGCTTCGGCGTGTGTTGTCGATGAGCTACTGCTGATGCTCTTCGTCTCCGCTTCGTCCATCTCTACATCCCCATCCCTCGCCTTGGCTTTGTCCTTGGTCTCTGGCGGTGGCGTGCCTGCTGATTCGTACATGGCGAGGCCCATGGCTTGAAGCCCGGCCGTCCCGCCAATTTCCGCAATGTCTTTCTCACCAAGCCGGGCTGTCTGCGGCGCCTCGCTCTCGAGGCCGCTTCCTGTAGAGTCGAAATCCGGCCCGGGTTGGCCCCGGAGAAAGGCTTTGCGCTGGCGGGCTAGATATAGCGCATTGTTCTGCGTCAGGGGCGCGGCGGGCACGTAAACGAGCATGCTGACCTCGTCCGGTCGACCGTAAATGGGGCTTCGCAAGCCCGCGCCGCTGCTGGAGATGTGGTACGCTAGGTCGGGATGCCACATAATGTAGTCGCCCGCTTGCAATGTAGGTAGCGTTACCATGCTACGTCGGAGCTGGAGATGCGGGTGCCAGAGCTCGGTCACGCGTTGTGCGTGACCAGGAACGGCACCGTGCACATAGCTGTTCTGCTCCCTATCAAGCGACCAGTTGGACGGCGAAAGGAATGCCTCCCACTCCGGTCCCTCGCGCGCTGTCGGCGGCGGAGTTCTGGGCGAGAAAAAGGGTCGGAGGAGGAAGTAGGCCGTCACGAGCCGGGAGATGGCAGCAACCGAATCATGCCTGGTTCGATGGCAGAAAGGGCCACGAGGCCCTGGAACATGCGGAAGATGCTGCAGGCGCCGTAGCCGTTGTACAAATCGCTCGAGGCCGTCGAGCGCCCAGAGCACTCCCACGGGTCGTAATCCTCCCAGTTGCCCTTGAAAACTTCGTTGTACGTGCCTTCGCGCTGGTAGCCGTCGGGTTCCCACCTCTCCAAAGATCCGTTATCAACCTGCGCAATGATGCCCGAAGACTGAATGGCGCTGAGCCAATCATCGGCTGATTTAGGAGGCGCAACTGGGCCGTGGATGCCGTTGGGTGACGAGAACTCGGATCCGCGGGACGGGGCCTCGGGAGTGCCCGAGGCCATGGTAGGGGCATGAATACGAATGCGATCCGCGTAGGAGATGGGGTACTTGATGACGAGGCGGTCCTCCCGAGTAGTTCCCCAGAGACCCATCATGAAGCGCTGACATCTGAGGACGGACGGATGGGCACGCGTGTGCACCTGGGCCGGCGTCCAGAAAAGTCGAAGCAGGTGGGGTCCTGCGGCAATGGTGGTGGTTTCGAGTCGTGGTTGGTCTGGAGATAGCGCACAGTTTCGCGCACGGCGATGTCGGCGTCGACGCGGGGCACAACGCCGCGCACGACACCGACGCCGTAGCGCTTGAGATCGCGGCCGAAGCGGGCAGTTTGCGAGGGGTTCTCAATCTCAGAAAATTCAATCGAGGGAATCAAATGCGATCCAAGACCCTCAATGTGCTCTACTTCGGCGTTGAGAGCCGCAATAATGCGGATCCACGACGCTTCGAGAGCCGCTTCGTTGCCGGCAATCAAGTTGCGCTTGATGCGTGCGAAGCGCGAGGGTAAGGGGACGAGGTCAGGGCCCCAGAACGAAAAATTGGGGTTATCCATCTCGATCAGGTCGAGCGTGGACACGGTTTTCGTCTGGTCTCGAGACGCAGAGGCCGAGGCGCTGGTGGTAATGTTGGCCGCCGAGGAAATTCCTGCTATGGAGCTGCTGCTGCTGCTCCTGCTGTTGGGACCGGAATTGTCGATGGCAACGGCGGAGGGAGGGGAAGAAGAATTCGCTAGCAAGTGACTTGTGGCGGGGTTTAGACTGCTGCTACTGTGAGAAGCAGACGAAGAAGATCCAATGTCGCTAGGGTTGCTCCTGCTAATGCCAGTCAAAGAAGAAGAGGCGGACACGAGCGACTTTATGGTTGCGACGGAAGAGGACGAGGAAAGGGAACTTGTGGCGGCGGAGGATCGGTGCCTGCTTTTACTGACTCTGGCAGGGCTCTGGAGGGTGTGGAGGGGTCGCTCAGCGGCGGGGACGCCAGAGCCAGCACCACCGCCTGGTGTCGTTGATTGAGCCGGGCTATTGGTGTGGAGGCCGCTGCCAGTGCCGGGGGACGACATGGACAAGGGCATGGAATGGGGCATGGGCCGGATGGTATTAATTGCAGTACCAAATCCTGGGGTGGATGGGCCGCTAATCCCACCACCACCACCACCTCCAGTCATTCCACTAATACCACCACCAATGCCTCCAAAGCTTGATGCTCCATTTCCGCTTCCGGAGGCACCACCACCAGCGTTGTTGAGATGTTGCTGCTCCTGCTGCTGCTTGCTGCCGGAACCGTGAGCACCCGCTTTCCACCGTGGCCTTTTCCACTGGAACAAATTTCCCACGTTGACTTCGGCCATACTGCTGCTCGGGACGGCAGGCTTTAGGTTGCTGTTGTCGTCTAGGTTCATTTCTCCACTAGCCGCTCCATCACCCGCCGCCCCACGACTTGCTGTTGATGTAGCCATGGCGCTTGGTTCTTTTTTTTTTTTTGTGGGGAGGGTTCTTTTTCCTCCTTTCGAAAGATTTTCTTGGTTTGTTTTTGCCCCTCCTTTTGTTGCCGACCTGTTGGCTTCTTGGGATATATTACCAATGCGGGTGAACAAAGGTTGGATGTAAATGGAAGAGGAGGGGGGATGATAGGGGATGGGGGAGGGGCGGGAGCTCCGGCTCCCGTGATCAAAGTTGGTATTCCCCTCAAGGTGAATTGGTGACAGGAGTCGTCTCGAATATGGTGTTAATGGTGTTAGTTGCCGTCGAGGAGGGAGGAACCAAACCATTTGACAGATCTCCTCCCTGCCTCTTTCTCACTCCTTTGACGCTACTTCGTCACTCCCTCAGCGTCTTCTGTTGCTCGACCAGGTTGAAGATTTCTCTTCCGTGACAGGCGAATTGATCCCTCAGCCTTGCCGCTGCTTGAAGAAGATGGCGTCCGTTGGTTCTCTGACGTGGCACAGGGATCGGGCTGGTGTCCGTCTGCTCCTCCAGTGATACTCCGATGAACTGATCTCGTGGCGGAATACCGTCGATTGTCGTCTCAAAGTCGCTGGCCCTATCCCTCCAATCGATTCCCTTGACAAAGTCTCGGCCTTGGGGTTGTTGACGCTCGGCTGCCTCCGGATGCTCTAAACCGTCCTGATGGAGAGATCGAGATATCCACCACCAACCTCCACCCTCTTTGTGTCAAGGCGCAAGTGTCGAAAGTGAGGGCGAGGCGAAGAGAGTCCGAGTCCAAGAACCGACAGAGAAAAATCGTAGAATCTCAAGGACACGGGCTTCACCCGATGCGGGTAGGATTTCATATATATAGGTTACGCACTGGACGGCCGAAGGAAGGAATGAGAAAGGGATGAAGACTCTCCTTCTACTTGTATACAAAATAGAGCAGCAAACACAACAACCAAAGTGGGTTCTTTCTGTTCTAATTGTTCCCACATCCGCGCCGTCTATCCTTCCTACCTTCGTTTCCCATGTTCCCCTTCCCACGACTCGTTTAGGCAAAATTGTCCCACCTCCGTTCCTTCTTTGTGTCGAGAGTGGGAATGTACAGTACCGTACCGCGCCTCCGTCCCGGAAAGAAGGCCCTCCCAGAAAGAGAAGGGGAAGGGACAAGTGTAGGCACGAACAAAAAAAGGGGGTGTGGAATTCTCTTTCCTTTCGGAGGACGGTCCTGGGCCCTCGGGTGGGAAGGGAAGGGGGTGGGCGCGGGCGATTGGGGGAGAGAAGGGAAACGATAGGAACACAAACCCGTCTGTCGTCCCTTCTTGTGTACTCCCCACGATCCCCAAGCCGTCAAACCCGCCGGGCTGTGGGGGTGTGTGGAGCAAACGCCGCCTAGGACAGGGAAGGAGGGACCGAAGCCGAGCACAAAAATGAACCGCGGTGCATAAATATACTTGCACAAGTATAAAACATAAATCATGTGCACAATTTGTGCCAACTTGTGTTTGGGGGAGGGCTAGACTACGAATAAAAGCTTGGCGGGTGGGACGGGAACGAGGGAATGGAAGGGATAGCATGGTGAGGCGGAGCCAGAGGGAAAAGTTTCCGGGCCTGCGATGCGCGCATGCGACCTATCAATCCCTGCCCCACCTCGAGACCCCTGTCGCTGTTCATGTTGATGGGCCGAGGGGATGAGGAGAATTCACAAAGGCGGAACTGAAGGATGGCCAGGTATTTCAGTGGCGGACAACATTGGCTTATGGACGCATCAGCACCCAAAGTATAGTGGGGGAGCAGGACTCTGGGGTTGATTGACTTGGGGAAGGAGGGCAAGAATGACAGGATGGGGAGCGAGGGGATCACAGCCGGCTGGCAGATATTATAGCTGGCCGAATGAATACTGAAGTACATTGAAGCTCAAGGAAGGATGCATTTTTAAGGCGAACAGAAGGAAACCCCAGAGCATAACGAGAAGAAAACTAGTTGGGTGAGCACATGAACAGATGGTTTCCCTATTCCTCTCCTATCAACCAGCGCAAGTTGGAGCTCAGAGGCCGGGTCAGCCCAACCATAGCGGCCAATAAACCCTTCTCTCATCCCGAATAAAGGTAAAATTGGCGGAGAGACCACTAGTTCAAGGAACGGGCTGATCGCAAAGGGTTGATCCATTGCTTCTTAAACCCCAAATCACATGAACTCGAGTGAGACGAATAGGAGATCCCAAGTTCGCTGTATAATAGATGATTCTCCCAAAAGAAATCAAAGACTCAGTGAGAAGGGGGAGAGAGGACTGGAGAAGCAGCTGTGAGAAAAAGAAAAATTCAAAGAAAACGGCCGGCTAGACAAGACCCTCCAATGAAAACGGCGCCTCCCCTCTCTGTTCCCGCCAATCCGCCTTGACTAGCATCCACCTCTCCCGACCGCACCGAAATCCCGCCCGAGCCGGGGTGGCGACTTTGGGAGGTACACAAGAAAGCAGGCGGTTCTATACTGAACAACGGGGTACCGCTCAGTCGACGCTAGAGGTATCATCCCGTGCGTGTGTGTGTGTTCCCCACCAACAGGCGCCAGGCGATCTGGAGGGCAACATTGAAATTCCGACCCACTCGACCTGCTGTCGTGGAAGTGGAAGCAATTCCAGTGTTGGGCCACTCTTGTATTGATGTAATCCGGAGCGAGCATCTGTCCTCGTAGACCTTGACACCGCATACTTGTAAGTCTTAAATATTTACCGAAATCTCTCTTTTGATCTCCGTCTCGAACTTGGACATCACACATACACACACACACACACACACACACAAATACATTTGCACATACTGTTCCTCCATGGATAGTGATACATCCACACAATTGCTTAGACGCTCTCTCTCCTCTGCCCGTCCCCCATACTGCATCGACAACAAGCTTTCCTTGCCGCGTCTGCGTTCATGAAGACCCCATCTCACGCTCATGCCAAATGGCTTCCTGCCCCCCAATCCTCGCCTTTCCCCCTCATTCATCACCTCAATCTTATTTCTGGTCCGGGGTTCTCGCTACCAGAGTGGTATGTAGTAGTACGAGGCGCTGAAGGGCTGCCATGATGCGATTCTAGGTCCCGTCTGTTAATGGCGGATGTATATTTCCCCATTTTATCCTGTCCCAAGCCCTTCGCCCCGATCTAGGTTTCCTTCTTCTCACACCCTTCGCTTATCCTTTTCGAGTCAGTTCCTCCAGGATGTAGTGCATGGTGCGGCATCCCATTTGCAACCCCAAAGGCCTCCATGCCGATCGAGCCACACCATTTGTGCAGCGCTGCATGCTCTCAAACATACACCCTCTAATACTCTGCTCTTCCCCCAGACGAAATCAGAAGTCGAGATGAGACAGCTCGGATGACAGAACCCTGGTCCATCTCACGATGGCTTCAAAAATATTTCAGGTAGGAAGACCTGGTAGGCTTTTCCTTATGCAAGTGTTGTTCCCAGCTACGAGTACCCGGCGCAGACCTCGGTTTTGAACGCTTGCGCCCCCTCCAGGGACGGCACGCTTCCATGGATAACTTGCACTTTGTGAGGAATACATCCCCAAGCTGGCGATTGCCCGAAGGGTAGGTAGAACCGTCGGGCGCTTGCGAGAGAGAAGACTTCCTGCCTCCTTATTGACCTTGTCTTTCTAAGTGTAACTGGAAAAGAAAAAAACGAGGCGGGATAAGTGTTCAAGGGCCTTTTCATTTCGCGTAGCAGCTTAATAGCGCGATCTTCTCGCGCGCGATTGGCGTACAAGTATTGGGTTGTGGCTCTCTGAAGTAAAATAAATAACGCTGCTTGGGGTGTTGGGTGTTATACGACCACCGCTTGCTGGGAGGAGGGGAGCGGTTCTCCAGAAGAACCCGTTCTTGGTTGTCAATAGCATACAAGCCGTGCCAGTAAATTAACACCCTCGTCAGAGAGCAGCATACAATTGATCTCTGGCTAGATGTATCCATCTATTCCATATATCCTCACCCTACCGTGCCATCTATATATTTGATATAGTGGTCTCTTGCCTGGCCGGGGCACGAGACAAAGGCAGCATTCGCCAACGCGCGGCGGGTGAGACTTGCCAAAATATGCGTGGTGTCAACCTCGCAGTCTCTCTTCTACGACCCTCAATTATTGTTCTCCACGGCTGTTCCTTGTCTCCACGCCTCTCTTGCTATAGGTTCACGCTAGATAATACCCCAATACCCCGACTTTTTAATCTGTCTGGCATGCACCTGACGGCATCGATCCCGGACGGGGATGGCCGAGAGATTGAGTCGAAAGTACAGCTAATGAAACACAACAACTACTGTTCGTACACGGGACCGATCTTGTACTGATGGGCAGCGATGGCGAGGCACAGCCAACAGCGAAAAGGTCAACTCTTGCTCTTCCATAGCCGTATTATTCCAGAAGCACCCATGGATTGTCTCTTTTTATGCAAGAATCCCCAAACACGAAAAGACGCCTCCCATTTGCCACCCGAATTCTCAAGCCCTTGTCCGAGTTCGAAACTCCCCTGCTCGTTGCCCATCACCCCTTCCCAGAAATGAGCGTAACCCCAGTCCGCACAGCCTGTGGAGATTTCAGCCATTATACGTAATGCAAGCACATCTTCGAGACGATATTATTCGAAGAATTGGCTTCGTGGGGAACCTCGTCTCTCAGGGATTAAATTGACTGTCAGGAGCAGGGTCCAGGCGCGCGACCACTTGGCGACCATCCCGTTCCGGTACTGAAACCTGCGCGGACACACTGCACCGATCGGGATACTTGGGCGGTCACGCCTGGAATCTGAGCATTAACCCCTTGTGCGGTGAGGGTGAGGGTATATTGTAGATTTCGACCTCCTATAATACCTCGGCAATACAGAAGCCATCAAACCAGCGGAAAGGTGCACTGGTGCTCTCATTTTTGGGGTTGGAAGAGTTGAAGGGGGACAGCGCCAACCGGTATTGGTAGAAGCCGCTAGTCGACGAATAATTAGGCGGCTTCTAGATCACACGCACACCATTATTTTCCTTCATTACCATCATCTAGCCCCGAGGTGGCTGTTTTTCTCTCTTTCTTTTCCTTCTTCTTCTCCTTCGTCCAATTACACATGTGTATGCCGGCCGGTGCGCTTCGAGCCTACACTAGCATGGCCATCAGCTCGTGGGGGTCGAAGCCATAGTGATATCAGGGCTAGAGACATACTAGCTCCATTGATATCCTTGATCCATCCATGGATGTCAAATGGTGTACAGGTATTTCGAAGCTGAGGGAAGAATGTTGCTGTTTGTGCAGCTGATGAGAAATGAACGTTTTCTATTATCTCGCGGTCAGCACCAGAAGGATATCCGGCCTCTGATGGTCTCTTTCATTACACATGTCCTTACAGACCTGGTAAATCAAACCCGTCAGATATACCTCGGAAGCATCACCACGGCCGGGTCCTTGATGTCAGGAAATGTTGGATATGATCTTGAGAGTATACAATCAAAAAGACGGAGTTTCTTTCCTCTTGGGGGAAGGACCAACACTCCTGAATAGTGTGATTTGCTGAACACGCGATCAAGGGCTGCCCCTCGATATTGAGGCTTGAAATTGGAGGTGGATAATATTGCGGCCGGCCATCTAGGGCAATTTCCCCATTGGGCTGGTCCGCTCAGCAAGCTCGAAGCACGGATGTTGTTCTTGCACAATTGTACCCATGGATATCGCGAATTATGGATATTCGTGAATAATACAAGGTACATGGAGTAGTTGTGCGAGTGAACAAACCCGTGAATTGCACAATGCACTGACTTGTGCACTGATTAGTGTCCAATTAGTGAAGCGCTGGCCGCCTTTCTCTGCCACTTGAACTCCACCCGCCCATCGTCCAAGGCCCCCGGCGCCCCGGAGTTCCGTGCAGAGCAACCACGGGAACATTGATGATTCAACAGACCACGTCGTATCAATTTTGATCTCCAGACCACGCTGCACACACCACGCGGCGCTATTCCCAAGGTGAAGCAGGAAAATTTTGTTGCCGTGTCTGGTGGGATTCCGCGTGGAGTCGATTGAATGAAATAATAAAACTTGGAAGACCAAAGAGTGCCTCTCAACGTATGAGGCATAGAAGTGACAAATTTAGCAGGGCGATTGGCTCTTTCGATTGAAAACCTCGACTCGCGTTGGGCAAAAAAGAAAACCCCTCTGGAAGGTGTGCTCCGAAAAATAGCCCGCGCGTCCGAATAGACCAGGCTTATCAATGTTACAATTGATCACTCAAGGGCTGGCCGTACTGTTGCCCCGCGCTTTCACACCTGAGAGTACATGTAGCCTCGCGACTTCCATTGAACATCCATTGATCGAGATTACGATTGTTCTTCCCTTTTAGAACATTCCAGATTCGAGTCTCCATGTAGGACCAGCCCTCTTCATTAATCGATGGCAAGATCTTGGATAGCTTCACCGACATCGAGGCGTGCGTACCCACGCTCCTCCGCTTTACGTTTCTCTCGTCTTGCTATTTTTTTCTTGGTTCTGTCCACGCGCACCTACCGCCCCCGCAACAATGTTTCGTCTTTTTATTTCCCCGAGATGGGCACTACGGTGACCTTGAACCGATCTTTGGGACCGGGCGGGTGCGCGGCCGTTCTATCTTATTTCCTTTTCCCTCCTTGGTCCCTGTTTCCCATGACCTCGCTCTCCTCGCGCTTGTTCAGTGCTTATCTTCCCCTTTGCTTGCACTAATAGCTGAGGCTCTTTCACACAAAGTTCGGCGCCATCCCTCGGCAACGTTTGTTTCCGGGCTGGTCATTCGCGGAAAGTTTGGTCGCCGTGGGATTGGCACCTGTGGCGCTGGGAAACTGCCATGATGTTGTACATGGATCCAGTTGCAATGGCCTGCTGCCTGCCTGGCCTACCTCTCGCTTCCCCAGGAAAGTGGGAAATGGAGGGGAAGCGGGGGAGTAGAGACAATTATTCCATCGATTGGAGGTCCACAATGGCTACACGTTGCTCCGACCACTGGCGACAGAGTTGCACACCAAGTCGTCAGACAGCATGGCAAGTAAGCCCTGAGAACCAAAGACGACATTGAAGGTGAAGATGAAGCACTTGTGGGCGATATGTACATGTAGATAGTGAATGTGAGGAGGCTCAAGAAATTAGACGAGACAAATTAGACCCTTTTGCCAGGGCGGCACGAGAGGCACAATTCGTTACGACACCCAAAGCACGACACTCGATCCCATGATACTGCTGGTACCGTCGACGCCGCATCACCTCAAACCTCGTTAGGCATTATCGGCTTGTCGCGAGGTGACAGCGATACGCGATTCCTCTCACAGGGCAGGAGATAATGGGATTTAATTTACGGCTCGCTTCATTGAGTAGAAATGACGATCGGAGGTAGAGAGCCTATTGCGGTAATCAGAGGGGTTTTCATATTTAATGTGGAATCTTTGGGCGTGCATGATTCTTGTTTAATGGAAACGACAAGAGAGTGCACGTCAACTCGTCATCTTGAAATGTGCATCGAGGGTAACCGGTGACGAGTCGTGTGGTGGGTTTGAAACGCGTAACAGCCTCGACAAGATGAATGAACGAACGGGCCGGTGAATTGATATGCTCATCCCCTTATCGACTGGAGATGTCTAGGGTCCCCATGCCATGTAGTCGATGGATCGATCCATTCCACAGATGTCCAGGATCTGCGTCTCCTGGAGAACAAATCGGAACAAAATATCCATTATCATGAATCGTGATTTTATGCACATTTGGTCCAATCTTTTTATGTTCAATGGCTACACTATTATGTGGTTCGCGATTTGCGGCTTTCATGCTCTTCCCATTTAGGCCTAATTATGTCCGCTTTGATTACCTCTGACAGGGCTTCTTTCGGACTTCGGGCCACAGTTCCCTCAACTTTCATGCGTTTCCTCTCCGAGCTTCCCGCTTGTTTTGTCAGAGAGCCCCGGCCATCTTGAAGCTGCTGGTGTGGCCGGCGAGCATGACCCTGTCGGCGTCGCGGGGGCAAGGCACAGGGATCAGGGGTGGATTCTAACCTAGTCGAGGAGGAACAACCCACGGGTAAAGCCTGGAGAATTGGGGCTTGAATCAAGAGAACTGAATTCAGCACAGGGTGGTGGAGTGCGATTACCTGTTGGGTAAGGGTAGCAGCGCCTTGTCTTCCCCTTTTAGCGTTTGAGCTAGGGTCCTTTGCTGATGGGGCCCTGCATGGGGTCATGATGGGGTGGTGGATAGAAGGAACATAAAGCTGAGCTCAAGCAGAGGCGAGGGGAACCCCAGTTCCTTTCCAAACGCACTCGTGGGGTTCATGTTGATTTCGAAGATTCCACCTCGGGCCCTGGGTCCGGCGCATCAGTGAAAATAAGATGGTGTGGAGCAGCTTGAAAACACGGCAAGGGACAGAGGACGAAAAAGAAAAAAAAGTTCCCCGTCTGATCTTCTAAGCACGGTTGATCCAGGGCGGGCGAATTATTTGGGAAGGCTAAACCGTTCCGAAGGCAAATCGCTCGGAAACGTCCCTACGGAAGGAGAGGGGGCAAAATGGAAGAAGAGCCAGAGGCGAAAAGATTTGCGTACATCCATGTCTTACAAGGGCTAGAGGTTGCAAACCCAACGGGGGTGAAGAATTGGAGGAGCCAAGGCCGCGTTCAGTTTTGTGTGGCGCTAGATCCAAAGAATGTTTTGCATAGTTTATATCCTAGGGGCTCCCGTCCCTTACGGCCGAAGAAACAGGGATTAAACCATTGATGAAGGGGCAGACGGGGGATCAATGATAGTTTCGATGCTGGAAAGGAGCATTGAAAGCTAGGGTTTGTTCGAGGTGCCCCGCACCGAATCGCTTTGCGGCTCATCTGCCTCGGTATAGGCCTGGGTAGGACTTTCCTAAGGAGTGGCCGCACACAACGAATCTACACGAGTTGCAAATGGAACGTTGAACCGTCAGTTAGTCAACATTGATCCATTGGTCACAAAGGGACTTACACAAGCCCCATCTATGGAAAGTACAAGGACGGATTCCAACGATACCAGACTGCTCTAGAACAGGGCACAACTGTTCGATCTTGCAACCACCGACTTTGCATGGCAAACCCCGAAGAAGTGAAGGGATTTTAACAGTAGAAAGCGATCTATACCCCTAGAGGAAGGGCGTGCTTTGAAGCTATTGATTGATTCCAGAAAATACCCAACACTCCACGGCGATGTTGCCACCGGGAAAACCTGAACGGCATTCCGGGATCATAGATTATTTATGCAGCCCAATGGAGATAGCGCACTGCTGGCCAAGATCGAGCTGATCGGATGAGGCGCCGGCTACGGACATTTATTTTTTTCTCGTTCATCCCTTTGCTTGGGAAATTGGTCCAATGGTGTGCATGGTTTATACGCGCATTGAAGGCATGAACATCAACCTCTTGTTGCACTCTTTTCCACGGCGCGTATCCTTCCCTTGATCCCGGATGGGAAACCGCATTCTCCGGAGGCTCAGATTCAGGTGTGCGGATGAAATTTCGCACTCCTGCTCCTCCACCGTTTCGTATAATTGGGTCGACCGAGGCATAATACAGGTGTATCAACGTGCAGATTATATCCAAAGAAGCTTGCTTGGGGCCTTTTGGGGCCTTAATACGCCCTTACTGTTTGGCCCCCAGCATCTACTCTCGCTTGCCTTTCGATGGTTCCATCGACCACTCGATAGGACAACAAAGGAAGAAGAAAAAAGTTCCTATAGATATACTTTTTCTTCTACTCGACCTCATGCGCGGAGAGTCGGCTTCTCAAGCCGTTCCCCTTTACTCATCTCTAGCATACTATTTCGGCGAGGCAGACTCCGCCGACGCTTCCTCTCTTTTCGCCACCTCCTTCTTGTACTCAAACCAGTCATCGCTCCGAGGATAGCTCACCTCTGGCACAGGCACTCCCAGAAACTGACAAAGCGGTTCCCAGCCAGCCCCTACTGGCAGCTCGAGAAACTTCCTCTCCGCGTGCCCTTCCCCGGCGGCCTTACTCTCGGCCACGGCGACCTCTGCCGCCTTGCGCGCCCGCTCGTTGTGCTCGCCAAAGAAACGCCTCCCGTGGGCAGGCAAGTCGTTGCCCCAGCAGTGTGCGTGGTACTTTCGCCGCAGAGTGGCGAGCGGGCCAGGGTCATCGGCGGGCTGGTTGACGTGGTGGTGCCAGAGGGTCGTGGTCATGGACGCCAGCCAGGAGTCGGCGGTGCGAGTCGTCAAGATTATGGAGGCTTCAGGGTAGGCGGCGATCAGCTCTTCGGGGAAGATGGCTGCTGGGTAGTCCGCTACGGCCTGTGTCACCCCGAGCGCGGGGACGTGGTTGGTAACCCTCAACCTTCAACATGGGAGACGATATCATTCGATATGGTACCAAAAAAAAAAAAAAAGAAAAAAGAGTGCTGCCGGGAATGGGATGGTGAACGGAATGTGATCTCGGCTCCCCTGACTTGACTGGCGCGCGCCCACCCTTCGATAGCTCTAGGCTGCAAACATTTCGAAGGCAAGTCTGGTTCCACGCCCCGCCATTGCAGAGTGGATGTGTAGGTATGGTTATGTGTATGTGCGTGCGTGTACGTATGGGTGGCGAAAATTATTCGAGGTTGGGAGGGTAGGGAGTGGGAGGATATGTGGTGCAACACCACTCGGTGGCCGGGGCGCCCTCCGAGGCGGGACTTCTTCTCGGAGAGATTGTGGAGTCTATTTTTGGATAGGTTCCGATCAAGGGCAGGGTAAGGAAAAGAGGAACGAACCCCAAAGGTATGAATTGAGGGAAGGTAAAGGCAAATCTTAGAAGGGCAGAAGGAGGCGAAATTGGACGTTCAACGGAATGGGTGCGGATAACAAACCTCATAGCCACTCAGGATCCTGTCAAACTCATCCCGGGTCCAGGCGGTTCCCTTGCCTTCGAATTTGGCCTCGATGGCCTCGACCCAGAGATCTTGGTGTTTGTTCTTGCCTACATCTCGCATGTGGTAGACGGGCGCGATTCCTAGGATGGCCAAGGCATCGGCGAGAGCTACGCCAAGAGGCAAAAGTTGCTTCATGTAAGGGCCTCGCAATTCTAGATTCATAGTGTGCGCGGCGCGCAAGGGACTTCCTCTTACATTGGGTGCCTGTTCGGGGCAGTCCGAGGACGAGGATCTGCATCTTTGCTTTCTTTTTCCCTCCCTCTTAGAGCGGGGCCTTGGCGGTGTGGGGCTCGAGTGAAGGTTGATAGTTTATTGTTAGTCTTGGACTATCTTGGTTGGGGGTTCAGACAGATGGAAAGGCTTGGGTTGTGTACACTCTCGCAGAAGTTGTGAAAAGGTGGGTTCAGGGTTCAAAAACAAACATAATCCAGATTCCCGGGATAAGGGGTTTGCATTGTGAAGAAATTTCCCTTCCAATGATGCCATTTAGCCCTAAGATTAATACTACGAAGCACCACCTGGTACCAAACACTCTGAACATCAAGAAACCCCATCCCTCCACGATGCGAAGGCATGGACGGGGAAATGGCGAGGCCGACAACTCCCGAAGGCCAAGGGTAGAGCTGAGGGCTTGGGTGGGCTAACCCCATTTCGGTCGAAGAATGTGGGGAATTCTGGAAGCTCTGGCCGGGCAGCCGCTAGCGCAGCTTATCTCCCCTCTCCACATCTCCACACAAGCTTCCCAAGCCAGGCACGCTCACTTTTGTCTGCACCCGAAATATGTCCGATAACCATCTGGTGCCAGTTGATATGCTGACAAGAGCTTAAAAGTTGAATCGGTGTTCACAAATGGGGAAGGTTCCAACAATGGTTGACTTCTATTTTTACCCCACATTGCGCTGCGAGGACTCTCTCATCACATGGATGGAGGCTATCTCTGCTCTCTCGAACATCTATGGATCTATTTCCTGCAGCGTTCTTTTTCATGCAGAGTTGGGGGAGAAAGTTCCCGAGGGTGTTGCAATGGATCTCAACAGATGAGGATGAACTACTTGGATGCAGCTCATACTGCAAGCCTTCTGCGGGAGTGGCTCTCACCATCCTGATCAGTCTCGGGATGTTGCACAATTTGGGTCCGTGCTGTGGCACATGCGCATGACGAGGGGCGAACAAGTGGCATCTGGGGAGCATAAGTGCCTTGTGCACGGTATCCGATCGATGACTAAGGCCAATGCTTTCACAACGCGCCCAGAAGAGGAAGCTCCGATCATTCGGTGCAGGCATATTGTGGGCTGTGCTGGCTTGCGCTGGCTGGTTGCTGGCTGGGCAGAAAGCTGAAGTGAGGTCCTGGGGGGGAAAGGCCACCTGCCCACCGCCACCACCAAAACCCGCTCTTCTCCACGTCATCAGATGTCATCTGTCTCGTTAAGGTGCGCTGGACTGGGAAATCCCCGACCTTTTGTTTCCCATTTGAAGTTTGTTGATCCGCCAACCCAAATCCAGCAGGCACTAACCCCCGGACACCTCAGCCATCCAGGCTTGGCCAGCAGAATGAGCAGAGTCCCCTCTGCCAAGACCTGAGGTTGCCTCATATTCATTGCCACAACGATGCGGTCTCTGACTTCTTAGGTTTTCAATATATATCTTTTGGAGATTGGGCGGAGATCTCAATTGTTTCCCGACTCTCTATTCCCCACATTCACACAAAGGCGGTCCCAAAACAAAACGACAAAATTTTAGCAACCACGGGGCCTGTTTTACCAAACCGTCCTCTCTCACCACCGCTGCACAGGACGGCTACGCACGCGACGCTTGTCCACTGAGCAAACTCGATAATGCATCAACTACGTGCCACCGTCCTCGCCCTGGCCGGCCTCGCTCTCGAGCGAGCGTCTGCCGCCGTGCCAAACCTCACGTCGTCGTGCCAGATCCGGTGTTATGACCTGACGGCCGACATGGTCGGGTGTGGAGTTGACGACTACCGCTGCCACTGCGACATCTTTGACTCGGCGTTCGTGCCACAGATGCAATCCTGTATGATTGAAGGGTGTGCGTTTGATGGTGAGCCGCTAAGTGAGTTTTCCCCCAATCTCATCGTGACGTTTTCCCTCCTCGACACCACCCCTAGCCTGGTGGAGCCGTGCCGCGCCCGTTGTTTGTCGCGCCGTATTCATTCGCAAACCCATGCTAGCGCCAACAAACCAACGACCTTTGCTTTTACCTTGCACCCTTCTCCATCCCTCTCCAGATCCCTCTCCAGATCCCACCACCTTTGTGGTTTAGCGGGCTAGTTCCGCCCTGTTTGAAGCTTTCCAGTGCCTACCTATGTGGGGGATGGGAGATGAGAAGGAGCCTGCTTATTTTCTCGTTTCTCTGTTCCCACATGGAGCCTTATTTTCCGTGCTTGTTTCCCCCGATCCTATCTTTTGTTCTTGATGGTGCCTACCTCGATGATGTCCGTGTCCGCATAGTGATGCCACCCTCGCTAACTTGCCACGTTTGCTCCGCTCTATAGACGCCACGGAGCTCAAAGAAACCGTTTGCTCTCTGGCAGGTCAGTTTCCCGAACCATCGCCAACCCCGGATCGCCCTCTGGGTCCGATTCCTTGCCCTCTCCGACGCCATCAAGTACACCCACTGAATCCAGCGACTCCTCTGGTACTGATACCCCTCCCCCTCGCTCCTCTTCACAATCTACCCCGGCAGACTCCCTTCTAGGACCTCGGACTCACAAGATGATGACCCAGACCCAACGGATTCCGCGGAGCCTGGCGACGCCAATGAAGAGGGCGCGGCATCAGCTTTACCAGTCATGACTGCGGGGGTTGCGGCAGGCATCCTGGCTGTGGTCATGGCTGGAGGGTTCCTCTTCTAAGTAAGTGAGTGTCGAGCCCAAGAAGGGAACGCGAAAAGGAGGGTGTGGACTAAATGGAGGAGAAGAAGGGGGGAGGCCTACAGGTCGAGGGATGTGATGATCTCAAAAGAGGTTTGGGTCACGGATGCAGCGCAAAGAGGCTAAGCTGCTCACGGAACGGAGAGGCGTGAAGTTGGCCAACGATATTGGATACCATACCTAGAATGGCGTGCTTGATATTATGTTTGCTCTCTTTTTTCTTTCTTTCTATCTTGTCATGATCCTTCTCTCTGCAAATACCACTACACTTGACCAAGTTCGGGGTTTGACCGAGTGAGGATAAACGGAAACGAGTCACGCTTCGATGCAGGATAGGTTTAGCGAACGAGGCATAGCTCATGCTCGTGGGTGTCATCGCGAGCGGGAGGTGGGCTTCATTCCAATCTACGCCATGAGAGAGACGGTAGTGGTTCACGGAGCCGCGTGAGGTCACTGCTCGATAAACCTTTTGCATATTACGACACATGCTTGACTACCATCACGAGGGCCCCGGTGCTCGGGAACATCCATCGTGGGGTTCCCTAGCGCCCTCAATGTGGGAATGAGGGGAGGGAGGGGGAGGGGAGGGATAGCTCCTTTGGATCAAATAGATGGGGATTGGTGGCTTTCAGATTATCTTGGTTTCGCGCCCATACCCGGCACGGAAGAAGCAGGCCATCATCGTCACATCGGACCATGAACGGTGGACCGGGGTTCCTCCTACGGGCTTAGACGTGAACAAAAGCCCAACTCGGCTCGAAAGAAAGGGAACTATGGGAACTATGGGAACTATCGAGATGTGCCTTGAGCAGCACGGGCGCACGGAGAGTCAGCCACCCTTTTCGTCGTGTCATCGCCTCTTGGTTCGTCGTCACCTGGGTGGAGGAGGGATCTGGGGAGAGACGGGAAACGTGAAGAGGGGTGTTTCGGAATAAGCAGAACAAGAGGTGATACACTAGTTTACTTGTTGCTATGTTGGGGGTCATGTTCTAAGTCTTTTTCCCCTCCCAATATGAGGGAAGCCTTGCTTTCTTTATTTCCAACACTTATTCCTCTAGTACCCCGCGGCTCGGAGAGAGACGTTTCAACACGGCCTCCGAGAGCGGCCAGCTATACTTGTTTAATGGGTCGGTGTTTTCTGGGTGAAGAGCGGGGATTGTGAAGGACGGCTCGGGAGATGATGATCCTTGCTGGATTGTCCTATGTTTTTCTTTTCTTTTCTTCTTCTGTATCTCTTATCAAACACAAACACGGACCCGGCAGGCCTTCCCCGCGCGAAAGGACCAAAAACGATGGAGCGAGAATACCACGTCGGCGAACAGGTGTTCGTGGTTTCCGGTAAGGTCGGGGACGGTGAATTGGGAACTGGTCTGAGCTCCAAAGCAACGGCGAACGGGAACTCGCATCTCCGCCTGCAGACCTACTTGGGAAAGGGGGAGGGGATGGTGAATCAGGATCAGATCGATGGGCAAAAGATGGCTTCGTCGGTGCAAGGCTAGAGCTCTAGGCCGTGATGATACTGTCGCCCTCGGTTGCACCAAATCCCACTGCCGACCTTGGGAGCTTCCTTGCAATTACTTAGGATTGGACAAATCCTCTAGGCAATACGCGGAGGGTGGCTCACAAGGGGAGGGATTCTGGATCCCGGTGGGGTTGGAGGGGGAAGTGATTAAATGGACCCAACACGGCTGGTGTATAAGAAGAAGAAATAAAGAAATAAATGAATCGAGCATGCTGTTCGATATAGTATAGTATCTGTTTTCTGGAACCGCCCTTGAATGGGTGTCCTCTCGGCTGAATGTAAGCAGAAAGATGCCATCGCATCGACAAATGTCACCTGGGCCCAGTCCAAAAAACGAAGATCAAGAGCAGTGAGTGGAGCGCGTCCTGGAGCGGCCTCCGTGCGACGCTTGTCGCCCTTGGTTCTGAGGGTTTAGAGTCGGCGTTATTCTGGGCCACGACGAGACGGACGTGGGATCGATCGTCAACCAAGAAACATTCACTTTTGCTCCACCTTGTTCGCAAGCGCGCCGCCCAACGCCGCACCGACCGACATTTGGGAACGGAGCTGCGCGCCCGACCGCGCGCTCGGTGTGGGCGGAGGCCCGGCGTCACTCTTTTTCCAGTTTCGCTTTATTGATCACAACATTGAGGAAAAACATCCATGGTTGGATCTTCCTATTGTGCATCCCTCTGCCACTTTATCCAGCACCAAGTCCCGCCTCCACTCTCTATTTCTCTCTCTCCTTCCCCTCCCCTTCCAAACTATGGCACGCATCAAGGGAGGGACTGCCTTTCTGTGCGCACTTGATTCATTAAAATCGCGCCATGATCCGGTCCAGTCCGTCCATCGCAATTCCCGCCGGCCGAATAGGCGGTCGCCGCCAAGAAAAGTCTAGATGACCTTGCTCCAAGGGCTTGATTGCTTTTGCGCGAGGCGGGCGACTTCCCACTGGCTAAGCGATATTCCGGAAACCCTTTCGGGCTGTTCCACGACCGAGCCTGGTCTTCGCTCTCTGCTCTTTCCCCTTTTCCCCGTCCCCGTCCCTGTCCCCGATCCCTCTTCTAAGCCTACAATACGGAACGAGAGGCTCTCGCACGACTTCTTTTTCTCTCCCAGCGTTGAAGCTAGAGTGCGATGAAGTTTATCCTCACAAAGGGCTAGAATTCTGGAAGGGGTGGAGGTCTTACGAATGGATCGAGATGATGAGAGATGCTGAGGGTGAACACCCGGCCAGACAGACCAGCTAACGCGCCACGAAAGGAGGCATTCTGGGAAGCAGGCAGGGAGGGGTCACACAAACCGTCAGCCAAGAAAAGGACCAGGCGAGGGAATTTGTATGCACGTTGCTCTACGGCTGGTTCTTCCAAGAGCGCAATCACTCTCGGGACGAATGGGTGAATTGGGCGGAAAATAAGCCCTGCCAGGCACGATAGAGGCGGGCAGTCAGGAACGGGAAACAGCCGAATGAGCCGCGAAGTGATGATTTTTATTTATTATCGTGGGTCCATCTTACGAGCTCTGCTGCTTGACCGGAGCTAGATTTTTTCTTCTCCTCTCGTTTCCTCTCGTGGCTTTTATCAAGTGAGATTGGCTGTTCAACCTTTTGATCTCCCGTTGATCGACACTCGCTCGTTCCGTGATCCAGGTCTAGAAAAAGCTTCTCGCTTGCCGATCTCATTCCCCAACGAAAGGCTATCGGTAGCAAAAAGAATAGAAGGGGAAAAGAAAGGACAAAAATCACATACCTTGAGCTAGGACTTGCACTACCGCCGATATGCGCGTCTCCCATCTCCTCCCCGCCGCCACCCTGGCGGCCGCGCAGGCCGACAAGGCCTTCCAGCTCGCCGACGTCGGCACCTGGTTCGAGAACTTGGCCGTACGCCCGTCGGGCTCCGTCCTCGCCACGCGCATGGATGCCCCCGAGGTCTGGCACATTGACCCCAAGGAAGGCACCGGTTCGGTGCTCGTGACGGTGCCCTCGGCGCTCAGCACCACGGGCATCACGGAACTGACGCCCGACGTGTGGGTCTTTTCGGCGGCCAACTTTTCCTTTGGCGAGCCCTTTGGCCTGGCCCCGGGCTCCATGGCCGTGTGGAAGGTGGACCTGTCCGAGGGCGACGAGGGCGCCGAGCCCGAGCTCGTCGCGCGGTTCCCCGACGCCGGGTTCCTCAACGGCATGGCGACCTGGGACGAGAAGCGCGTGCTCGTGGGCGACACCACCAGCAGCGCCATCTACCTGCTCGACGTCGAGACCGGCGAATTCACCACCGCGCTGGACGGACCCGAGGTGGCCGGCGTCAACGGCATCCGCGTCCACGACGGCGCCGTCTACGCCGTCGCGACGACCAACACCACCCTGTACAAGATCCCCGTGACCGAGGACGCCGCGCTCGACGGCGAGGCCGAGGTTATCCTCCAGGGCCTCGGCATGGACGACTTTGACGTCGCAGCCGACGGCACCATCTACGCTGCCGTGCCGTCCAGGAACCTCGTGGTCCGCATCTCCCCGACGGCGAGGTCACCGAGATTGCCGGAGGCGAGGGCTCCGATGACGTCCTCGGCCCCACTTCGGTCAGGATCGGACGCGCCAAGGGTGATGAGGGCACCGTCTACGTTTCGACGACCGGCAACGGCGCTTTGGCCCCCGGATGCTACCAAGGAGGCTGCGAGCATCACTGCCGTCAAGGTTGGCGAGGCCCCCGCGGAAGAGCCTGCTGAGGAGGAGGAAGAGCCAGTTGAGGAGGAGCCTGTTGAGGAAGAGCCCGAGGAGGAGGCTCCGGTTGAAGAGGAGGAACCCGTCGAGGAGGAGCCTGAGGAGGAGGATTAATTGATTGGCGCTTTTGAGTGGGTTGCAGAATCGTCGGAACGCCTGTCGCTGCAAAGTTCATGTCGTGCCAATGAAACGCTGGCCTTTGTTAGCTCTTCACGGGTTCTTCTTCATGTATAAACTTTGCCTGATAATTCCATTCTTGTCTCTCTTCAACTTTTTGTCAGTGTTTTCAAGGTTTATAAAAAACATCGCCTACCAGTTGCCTCTATTTGACAATGCACGATGACGCGGTTTTCATCCATGATGCTTTTATATTCGCCCGAGATAGACCAGGCCTTTTTATTCCCCTTGGCTCATTCCTTCCTATTTCCTTGCCTTCTACTTGATGAGACCCATCCGAGAATACTGGGAAATGAACCAGTCATCCCCATCCTCAACAACCGTATGCAGATAACGACCGATCTCAAAGACCTCCACCGAGGAGGCCACAGTGAGATTGCGCAATGCTTCATCCCACTTGGGACCCTTGTACCAGGGGCTAGCGGCGAAGGCGACCCAGATCTCGTTGGTGGCCTTTGTTCCAGGCCCCTGTAGCAGTTAAAGCGCTCCCACTGCCAGTTGACGCCCGGCCGCGAAAGGTGGTGGTGGACGATGTACGTGTAGACGAGGGTGGTGACGAAGTGGGAGTTTCGGAAGGAAAGCATCTCGCGGGCGACGCGTTCGCGCTCCAGAATTTCGAAGCATTGGGCGACGGCTTCGGCGGCGGGGTATTTTGGGTAGGTGGAGGTCTCGCTGAGGAAAGGGGAGGCTCGCGGCCCAAGCGACGGAGGGTGAAGATATCGCGGGCGAGGGCGAAGGCGGAGGGCTGGGGCTGGGAGATGGGGCGGCCGGAAGAGTACTCTTCGTGGATGAGGGAGTAGATGGCGTCCTGGACCTCGGCGCAGTTGGCGAAGATGCGGAACGCGGTGAGGGAGTGGGTTCTGTCGAGACCAAAGGTTAGCGCAATGTTCAAAAGGGGTCACTGCTGTTGACGTTGTGAAACGAGATTTGCTCCGATGAGGAAGCGGAGGGATGGGGAATTGGTTCGGGGATCGGGAGTTTTCTGGGGGTGGTGGGGGAGCCATTGTGAGGAAGTAGAACAGGGCCGGAGGGCTCGCTCGTGTTGTTTGAGGTTGTTATTCTAGGTTGTAGGGAAAGCAGGGGGTGTGTGGCTCTTCGTGTGATGTCGAGCGCTTGATCTAGGTGAAGTAGTGGTGGGATGGTTAGGTTGACTGATAGATAGTGGTAAAGTATATCCAGGAGAGTCGGAGGTTCGAGGCATGATATATAGCTGCGGCGGTCGAGGTTTGATAAAGGACACGACGAGATATGGAGATTGAAGAGGGCACAGTCCTTAGTCTTCCCTTCATTGTTTCGCGGCGTCCGAAGCAAGGCGTGGCGTACGGGGGCAAAGGACAAGGAAGAAGGCTCCGCTTGCATGCTTTCACTCAAAGCCTTAATCAGTACGTTCCAAGATACAACGCCTTGGACTCGGGGTTGGCGGCGTCAAAGGCTTGTTTACAACTCGATGAGGCGCCTCCTTTGTCCCCGGAGTTCCAGAGCTCGACTTAGCAGAGTGTAAGTTGGCGCGTATCAGCTTGTGAATCGAGGTTTTGTCAGCTTAATCCACCAGCGCCTTGATCACTTGCATTGAACTTATTCCCGACGATGCGTCCCTCTTGAGTGAGGAGTGATAATAATGTCTCAAAACTGGGTAGCACGCACACTCTTGTATCTCGCTGAATGACATGGTGATGGCTGACAGGATTTCTAGTATTCAAGTATTTCTATAATCACATCGGTGCTACTCATACTATGCGAGGAGACGAAGACTTGGGCTTCAAAAAAGTAGCCTGAGTTTGTGGTTCTGAAAGGGACATCACCCAAGAAAACTAAGAAGGGTTCAAGCATGAAGACGGTTCAATGTTGTCAAAATAATAAGATCGAGTTACTTGTATTCCATGTATATAACTACCTTTTCACCTCAAACTTCGATTAGCTTAGCTTACATATACTATCTTCACTCTATAGACCTCAACACCCGCCGCGTACAACCCCGGATGTTGGCAATAGCATCCCCTAGCCTAAAGGAATCGTAGGCAACGCTCTGCCGATACGTCGTCCAAAACGGATCCTCGGCGGGCTCAGGGAGGCCCGCAAACCCGCTAAAGCTCTCCCACGTCCAGTCGATGCCCCTGCAGACGTGGTACAGCAAGACCTCGATCCAGCGGGTCGCGGTTTCGTGCAGGCTGCCGAGGGGAGAAAGGCCGGCGGCCTCGCGCTCGCGATCCAGGGTGGCGAAGAAGCGCAGAACACGGGCGGCCTTGTGCCGGGACCACTCGAGCACGGGGAAGTGATGCGGACGACGCCGACTTCTTGGAGAGAGGCGGCGCGAGCTACGTAGAGGTCGCGGCCGTAGGCGAGGGCGGTGTCGTCCATGGAGAGGCGGTGGTACTCTTCGTGGATGAGCAAGAAGACGGCCTCCTGCACGGCGGGGCGGTAGAGGAAGCTGCTGAACCGGTCCGGATCCTGGATATTGTGCCAGCTGATGTCCTGCGGGACGAGGGGGGCAGGTCGATGGCTTTGGAGTCTAGGTCGGAGTCCTCTAGTTGAGTGCTGAGCATCGTCTTGGGTGAGATGGCGGATGACGATGTACTGGTGGGGGAGGACGGGGCGCAAAAGTCATAGGTTTGGAGTTGTGCGGCTGCGTCGCTGAGTGGGATTGGATTGGAACGCATCGTGATTGAGGTTTGAGGTGTTGCCCAAGCTTTTACTACTTTAACGGACTCTGTCTGATAAGGATTATGTGAACTTGGATCTGGCCATCTTGACTTGCTGAGATGTGCTGGTTTTCGTGCATTATATCGAGTTCTCTTCAAAGAACGAGGGTTGACGTGATGGCAGATAGACAAAAGCCTTCTTGTGCTGATTCTGACAAAAAGATTCGGGGAACCCAAGCCCGTATTGTCGTTCTCACCTAGGGTATGGAGGACGGTGAGAAAGAAACAGATTATTCACGCGAAACAAAGGCCTTTGAATGCTTCGTCGTCCTTGCGAGGATCTTACTGACGTATAGATTCATCAGAGATGCCGGGCACGGCTGCCTCCCACGAAGGGAGGGCGGATTGGGCTAGATCTAGATGTGCAACGGACATGATGGTTCTCTAGTTATTAAGAAGTTACTCAAGATTTCACTTTACTTAGTGGTCAGTTATCTTGAGCTTAAAATACTTGCCCAAAAGATGGATTCCGTGTAAGTAACATAAGCGATTGAGCCCGCATCAAAACTGCTGTCGACTTGTCCACGAGGCCGACACATAAAAATGCCTTGCTAGATGTAAGCAGTTGGAATGGTGAAGATCAAAGATGTTCCTGGCCAATGTCGAGTTCTTTGAAAAGATCATCCTGTAGAGAGGGGAGAGACAAGGCTGGGCATCTTGCTGCATTCCTTTTAGAATCCGGAGCATTCTCCACCTTGGCCGGACACAGGTAAAATGCTTCACCTCCACGTAAAGGGAACGAGGAATGTACAAGACTCAGACAAGGAAAGTGACTAATCGGGAAGGCATCGAGACGTCCAAATGTCCAGCTAGGCTTTCATGTCATCCTGTTTCACAAGGCTTCATACAATCAACGTGCAGGCACGTTCAGGTGGGGGCGGGCGTGGAAAGGTGGATAGGAGATGATGCGAAACTTGGCTCTCCCTGCCATTCTGCGAGGCGAAAGCCTAAACATTGGTGTGGCTTGAACACAGCCATGCATCCAGATGCATCGAGGGAGGGGCACCCTTTTCACCTCCAAAGTAACGATCGGGACCTTCGTATCGACCGTATTGAACCCGGTTTAGCCAATGGGAATGCGAGATTTCGAGCAGCCCTCTGATAGGAGAAGAGAGGAAAAGAAACACCAGGGTTGAGTCCCGGTCTGGCGCGGGGCACGGGGACAAGGCGAGCGGGAGGATGCTTCGGGACTCGTCGTATGGGTCGTATCGTGAGCTCATTGGCGAGTAGACCCTGCGCATGGAGTGACTTTGCAGCCCGAGGCTGCCTTGCGCTGATGCCAACGCCACCCATCCAACTTGGGCGAGGCGTGAGAAGCTTGCTCTGCCAAGCCAAGAAAGATCGTGACATTCTTTTGTTGTGACCGAAGAAATCTTCAATTTCTTGCGAAAGGGCATCTCGACTGCAGAAATATATAAATACTCCCAATTTCCCACCATGTCAGTCATGATGATGGGAGTTGTGTATGCCGAGACACCTCAGCGCTAGTATGAGCTTCAGGCAGCATAGAACTCGATTCAATTGAACGCAGTCCAAAGAAATCTCTCCGTATCAGTCAACATCTACTATATTTTACCAAATCCGCTTAAATCCATCACATCATGGGTGCCGGATCCTCAACGTAAAGTCATTCCCTCCCCGCCCGCGAATTGCGCTAGGGTATGTGCCCCGTACTAACACATCCTCGCAGCCCAGCCCCGCCCCCGAGGGTCGCTCAGCTCGAGAAGGTGTCCTCGCCGGCGTCATTGACGCCATCAGCAGCACCATCCGCACCATGGACCTCCCTCCCGCCATCACCGACAGGGCCCGGGAGGGCATCCGGCTGAGCGCCGGCCTTCGTCGCCACTTCCTGTTCAACACGGGACAGGACGCCGACGACGATGTTGCGGCCACGACGCTCGTGATGATGGCGGGTCTGGCGACCAAGGCCCGGCAGGCGTGCAACATCCGCGACTACGTGACTCTCCTGGTCGAGGACACGGTGCTTCGCCTTAGCATGGACCTAGGTCCGCCGTCACAGGCGCTACGGGATGCTGCCGCCTTTATTAATCCTTTCCTCAACCCGGAGGGAGGTGGGTCCTCGGGGTCAGCGGGGACTCCTGAGTTGGTGCCTTTAGGACGACGGACGCGGCGCTGGTGACGGACGTGGAAAAGGGGTTGCTCGTGCTTTTGTATTATTGCCACGAATCCAACATCAAGGACTCACCGGACGAGGCGATTGGGCATTTGTGTAAGCTTGCTGAAAAGTACGGCGACATCAAGGACCTTGACACGCGCAAGGAGCCACTGACAGAAACCGAGGTTCGTTTCCGCAGCCCACCTGTCCCCCTTTTACCCCCTCCACCCCCTTCTCAACTTCTTCAGTACCTTTGATCCTAGACTTCCCCACGCCGCAGAATTTTCCAATTGCAGCGCAGTGCACAAAACAAGTCAAGCTAACCATGTCTCCTCCCCATTTTCTGGGGGCCCGGCCTGCGCTTTTTTTAGGTTTACCTCTTCTGGGCTCTAGCCTTCCTCGTCGCCAACATCACGGCCTCCGTCCCCGAGGCCAACCTGACGGCCGAGTCCCGCACGCGCCTGGCCGCCGAGCGCGGAGTGCAGCTCAACCGACTGCTCACCGCCTGCGAGATGCTCCTGTCGGAAGGGCGGCTCGACCAGGCGTGCTTCTGCCTCGCGTTCCTGCGGCGCATGGTGGCGGGCGAGGAGCGCGCGTGGTGGAAGTCGAGGGCCAAGAGGATCGCCAAGGAGCTGGGCCGGAGGAGAAAGGTGAGGCAAAAGTGGCACGAGGAGTTTGCGGCGCAGGCGGTTCGGGAGGTGGTCAAGGCACCGGATGTGCCGGGGACGGAAGGGTGGGAGGCGAGGACGTCTATCTCGTTTTCGAGGGAAGACTTGCGGTTCGATCCGGATCCGATGAAGGGGCTGTAAGGGAGGGTTGGGATGAGGCCTTCAGGGTGGGGGATGGGGGAGGTGGCTGCTCGGTGCTCGAGAATGACTTTGATTATGTTGGGATATGAGAGCAAGCACAGAAACAATAGTAGAATGAACAAGAGGTATTCGTCTTTACCAAAGCTTCAAAGTTACATGTATGGGGTCTACACGTAGGCGAGTACATATCTAGTGTAGAGTTAACTTGGTAAACAAGATCACAGCATCCATGAGGTCGGGCAGCACCGAATTTTCACATCATTATCTTAAGAAGTAGGAACAATGACAAGGTAGAACACTGTAAAGGTGGGTGGCAGACAGGATGAAGAGTGCCAAAAAGAGGGAAACCAAAAAAGACGACAAAAAACCGCTGGAAGCCGAGGGAATTGAGCCCTCGGTGGGGATCGAACCCACAGCCTTGAGATCACCGCCTTCTTATGAGAGTTAAGAGTCTCACGCTCTACCGATTGAGCTACGAGGGCTTCCAAGGGACAAGCTTTGCCGCTTGTTCGTGGGGGTCCGTTGTGGAAACTAGGTATGAAAGGGTAGTACCGGTAGGGCTTTTGGAATGGACATGTAAAATTTTTATCTCTTTGTTTGTTTAGTTCCCCTTTCTCTAAGGCTCGTGGGGACACGAGGCAGGGCTGATGTGGGTTCCTCTCCATTTTCAATGAAGCTATTTTGAAGCAAGTGGGGCCGGGATGGGGGCCCGATGCTCGGCGATGTGGAGACACACGCTCCACGGCCACGGAAAGAAAACACAGTTGGGGCACCAAGTTTGTACCCAATTTATCGAATCTGCACGCACTCACATTCTCCTTTATTTCCCGGGAAAAGGTCGTCTAGTGTTGGTTGGGCAAGGTGGGGACAAACATAGCCTGTTTGCCTGTGTTCGCAAGACATGTCGGAAAGGGAAGGACGGCTGAACGGGGAAAAAGGCGGATCGGCACCGTGAACCCTGACGCGGATGGAAAGCCTCCGGGACCGTGGTTAAAAACAGCATCGGCGCAGCGACAGAGCGATCGAGGTGAAAATCCAAAAAAGCAAACCATAGAAGTGTATTCTATGAAATACTACACTTTTAAGATAAAAAACACGACAGCAAGGCAGCATCCGCTATCTGAAAGATGGGAAGCAGCAAAAAGCCCGAAAACGCCTCTTGACAGCTACAAAAAACGGATGAATGACAACTACAACCAAAAAAAAAACACATAACCGCCCCAACTCCTACCCCCTTCATCCACGCTCATACTATCCCATCGAGAATATCCCTCAGCTCGGGAATCTGGTCATAAATCTCTTCGCCACCAAACAGTTCTAAATCGTCGATGGCCCTCTTGGCCCATATCTCGGTGTTGCGCCGGTCCCCGATGGTGTTGTATAGGCGGGCGAGGATGTCGTAGTACTCGCCGAGGGGCACCGTTATGCCCTCTTCGGCGATGAGCTGGATCATGGTCTTGTGCTTCTTAATGGCTTGGGAGTACTCGTTCTTCTTGACGTGGTCCAGCACCACCGAGCGCACGTCGCGGATGCGCTCCCGCCGGTCATCGGACGCCTCGACCTCTTCCTCGCTGAGGCTGCAGAGGGCGCAGTCGCAGGAAAATTCCACCGCTTCCGAAGGAAATCTTGGCGCTCGTCGCGCAAAGACCAAACTCGGCATCTACGAAGAAATAGGCCCCAGGTTAGCGAAATTTCCTCATTCTAGCGAGTCGTTCAGTGTCCCCGCGCAAGTGGAGGCTCAGAGCGAGATCGGCAAAGGGGGACTTACAGCTGATTGTAAGTTCTTGCCCGGCCTCAATATCGCGGTTGGCGATGGCCGTGTTGGCGAGAGTCTTTTCGGAGAAGCGAATGAAGGCACTACGGAGAAAAGAGGTAAGTTGTTAGTCGGGGACTCGGAGCGGAAGTATACCGACAGAGGAGTGGAGAAAGAAGAGAAGAGACGCAAAGGGGGTTTGGAGGGAGAAGGGGCCAAAAATCACTTACTTTGGGTTACAGGCATGGTTCATTCTCTGTCACGCCAAATACCCCTTTGGTGTTAGCCCCCAGCTTATTCCCGCGCAATCCAAGTTTGCAAGAAAAGGGCACCGGAACTTACCGAAATCTCGGGGAACAGGACCATGGTACTCCGATTCTCCAGCGACATGCCAAACGAATTCGTCCTCAGCAAGTCCTCCACCACCCTCTCCGTCGTGTTGGTGCTCATGGCGAGGCTGCGGATGGCGTGGCCCCTCGGCAGCTGATCCACCGCCGTCTCCAGCAGCTTCTTGCCCTGGAACAGCTTCGTCTGCTTGGGGAACGCCGTGTCCGCAATCACGCCCGCGTAGTCGACCATAAACTTTTCCCCTTGCGAATCTTGCGCGTCGCCACCGCGCCCTTGCCGCGTCCCGGCATGTCCACCACCTTGTATAAGGGCGCGCCGCCCCTCGGCCGCTGGAGCGGGATCGTGAAGGACTCTTCCAGCTTGTCCAGGGTGCCGGCGGCGTCCTCGGGCGTGGTGATGATGCTGACGCCGATGCCGTTTTGGAAGTGCGCGTTGGTGAAGACGCAGTACTGGGTGTCGGCGCAGTAGGGGCGGTGCGTCCACGGGAACCACTCGCTGGGCTTGCTCCCGAATCCTCCGACCAGGGACGGTCCGCACGTCGGCGGCGTCCAGGTGAGCGGGTCTGAACCTCCGCGTCCGCATAGCCCGCGGCCCGAGGCGAGCTCGTCGGCCTCGATGTCGCCGTGGGTTAGGGTGTTGGACCAGGCGTGGGCTACGGGAGCCGTGAGGGATACGAGGCTGAGCCCGAGTGTTGATAGGCGCGCCATGCTTTTTTGTTCGGGGCTTTTTTCTTCTTCTGTTTGTTCTTCAAGGGGCCGATGGGGGCGGAGGCGTGAACAAGGGAGATCCGGAGGTATATATTTTCCTCGAGACTCTTGAGAAAGGAGACCTTGGCGGAGATGCTTCTCTTTCCTTCTACTGTTCTGCAACTGACAAAGGGGAGACTTTCTTTTCTCTCCTCCTTTTCTTTTTCTTTTTTTCAGATTCACATGGGGAGAACGTGGGGAAGCCTAGAGCTTCCTACCTCGACTACTTAAGGGGCGACGGAACTCCAATACTCGTTTTCCTTCTCCGCTTCCGTTGACAAGCAGCTCCGACCCCAAAGCCAAGTTGGCCAGCTCACCGTCTACCTTTTTGTGCCCATCCCTCCAAAGCCGGGCCGTCCCCAAACTATTGTGGAGACGGGCGTGCTTTGCATCAAAGGGGAAAAGGACAGGCGCCAAGAGAAAAAAAGGAACCAAAGTCTGGCTCCCTTGGACGAACCAGGGCGGCTCGAAGGAGAATGAACAGCGCTGAAGGAAGGATGGGACGAAGAGGCTTAGTCGAAGGGGCGTGGAAGAGGGAGAAAAATGAACAGCAGCAGCCAAAAACAATGGCTTTGGGCGCAGAGAGCCAAGACATGGGGCCTGTTTCACCACTATGATGGTGGAAGAAGGACCGGCGGCTCGATAACGTAACTGCTTCTGCTGATCGTGTGGCCAAGACGGGCTGGGATTAACCGACGAGATGACATTCCGGAAGGGTCTGCAAGGGGGAGGAAAGATGTGGGAGGACACGGCGGAAGCGGGAGAGGAAGAAAAAGAAGGGGAAAAAGAAACTGAAAAAAAGGCCAAGGCAGAAAAGAGGGAGAGAGAGGAAAGGAAATAGATGGGAGAGCCATATTGGCTTGGCTTGGCTGGGGCTTGGCCAAAGGCATTTTCTGTACTATAAGTTGGAGAGATTCCTCGCATCTTGGGGGAAAGGAGAAAAGAGGACAAATATCGATTTTAAACCCCCAAAAGTCTCCAAGAAAGGGATGGAGCTCGCAATCCACGTCATGCCACTCAAATCTAGGACTGACGTCGGAGTCTGAACTTGAGGCTCCTACGGTCATCCGCAATCGGTGTGCGACGTGAGGCCCGTCCGCGCCGACAAAGGTGTCGCCGATAGGAGAGGGGCCCTCGGATCCGGGAGGGAGGGGAAGGTGTCTCTACGGAACAAAGAGCACTGGAATCTAAAGCAAGGGAGAAAAGGAAATACCTTCGATGTATGGATCAATTGATGGGAACAAGACGTTGACTGTTAAGTCTCGTGTCTAAACAATTAGAAACGGTCCCACCCATCTGTACCATGTCCCTCCGTGTAAGTTCTGATCATCGTAGCCGGGAGGTTCTGCTTGGTTGGGGTCGACAGATTTGTTAATCTATCCTTGATCCATAGATCAATTGATCTATGTATCCAGCACCCGCCATTAATATAATATCCGCAGGACCCACCAAGTTGATGCTCTGGATATGGTTCCCCGCGCAAGGGAGATGTAACATCTGGGGACCAAAGTGGGAGAGGAAGGGCCCGTGGCTAGCAGTCGTCCTGTCCCCATTTGATCTAAGCCATGGCCAAACGAGAGGGGAGAGTGAAGGTGGAAAAGGCGAGAGAGAGTCTGAACATGTGCCCACTTCTAACCTGACTTGGACGACGCTGGTGTGGCTAAGTTGTTTTCCGGCCGCCTCAACCTATTCATACGTGCAGGCGGGGATGATCTAGAAACGGGGCGGCATGACGAGAGGCGGGTAAAGCTGGAACCGACCTCTGATTCTCAACGTGGCCAGTCTCTTTCCTTTGTTTATGGGTCTTTTCGGGCGTTTTAGTCCTTTTTATTTTATTTTCTTTTCCACTCCCCCACTTCCTCTATATGTATTTCTTGGGGTAAGGGTGTCAACCGAATGCGGGTTCGACACATGAGATCATCGTAGCCGATCGCTGGGACCATCTGTAGTGTTGCGCTTCCAACGCGAACGACAAGAAAAAAAGATTTGATAAAAGACACATGGCTGGTACCCGCTGCCAAGGGAATCTGGTGGGGATGCATTGTCACGAGAGGTCTTGTCAAACAAGTGTGCATTGTTCCTTGGATCTTGACCCAGCCGAAGTGTAGAGGATGAAAGTGGCCATGCCACGCTCACTGGGGAGTATACTCGTATGGAATGGATTGACGGATCCATAGATGGATATCAATCTTGCCTGTCAGCGCCATGATGCAACAGCCCATTGGCAATCCGGAGAGCACAAACATCGGGGACTTAACCATCACTCTCTCGTGAAGAGTTGAAGTCTGCATCGCGCCTGGTGATATGCAACGCCCATCCGAGAAGAAATATCAGACGGAAGAGAGGACGAAGGAACATAGGACAGAAGAAGAGACCGGTAGCTACATGAAGAAAAAAGACAAAAATTCCCCGACACCCTGCTCGATCAATTGGCGATGATTTGGGCTTGATTCTTGGCGATGGTGGGGCGACGATTTGCAGGTTGATTAAAATTCTGCACACCACCGTTTCATCCCAAGTGCCCTGGGCTAACCTGCTCGTACGGCCTCCAAGCGCGGCGTGTGCCCATGCCCCAGATTCTTGCTGGAGAAATGCGCCGACCCGTTTCGGTAAGAGGAAATCGATCAGATGGGCTTAGAGAGGCGGCATCACTGATGTCGCCCGGCGATGTTTCAGGCGCCTGCTTCCGCCGTCGGTTCTCAAACGAGAGCGAGGTTGAAATTGGTCATCGACAGCTATTTGCGATGGGCGCATGCGGTGTTCTCTCGGTGCTCACTCTCATTGCCGTGCCTGAGAAGAAACCCCGTTGAGCCGCCACTTCAGTTGTCTTGCCCGGCTCGACGTCCTTGGAGAGGATAGTAAAGTAATCAAAGAAAGGCAGGACCCAGCCAGGCGGCAAAGTGATAATGATTGAGGTAGTTAGTTGGCCAACTAGTCTGACGATTGAACTGCTGTCAGCGTGTCGTCGAAGACGTATTTCCAGTGCCACGTGAAAAAATCAAGCGAGTGAGATAGTTGACTATGTCAGCTCCTCCTCCAGTGTTGGGATGAGTTGCACTATTGCTATTCTCGTCCTTCGATCCAACTAAGCAGCAATATTCAGCAAGGCAGCTCGTATGTTGTGGATGCAATCGCCAAAAAAGCAGTCATGCCAACTCCCCTCCTCAACACCAGACAAATTGGAGAGAGTCTGGGGAAAGCTCCAGCAACTGGAGTTTTTCCGGGCACGGACCAGGCACATGCCAGCTGTTGGATTCAAGTTGTCTGTTCAAGCGATTTGGCTTGCAGGAGTCGCCCCCGGGGCTGTTGCTGATCTAAGAATGGAAGGCGAGAGCTGCTGAGTAGAATCTTCTTTAGCATACGCACCGCCTATCATCATGCATACTCGCCAATCAAAACACGAGAACGTGTCGACACTGTTCGAGCTTACAGTGCCACCGCGCCAGGAGTTGGTCGACTGCACGAACAGAACAGCCATCAATTGATTTGATCCCGCTCCCGCACGCGTTTGCAGGAGCTTCCCCACGTCTGCTCCCCATTCCACCCGGTCGCGTTATCAATCGCAGGCCCAGCGCATCATAAATCCGACTAGCAATTCTCCATACGCGTCTCTTCTAGACATTTTAGATGCATTAAACAAGTTGAACTTGGCATTGGCGTGCTTGGTCAGAAGCATTTTGTAGCTTTGACAAGTTCGTGAGGAGCACGAGCTTGCCCATCCTTCTTCCTCCCCCAAGCCCCCTACCTCCATCCTGAGTCAGCATCTGCGACCCTCCACTCAAGGAAGGTGTCGAGCTGGTCCTATTCCCCTGACTGACTGAATTGGGATTAACTTCACGGCCTAAAAATCCAGAGGGACCTGCGACTGCGCCGAACACGACCAAATCTTTTACTGTCCTCTCCTCTCATCCTCTCTCATTTTCGCAATCTCCATCCGCGCGCGCTCGGCGATCACGACACCCACGACCTTCCCTTCCATCAGCGCAACCCACCACTCCTCGTCCACCCGCTCGACCCTACGTACGTCATCTCATTCCGAGCAAAGCCCCGTGCGGCTTGAGCTGGCCCGCGCCTCCCCTCCTCCGGATCCGTGCCGAGAAGAGCGATCCCCTTCGACCTACGGCCAACGTCCGTCCGTCCGTCCGCCCCTCCCCTTGACCCTTTTGAATCGAATCTGTAGCTGTCGCTCCGTTTTGTCCACGAATTCTCCTCTGCCTTCCACCGCGCCCCTCCTCCCCCTTTTATAGAGGGCGTTTCCGACTTCCTCTTCCCGCTTGAGGGCGCTTCCGCCTCCCGGTGGACGCCGTGACGTCCGGATGTAGTTCGGATGCCGCCACTCAACCCCTTTTGAGCGCCTTCTTCAAGAGTCCCCTACCGGCCCAGTGCGCGCAAACCCAGCACTACGTCCTTCTCGTGCCCACGACCGAAACCCTCCTTACTCACCACGAAGCTGAGACCAATGCGACCGCCCACGAGATCCTACTCTCCGAGGAGTTCATAGCGAGCCATGTTCTCAGGATACCTAGCGGGAACGCCGCCAATGGTGCAGCGGCCCCGGAGCCCTTGCCGAACCTGAGGGATATGAGAGGCAAGGCGAAGCAGTATAATACTATCAATGGCAGGAATGTGGTGATCAAGGATGGTTTTGTGTACAGCAATAAAGGTAGGCGCAACCTCAATTCTTCATGGAGTCTTGAACACGGACATGCGCAACAGCGCAAATACCCATTCTCTTTTCATACGCGCGTGGACCGCAATCGACGGCTTGATCGGCTCCCCTGGCCTTTCCCTCCCTATCAAGCCAATATCAGCTGACCTAAACGTCTTTCAATTCTAGGCTTTCGCGCGCCCAATGAAGCGCAGCTTCTCTTTGACACACTTTGGCATTCCGATAACGTGGAGTCCCGTCAATGGCTCATATACTACATCTCGAAACCTCTCATAGGCACCTGGGTGGAGGACGTGATATCCCCGGCCATTCTCATCCAAGGCATCGCCAAAAGGAAGCGGACGAATTCAACCTCCTCTCCCCTGCGGAATCCAGCGACCGCCCTGCCATTGGACGAAAGAAGGACATTAGGTATTTCCATGACCTCCTAAATCACTTCCCCATCATTGCGAGGCATATGCAACCGGGGCTAGAGAGGCTTTTCCGGGACTTCACTTCCGCTTTTCAACATCCGCTGCCCCCACCTCCATCCGCCCAGACTATACCTGACCCGGACTCCGAGGCTGCCGATGCGGTGGGTCCGGTCATTGGGCCCCCTGAGGTGAATGGCGTAGATCATGCGGCGGCGGGAAACTCGCTGGTGAATTCTGACTACACCAGCGAGGAGTCGTTGCCAGTGACGGAGGACTTTTACGCCGAAGATGACGAAGATGTCATGAGGGCCACCTTGAGAGCGCAATCACCGCCGGGATCGACATTTTCCAGTCCGTGGACAAGCAACAGCTTGCTCTGCTCGGCGCCACGACAGAACTCACGGGGAGCATTGTGGAGAAGCTCCTTGAACGCTACGTGGCCGAGAACGTCCACCACCTCCTATTCCCGAAGCTCTGCGCATTAAAACGCCCGTACGATCTCGAGCTCGAAGCCAAGATTCGAATAATGGAGAATATCGACGTCTCGCAGCTCGGCGTGGAGATCCAAAACGGAATCAAGGGCAAGCATGACCTCATCATCCAGCTCGGTGTCGCCATCGAAGAGTTTAAAAAGATGACGGGCGCTATGTGTCCTCAAGAGATGCTGTCGCTTCTCGTCACCACCGTGAAGAATGTTACCAGTGCTGCCGAGGGCCGCCCCTGCCAAGGCCAGCCCGGCTCCGACGCCGCATCCGAGAAGCCTCTGATGATGGTCAACGCCGACACGCTCGTATCGCTGCTCCTATTCGTCGTCATTCGAGCACAGGTCAAGAATTTAAAGGCGCGGTTCACGTACATTCGGCAGTTCATCTTTATCGACGATATTGACACTGGAGAAAAGGGCTATGCGCTGAGTACGTTTGAGGCCGTGTTGGCCTACCTCGCGCTCGACTCGAGCGGCTTAAGAAGGGCGAGCAAGCGGAACAAGGCGCTTTGGAATGCCGCGGCCAAGGGAAATCTCGGCGAGCTTAAGCGAATCATGGAGCCGTCTGGGGATGCTCTGGAGGACATGTCTGACTCGGAGTCCGAAATATTTGATGCCGGTCCTAACCGGCCTTTGTCGTTTAGCTCATCAAGGAGGTCGTCGCGGAGACCCTCAGTGACGGAGCTCTTTTCTTCGGGGTCGGGCCTGGGCCACGTTTTCCCCTTTGAAGCCTCTATACATGACGAGGGAGGACCTGCGGTTCACTTCCACCACCCGACTCAGACGCCCGCGAAGAAGATGAAGAAGGTCTCCATGGACACCCGCAGCATGTCCAGCAGCTCGGAGATTTCGTTTCGATCTCGGGCCACGAGCTTTGGGACCATCAACAGCGCACTCGAGGCTGACATTTCGGTCGAGAGGTTATCGCAGACCCACGACGCCTTTGGAGAGTCGGTAGTCATGATGGCCGTTCAGAACGAGCAGGTAGAGGTGCTTCACTACCTGCTTTCACTCCCCCAGCTCTACCCGCTGTCCATGATACTAGAGGACATTAATAACGAAGACACGACGCTACTGAGCGCGGCGGTGCAAATGGGAAATCGGAGAATCATTGATTGTTTGATGGGCATCGTGTTCGCTAGCGCCACGCCCCAGCAGATCGCGCTGTATCTCACAAAGCAGGATATCTGGGGCCGCAGCCTTGGCCACTACCTGTTCCACGCGCCCTACCTCATCGCCAAGATCGGGAACGTGGTGCCGTGGCGGCAGCGGGACAAGAATGGGCAAACACCGCTCTTCGCGCTCTGTCGTTCGTACGACCAGGAAAAGTATGCGGCCATGGTCGCGGCAGGCATCGATGCCGCGCGGCGAGCGCAAGGGGATGGCGAGAGGCTGCACCTCGACGACCACGTGGATAACAAGGGCAATACTCTGCTGCACATCGTCACGGACGCCATGATGCTGCACCGCATCCTAGAGCGATGCGACGTGGAAGTGAACGCGACCAACGACAGGAAATTTACGCCCCTGATGCTGGCGAGCAAGTACGGCCGGTACGACCTCGTACGGATGCTGATGGCGGACCCACGGGTGGACGTGGCTGCGCGGGAGCTGCGTGGTCTTACGGCGGTGGAGCTGGCCAAGGACGACGACGTGCGCAACAAGTTTGACGACCTGATGCTCTTTAGCATGCCGGCGGGGCCCGACTGGCGCATCACGGGCGTGGTGCGAGCCTTTTTCGTCGAGGACGGCTCGGTGCGGCTCGTGCTCAAGTCGGCGGCGCCGACGCCCGAGGGCAGCAGCTACACGGTGACGACGTGCCGGCGCTCGCTCACGGACTTTGAGGCGCTGGTGGATCTCCTGTCAGTGGAGAACCCGTCGTCGTGGATTCCGCCCGTGGCGGTGGCGCGGTCGCCGTTCCAGATCCCGGGCAAGCCGTCGCGGTCGATGCTGCGGGAGATCCAGACGGCGACGGACTGGTTCATGAAGATTATGCTCGCGCACCCGACCTTTGCGGCGCACGAGACGCTGTGGGAGTTTTTCCTCATGCCCGAGATCCGGCTGGACACCATGACGCAGCGGTCCAAGCTCAAGGCCGAGGCGCTGCTGGAAAAGATTCGGGACGAGATGGAGCCCGTGGGAGACGTGAGGGAGGTGGAGCAGTTTGTGGATCACGCGAGGGAGATGGTGAGGTCTGTGAGCCACTCTGCGAGAAGCGTCATGAGGAGGACGAGTCGGTTGTCCAACGTGATTACAGGTAAGGGCCATTTATCCCCTATTTCTTTCAATCATGATTTACACCCTTTTTTTTTTTTGTCTTTTCCCGGGGTTTGCGCCCCCATGGGCCCTACATCCTCAACAAAACTTTACAAATAAACTAATGTCTTTCAAGACCTCTACGATGCGACGAAGCTCTGGCGGAGGGCAGTGAACACACTCGAGTTCCTGCCACAGCCGTACAAACTCGCGATTGACATCTACACTCAGTCTCTGGAACCAAGGCAAAATAATCCGCACGACACGCTGCATGCGACGCTGCAGGCGCAGCAGGGCACGATCTTGGCGCTGCTCTCGGCGCTCGCGCGGCCGCCTGCCCTCGTGGCGCAGATCCGGGTGGCGCAAAAGACGCTAGAGCGGACAATGAGCGCGGCGGCGTCGGCGGCGCGGACGGCCTCGTCCTCTTCCTCATCCACTGGAGGCGGTAGCAAGTCGCCGTGGGCGGCGGCCATTGGCCTCGGGGGCCTGCTCGAGGATCCGCGTAAACAACAACGGCAGGGGGCGGAAAGGGAAGAAAAGGTGCGGCGAGCGCGCGAGGAAGTAGATGACTTGGGGAGGGAGCTGCGCTACGGACAGCAGGTGGTGGCCGGGGAGCTGGCGGGGTGGCAGGACATGAGGGCGGGGATGGGCAGGAGGCGCTGCGCGACTTTGCGCGGGGCATGGTGGTGCAGGAGAGGGTGAAGCTGGAGGCGCTGATGAGGTCGCTCAGGAAAGTGCGAGAGGCGAAAGAGGTGATGGGGGAGAGTACGGGAGCAATGGGTGGAGGGGGCAGGGGCAGGAGGAGAGACCTCATCGAGGAGGGGTGGTTCGCGATCAGTAGACTCGTCCGCGATGCATGGGCGGAGAAACGGGAGCAATCGAGGTTCGCGGGTATAGACTTTTTTCTTTTTCTTTGGGAATTTTTGTTTACCATTGATGTTGGGTATTCCCACTTCTTCCTTTTGCTGGGCGCAGCAGATAATATGGAGGCAGCACATTCCATGGTTAATCAGCGTCCCCTCCTTGTACATGTATTAGTTTTTGGAAGAGGAACCAAACAAGAAGCCCTTGGCCCATTTCGGTAATTTTTTGTTTTCTGTCCTCTTGTTCTCCTTCCCATGATCACCGGCCGGGGACCCTCGGCTTTTGCATCACCAGAACGATTCTAGGTCTAGACTCGCATCCTTTTCCCCGTCATATTGGGGTGGAGAAGAAAATAATGCGCACGAGGTGGTTGCCTAGGCGAGCGGGGAAGTGCGCAATCAGCAATAAGAAAAAAATTAATTTCTGAGGGGTTTTTTGTCTTTTCGCGAACGTGACGCCAAACCTTGAAGTTCTCGAGGATGACGATCCCGTCGCGGTCGCGATGCGATGGGCAGATTCTCGAAAAAGAACGATCGAGTCGCGAAGTTGGATGGATTCGTGGGTGGGTTTTTCGTGATTTAGCGAATTTTGATAGGTCCGATTTTAGTTACCATTCGTGAGTCTTGGATGGACCTATGGATGCAGCAGCCTTTTTAGCTTGGGGAGGAGGCAGCAGCCTGCATGACGGCTTGCATATTTTGGCGTGTGTGGACGGATTCGGGTGCGGGCGATTCGAATGGCTGGGAACGCTCGTCCTTTTTCTTGAAAGGGTGGCTCCCCGCGCCTTCCGGGACGGTGATTCGAGCAAATGTTTCTACTTGGAAGCTTGTTGCGTGAAACGAGAGGGGAGATGGAAGCTGGGATCAATGTGTGGAGATGTGAGTCATGGGGGAGAAAGGAAGCTTGCAGAAGTGGTTTCTTGAAAATGGGTGCGCTAGGGGAGGGGAGGGGTGGATGGATGATTTGACGTGTGAGCTAGTTGTTTTTTTTCTTGGAATGAGTCTGAGGGCACTTTGACCATGCTTGGGATTAGAAGGAGGAGGGCTGGTGATCTTGTTGTTTTTTCAATGCCGGAAGAGGGAGCCGAGATGGGGGAGGGATCTTTGGGAGAAAGGCTTTGGCTGGGCGGGGGAGGGGGGAAGATGGCGTGTGAACTGGGCTCGGCAAGGGTGGAGAGGGAGAGAGAGATCCTCGGATTCCTTGGTTCTTGTTGGCCATAGAGCGACGAAAATGGGACCTCTTCTAAACGGAGCGTAGAGATGTTCATGGCGAAAGTTTCAAGGTCTCTTGTGAACCCCGGCGATGATGCCGGGGCAGCATGCGGGACCATCTCCGAAGCACATCCCACGGCTCCGACCCGGAGCCTAGCCACGGAACACCGCCACGCCTCCGGTAAAGGGTAGGTAGCGTGGCCGGGGGCCGGGGCCGGGCCGGTCTCATACTTGTCCGGTAAAACTCCCCAGGGTCTCGCCGGACCCTCTCATCGTGAGGGCACAGACCCATGGCTCATGAGGACAGGGTTGGAGTCCGATCAAAAGCAAGGCATAGGTGACGAAAGGGAGCAAAGCACACGCAAACCAAGACAAAGCCAATTCACAGAGGCGGAAGAACAGCAGCCCGTAAGCGCCACTCTGCCCGTCCAGCTCGGCTAGGATTTCTTGCTTTTCGTCATACGCGCCGTAGCCCGCAACAGCGAAGCAAGGAAAGAAAGAACAAAGGGCAAGAATCTTGCTCGCGCGTCATCACATTGTCGCATTGAGCAATATATGCAGCCAATATCCCCGGCAGTGGTATGAGCTGCATATACCCGCCACCAAAACTGACTCCAGTTCTCTGTCTATGTGCGTGCGTGCGTGCGTGTGTGTGTGTGTCTCCCACTGTCTCTTCTTTTCAACCTCCATGCCCTGTTCGCTTCTCTGTTCGCTTCCGCATCTCCAAGGGTCCAAGCATTCTCGCCAAGAAGGACTTTTTCTTCATGGGACTGCAGGGAAGATCAATGTCACTCTCCCCTTCCCTCGACAGAACGGGAAGCGTAGCACTCGCGCGGTTCAGCGGGCCCGATGCGGGACGCCCTCTCCCAAAAAGAAGTCAATCACTGTCGAGCCTCCGATTGGCTATTTTCTCCACGGTCGATTTCGCGTGGTCGCTCTTGACGCGCCAGCTCGCGCCACCCGTGTTCGCACGACCAATGAGAATCGTCGACAAGGGTTCTTTGCTCGCGAGGTACGTACCGTGGGCGGCGCGGGCTGGAAAGCTACGCGCCCGGCGCCCAGCTCACAGGATCAATCGGCGCCGGCAAGCTACCGACGCTGGCGCTTCTCGAAAGGGCTGTGCTTCATGCTGCCTCAGTTTTCTTCTCTTTCTTTTTCCCATCGCGGGAGACGAGATCGTCGCACCGTATACCTCGGTATAGGTTGCGCCTATATAGGTTCTTTGACTGTTCCTTGCGGAACCGGGAAGACAAGGCGCTAGCTCGGAGCATTGAAGAAAAGAAAAAGGACCCTGGGGTCCCAGGCCGTGGTTGAATCCGATGTCGATGGCCTCTGCCTTATTAGCCTGGCGGCTCTTGAGACCCGTGCTCATTTTCCATACTATGATCATCAATGGGTCCGGTCGAGACTTTCGAGGCAAGGGATGGAGACCAGATGGCCCGAGCAATTTCAGTTAAGCGCCGACTTTGTCTTGTTGCGCGGCTGTTCGTATTTGGTTTTTTCTGTTCAAATTTTTTTTTCGCCGTTTCCTTGTTCATTCCACCCTTTCCTTCCCTTACCCTTTCTGGAATGGCCGTCTCGTTATTTTTAGGCCGTGGTCTCTTCGAGAGAGACCACCCTCATTTTCGGTGGCGCCAGTTCGCCTGCTTTTTTTTTTTTTTTGCCTAGCTCATCCCTTCACCTCTTTCTTCGCCTTGCATCCTTTTCTTCTTAGGCGTCACATATGGAGAGTCTACGTAAAGTTTAGCGCCTAGATCGGAAACCTGCTTAGCGTTCACCCGTCGAATGAGCAAGTAAAGATGGCCTCTTGACCGAGGTGAGGGAGGCTGAGTAGTACACCACTGCTGTGTACGCATACACACACACACACACACACACACACACATCAATTACATATATACACAGACCTAAGAATGCACACACTTGGCCTCGGCCGATCCCTCGGGTCTCATCTGACCGAGGCATCGAGTTTCGAAGGCAAAGGATGAAGGGCGGCCATGTCGGAAGAATCAAAACCGACCTAGGTTTAGGAGGAGGGTAAAGAGAAAGGCTACGTGTGTCTATGCGCCCACTGTATGTGTGAGACACACAGTTCGCCCGCCATGTGCACAGAACTAGAAAAGGCGGTGCCTAGAAATTGGTCCATCGTGGGGTATTACCGATACTGCCAGACGTAGGCGGAGCAGCCTGCTACACAAACCCGTTACAAAAGGAACCGGGTGGCAGGATCCGACTTAAGCGCCCTCGGGTCGGAGATTATACATTGTCCGTCTTCCTGCTTTCGGGCCTAAGAATGGGATTTTTGGTGCTCCCTTGGAGGAACACAGATTATTAAAAGAAAAATGAACACAGTCAATGTTCGATAGTGCTACCATCAATCATTCCTCCCTGCGCCTCTGCCCCCCAGAAATCTTACGGCGGCCTTCTAGAGACCATTGCTGAGACGGGTCTCTACTTGGCCAGGCCTACTTAATCCTCCGTCTTGTCTCATCGACCATCTGAAGCAGCGGTATTACACTAGCTAAGATAGAAGGGGAAGGGGCAATGTCTGGCGAAAGAAACTGGCCTCGCGTCCTCTGACGTAAAGTTGAGATGGAACAAGTTGGGGGCCATGCGAGAGGGAGCAGGAAAGTCGGCGAGATTAGAAAGCCCTGTCTGAGATATCTAAAGACATTGAAACCACGTTCATCCTCCGGCAGGGTCAAATGCAAGCCATCATCTAGTCCGGAAATGGTAGGAATAGCAGCCTTGGACTGACGGAAGGGCGACCTGAGATACCGAGGTAGGCAAGGTAGGTAATCACGATACGGTGCCAATTAATTGATCCCTACACCAAAAGCAAATGGTGGAAAAGATCCATCAATGGATCTATTCCATTCCATTGCTTGCCTTTTGTCCGTGCTCCCAGCGGCGTTTCTTTTTCGAACAGTTAGCCGCCGAAGAACCAAGCTGACAGTGACACTGACAGCCCCGGGCTGACATCAAATGACGGAAAGCGGGCCTTGTCTCATTTTGCTAACCGCCCAATCAAGCGACCACCCGCCTCGCCTGACCCTCGCAATCTAGCCTCGCCCTCGATGGAGAGATTTGACGGAAAAATCAAAAGGCAAATGAGAAGTAAGAGAAGATGGAGAGATGAATAGCCGAGTGAGTAGAAGAAGGAAGAAAGGGAAGCCAATTTTCCCACGCCCCCAGGCCTGTCGTCAGCTGACTCTAGGAAGAGTGACATATTGAACTGATACCAGGCACTCGCCGTGGGCCCAGAAAATGGCTTTGGGCGGAGGAAGCCCGAAATTACCGGGAAATATGGGCGCCTTCTTTCTTTGGCGCCTTTTCCTTCATGCCGTACATCCATAGATGTACGAAGTATTATCGGGCATCTACTTCTTCGTATCGCCTATCTCCCGGTGGGATACAAAGGCAACGCTGGCGCCTGGAGAAAAAGGGTAAAAGTAGGGTAAAGAGTGCATGCAAGGCGCTAGATGAGCCGAAACGCACATGGGGAAGAAAGGAAAGAAAGGAAAGAAAGGGGAAGAGGATTCTACGATAGAAGACCGTGGAAGTGACATGAAGTGCCCAAACTGTTTCCCCACCGGACCTGGTCGGAATAGATGCAAGCGGGCAGAAAGAGCACGGGGTGGTTAGAAAGTCCGGCAACGGAGGAGAAGAAGACGGGAAGGGGACAAGATGCGCAAATCGCGCATTTTACTCTTTGATCAGTCGGAGCAAAGGGCAAGCAAGTGCCTAATCTCATCATCGACTGGCTCCACGTTCTTGCCAGGTCATGGACGTGGATGGTGATTGCTGTCAGTCGAATACCCCTCGGCACGTCGCGTCGGGCATCTATTCCCTCGCCCTTGCCTCTGCTCGCTCTCTATCAATCTTGGTCCCCGCTCCATTCATCCCGTGGACCCCGCGTCTGGCGTGGTCAGGGGATTCTTGCGCGAAAAAGGAAAGAGTCTTCCCTCTGTGGGGTTCGCGATGTTGCCCTCCACGACGATTGCGGGAGGTGCATCCCCACGTTGAGCACGAAAAAGAAAAGTCTTATTTCTATTGTTCCTCAGGCCAAAAGGAACCTAAATGCCAGACGGGCAGGAAGGGGAAGAGCTAATGCAGAATCGGTTGCTTCACCTCTTCGCTGCAAGGACATGTGTCTAGCCATGAGTCAAGTAGAGGCCACGGATTGGGCCTGATTGCACGACAAGCACGCAAATCGATTCGCTGCATGTTTCTTCGGACGAGGGACGGGGAGGGGCGTGGTCGGTGGGACGTGGGACGTGGGACGTGGGCGTGAATCTTGCCATCTATGGACGTCTGTCGAGCGCGAGGAGCGTGTGGCGCGTTGCAAGAGAAAAGAACAAAAAGAAAAAAAAAAAAAGAAAAAAGGGCTGAGGGAGCCAACCAGAGCGCGAGGATCGCCATAGGTTCGCCCTCGAAGGGAAAAGAAAAAGAAAGAGAGCAGTGGTTGGGGTGACTGGGGGTGGGTGAAAAGGTGAGGGGGTGTCAACCGCAAAGGACGGTGAAAGGGCTGCTGCAGGCGCAAAAGGCGCTTGACCAGTGAGAAGCCAAAGGACTGCATCGACCAGGACAACCCCAGAATGCTGTGGGTTGAGGTGGTGCGAAACAACCCCATTCGACTTGTACAAGCCTCGAGGGACCTTGGGACGGGCGGGTAAAAAGGAAAATCGCCCAGTGCCAGTGCGCTGTGGCGGCAAGTGATACTGTGGGGTCCTCGGTTGGAAAGTGACCTCGATTGACCCATTCTGGGGTAGAATTACAGTGCTGACCACACTGGGCAAATAGGGTGTCGATCCACTGAGGGCAGCGAAAGAAGCTCAAGAAAGGGTACCTCAACTATGGGCTCCTTGCACGCTGGGAGCTCCTTCTCGTCCACTGGACCCCTGCAAACGCTGTTGTCCATCAAAGGCAAGTTCCACACAGACAAGCTCAAAGTCACTCTGTACCCCTCCGTCGCACACGGCAAGAACCACTCAGCCTCCGTGCTGTCGACCTCAACCTCAACTCTCTCAACTGTCGAGGCCCAAACAATGGCCGGTAACGAACCCAAAGAGCACATTTTCTTCTCGCCCCCAGCCAAATCGCCCCATCTTGTGTGATTCCCTCGTACTTCAACTCTCATGCCCGAATTCCTTTCCACTTGTCCACTTGGCTAGTTTAGTGAGCTTTCTATCGTGTGTTTCAGGATCTGCTTGATTTGTACACACCTCCCCTGCCCGTCCTCTCCTTCACCGAAGGGAATTCGCCATGATGATGAACCCTTCTCTTCCCAGCACATCGTCCCTCGATCCCGGAGTGCCGTGATGGACGAGCATCGTCCATCCCGTCCCAGTTCCCACCTTTGCCCACCCTGCATTCATGGGTGTATCCCCACCCACCCGTGCAGCCAAGATCCCCTCCCTTCTTCCCAAGGATGGCAGCTTTCGTTCTCTTGTGTGGGTCACGCCACGAGTAGACGGGGAACGGGGAAACGAGAAGGGAAAGCGTCGCGCTTCCCGTAATCGCGCTCCGCCTGTCGCTGTCGCGAAGATGGGTGTAGCTATTCCTGTCGCCCCCATCCCCCCTTGTTCCCTTGTTCCCTTCGGTACCCGTACCCGTTCCTGGTGCAGGTCCAGTCTAGGCAAAGGCGCAATGTTCTCTCCACCGCCCAGTTTCCCGAAATTGCCCTTGGCCATGCAGGCCGCGCCGCCGTCACCCATCATCGGGCTCGAATCATCAAGGATAAGAATCGCCCGTTTCCTCTCATCCATCCATCCCATTCCTCTCACCACCTCGCTCTCCATTCTCATCTCCTCTCTCCCCTCGAGCAATCCTATCCACCCGTTTTGCGAAGCTTCACATCTCCGAAGACTCGCCTCTTCTTTCTTTCTTTCCCTCCCCCACACCACCCGCTCACATACCTTTTCTCGCCATCATCACTCGAGAGGAACCGGCGTCCACTTGAACCACCTTGGAGACTTGCCCCCAAACAGTTGCTGAGCAACTTGCCTGAACAGTACCGCAGGAAGAAAAAGCAAAACAGAACCCAAAGGTTCCAATAGATCGATCTTGAGAAACGGGCTTTCTCAGTCTAGAGTTGACCTCTTGTTGCATTGTGTAAAGTGCCGCGGCGCACTTACAACACTAATTCCCCTTCTAATTCCCTTATTCTACCTCTTTCCAAAACTCTTGTTTTTGAGATTCAAGATGTCCACGTATGCGACCTTTCTCTTCCTTCTTCCTGGGTTCCCCTCACTGGCCAGTGTGCAGTTTCACTAACACGGTTTTTTGTCTCTTCACAGTCTGGCAGCGGATATGGCTTTCAACTTCAACTTCGACACTTGCGAGTCGCCCATCCAGGGCCCCGAGTTCGCCTTCGACTCCTCCTTCCTCCAGATGCCCCAGATGCCCCACCACCCTGGCCATGCCCGGTCCAGCTCCCGCGGATCTATCTACTCTGTTGTCTCCGCCGTCTCCACTGCCGATTCCGTCGCGACCCGGATGACAACTCCCCTCGCGCCTCTCCTCCGATCCGCCATCACGGACCCATCTTGCTCCCCAAGATCCGATCCCAGGATCAGAGCCTTGACGCTTCCATCGCCATCCAGGCCCAGCCAGCCTCCAAGAGGATCAGGACCTCGACCTCGCCCTGCCCTCCCAAGCCCGTTCGCAAGACCCACTCCAGGAGCTACACCAGCCCCAACGTCATGAGCTTCAACATGCCCTTCGTTGCCCACCCTGAGGAGCAGCAACCCTCTCTTCTATGCTCGCCTGCCCCCTTCATTGCCCAGCAGCAGCAGCAGCAGGACCAAGCTCGCCGCTCTTCCTCCTGCGGTGTCGAGAACGGTGTCATTGAGAGGTTTGGTTTCCCCACCTACCGCCAGATGCCCTCCTACATGTCGCAGACCCCTCCCCCGAGGCGACTTACATGTATGCGCCTGCCTCTGTCGAAGAGTACGCCTCGCGCGAGGTTTCTCCCCTTGCCTTCTCCGCTGAGCCGACGCCCACCACTACCCTCATGTCCTACCTGACTGCCTCCAACCCGGCGCCTTCTTTGGTCCGCACCATCTCCTACCATCACCGCGACCCCAACACCAAGAACTTTTGGTGGGATGTCCGCCAGGTTCGCCCCTGGTCCAACTTCAACGCCTCCACTATCCTCTCCCTCCCTGGCGCCGACACCCTCCTCTCCTGCCCTGTCGCTCTTCCCCTCCTTCCTACCCCTCCCACGCCCTCCAACCGCCACCCAGAGACCGAAGCTGCCCTACACTCTATCTACGCTTCCTACTATCTTCCCAAGCTTAACTCTGCCCTCGCCGTGTCCTCCACCCGGCCTGTGATGCTCTCAGTGCCCCTAAGCCGTCCTCCGCCTCCGCCATCAGCGACCACCTCTTCATCGCCACCGGCCCCGGTGAGTCTGCCTCAGGCGCCGCCATGTTTGGTGGGAAGCCTACCGCTCGCGTTGTCGGCCTCGTCCGCTCCTTTGACCGCTTCAACACGGGCATGCGCGCTGAGGGCAACATCAAGCGCGTCGAGTACCTCCGTGGCCTCGCCGCTCTCCATCACGCCATGCGCGAGCACTCGTGCCGCTACGGCTTCATTCTCACCGAGATTGAGCTCGTCGTCGTCCGCAACGGCACCGACGGTACCCCGCACTTTGGCTACCTTGAGATCGCCAGCATCCAGCTTGCCAGTGCCTCTGACCCGTCCCTCGCCTCCGAGGCCCTCGACGCTTCCTCCCTCGAGTGCGGCGAGGTACCCTTGACCGCCTGCCTCGCCCTCTGGGGTCTCTGCATGCTCGCTTCGGGCGACCAACTCCCCGCCGGCCACGCCCACTGGAAGAGCGAGATTGGCGCCCCTGCCGAGGGTACCAGGCGCAAGGCGCTGCCTCGCGACGACTGGATGCCCCAGCCCCAGCTCGCCGAGAAGAGGGAGGCCAAGCGTGCCCGCGGCTGGGTCCTACCTGAGGATCCCGTTGGCAGGAAGGAACTTGGAAAGCGGGGCGTTAGGTACTCGGCCTGTTAAGCATACCCACCTTTGTCACAGGCTGGGCTTGCACATGAGCTAGCCTGCTACCCTTATCTTTACTCTTTGCTCTTTTCTCTTTTTACGCTGCACATGGGGTCACGGAGTTTCCTGGGACGAACGAAACGCATCACTTGGAATTACACAGAAGGGTTGCATGGAGTTGGAGGAGTTCAAGGAGCCAACGGACGACCATCTTGCCAGGCACAAATCATCTGCTTGCGCTCAGAGAGATTCTCAGAAGGACGGAAAGAAACGGAGGTATCGCGCCAACAGGACGGGAAAATTAAAAAGAAGGCCAGGGAAGCTGCTGGTTCCGTCTACCTGGTTCAGTTCTTTTTTTTTACCATCTTCCCCAGCCTCTTTGGACAGTCTCATGTTTTTCTTTTTATTCTTTTCTACCATTTTTTATTATTCTTGTCCTGTTACTCATTATTGAGTGTTTTTCTCCTAATACTCCTTTGTCCTCCTTATTTCTTCTCCTTCTTTTCAACACTCATGGTCATCTACTGGACTGGTTCACGCCGGATGGAAAATAACGGATACGGTCTAACGTGCGTACTTAATCTACATATATAAATACTGGAATGAAACCTTTGTTCAAAATGACTTGATCTTTCGTCCTCCTTGATCTTCGCTAGTTGACATATTTATTTGGCTACATGCCTTGGAAGGTGACCATTTGGAGCAAGCCCGCTTCTGGATTTAATGGGGGCGGGTGTCAAGTCATCTATGCGCCAACTCAGGCCTTTGCTACTACGTCGAGTTATAGTACTTGGATGATATTCTATTCACGCAAAGAAAGGTGCAAGCAAGATGGGTGGATAGTTTCTTTTTATTTTGGAGCCAAGGCATGTCTAATTCAAGCCGACACACAGTCTAGCTCTTGGCAGCACCCGCCTTGATGAGCAGGATATCTCCGTCTTCTACAACGTAATCCTTGCCCTTTGTCATCATTTTACCCTTAGCCCTGACTTCCGCCTCGTCACCACCAAGTTCTTTGAGCACCGTGAAGTTGTAGACGATGGCCTGGATGAAGGTCTTTTCAAAGTCGGTGTGGATGACACCAGCGGCCTGGGGGCCTTAGTACCGTTGCGGATAGTCCACTGACGAACCTCGTCAGGGCCAACAGTGAAGAAGCTTCCAAGGTTGAGGACCTTCCTCATGGTGGTGATGAGTTTGCCAATGGAAGACTCAGCGCCAACATTCTTCTGCTCCTCGAGGGCCTCGGCCTCGGTCTCGTACCGGGTGAGGCGCTCCTCATAGGAGACAGAGATGGGGATGATAGGATCGCCCTTTGCGTTCGCGTTGATCCACTCCAGAATCTTACCCAAGTGCTTGTTCTTCTTGCGGACAAAGTCCTTCTCTGAGAGGTTGACAAGGTAAACAACGGGCTTGGCCGTGAGAAGCTGTAGCGTGTTGATGACCTCGACCTAACAAATAGTCCATCGCGTTAGCATGGTCTGTGCAACGAAAAAGTGTGTTGCAGAGAAAAGAGAAACGCATGTGATCAAAATGTGTGTCAGGACAAAAATTATCTCAGTATGCCTCTAAGCGTTAATTGGTGAGGCATTCGAAGAGCTGGGATTAGATTCAGGCTTACGCCTTTTGTCATCATTCAACAGGGAGGTGGATGCGAAGAAATGAGAAAAAGAAAAAGCCGCAAAGGGCAAAGCGTCTTGCAGCGTTGGAAATTCTTACCTCCTTGGGGGCCCAGTCACCCTTCCTGACGTCCTTGTTATCGTTGAGCAAGGCGAGAATCTTTTCGATAGTGGCTTCCTCCTCCTTGGCCTTCTTGACCTCGAGGCTCTGGCCTCCCACGCGAGTCTTCCTCTTCTGGTTCTCGAGCGCCTTTTCGACGAACTCGATATCCTTGAGTCGGAGCTCCTCGGCGATGATGTCAAGATCGCGGGTGGGGTTGACGTCGCCCTCGACGTGGATGATTTCCGCGTCATCGAAGCAGCGCACGACCTGGAAAATGGCATCGACTGCCCGGATATGGGACAAGAAGGCATTTCCAAGACCGGCACCGGTCGAGGCACCACGGGTCAAACCGGCAATGTCATAGACAGTGAGGTTGGCGGGGACCTTGGACTTGGGCTTGAACTTCTCGCACAGCCAGTCGAAACGCTCGTCAGGGACGATTACGCGAGCTTCTTCAGGGTCGATAGTGGCGTACGGGAAGTTCTACAAGCATGCATAGTTAGCATCGAGCTTGACGAGGAAAGGCTATTTTGGGGGTAGGAAGCGGGGTAGCTATGGTGAAGGCGCGAAAAAAGCGTACCCCGTGGAAGAATAAAAAGCATGCGGAGAGGGCGACGACTAGAAACCTACAGCCGGGTTACCGAGGCCGGATTTGGTGATGGCCTGGAATAGCGTTGACTTTCCCACATTGGCGAGGCCGACCTAAGTATAGGTTGTTGTGAGCTTGGGCATCTTGGCCCGTCGGCGAGGCAGCGGCAGACGCACGATTCCACTCTTGAGGTTGTTACCGGGCCTGCCCAGGAGAATTTTCTCTTCTTGAACTTGCTTCTTGGGAGGCATCCTGTTCTTCTTGCCCTTGGCGTAGGTCCTGGATGTGAGATAGAAGACTGTGCAGCTGATTGCGGAGGAGCGCCTCAGGGGAAAAGCAGACCGAGCTGCGCAATGGGTAAAATGACGGGAGAAAGAAGTGAAGAGAAGAGGGGAGCTCGATGAGAGAGACACGGCGGCGACTATCGGCTGGCAGGAACCAGCCTTAGATGGCCTTGGGAGAAGAGACGACGCTCTAGATAGATGAATGACCAGGACACGATTCCGGTCCGGTAGAGTAAGAAGGAGATGGAAAATTTTCACGCAAGAGAAAATTTGTTGTTCAGTCTCTGTTGACAAGGATTTTTCAAATGCTGGCTTCCGGTTCAAAGGGGAAAAAATCAACTGTGGTGGTCGGTGCTTTAATCACGATCACGTGACAACCCCGCTCTGAGAGCTGTGCTGAGATTGAAGTTGCAAACTTGAAGCTCCCCGCAGTTCAGTTCGTGCCTGTTGATGCACTGATGAGCAGCATCCTGTCAGATCTCGGCCCATGGTTGAAGGATAATCCGACGATTGCGCCGAGTACGTACCCGCCCACTAGGGCGACTCAAGCACCACAAGTGACACCATCTGCTTTTGTCCGCATCCCAGAATGACGCAGCTCACAGTAACAAACACCACGCAACACTGTCTTTCTTTTCCTATTTCGAGGACTTGCGCGTTCCATCCGTCCTGCTTGTGCATCAGAATAAGCTCAAGGCCGGACTGGCAAAAAAGACAGGCGCGAAACCCAGCGGCAGGGCAGCCGAAGTTTCAATTCCCTCCCATTCCTTTTTCCATTCCTTCAAGTTGGTCCTCTCCCAATGCCGTCTTCCGCGCAGCAGGGACTCAAACCTTGCCAATAAACAAGGTTTTTCTACTTTTCCTGCCTCGCCATTACTTTTCCCTTTCTCCAGGCTGCTCAGTAAGCCGGCACATGCCCGAATGCATCGCCACTGCCTAGCTTTATCTTTCCTCCGATAAGCCAGCGACAGTTTCTTTCCTCCTCTAACTCTTGAAACCTTCGTACACCCCGCACCCTTCATCCCCTCCCAGCGATTAAATCTTCGGCGCTCAGCTTGGATCGAAAAAAAGGGAAAAGAAAAAGAGAACACAATGTCTGGACGAGAATCTGCGCAGTCGTCCCGGCGGTCGCACCGGTCAACCCTTTCTTTACAAAAGACAGAGGTCAGAATCAATGTGTACGACCTGCTTCCAGTATGTCAGCCCAACGTTTGGTAACCTAGCTCCCTCTTTGTTACGTTATGCTAACCTCGGCTTGAATAGCCTGGAAAAATGGCGTCAGTTCTCTGGACCATGGGGACGGCACTTCTGCATTCAGGTGTGGTGATCAACGGGAGGGAGTACGCATATGGCGGCCACGATCGGCCCGGTCTCTCCGGCGTGTATTGGACGAAACCCGGGCAGGTGCCCCCGGTGCCACCTTTCGAAGCGAGATCATTCACGGATTCACTTTGCAGCGGCGCCCGAGATTGAGGCAACCATCAAGGATGTGTCGGCCGAGTTCATGGGCACATCATACAACCTACTATCGAGAAATTGCAACCACTTTACGTCCTATCTAGTCGAGCGACTGACGGGTCGTGCCGGACCAAGCTGGCTTAACCGCGCAGCAAATATCGGGGTCGCCTTCCCTGTGTTGTCCCGAGGGAATGGGTTGAGCCTCCCCCGGCTGACATCGCAGATGGGGAGCTAGTAGAGGATGAGGATCAGGTTGACGAGTCTTCTCGGATGCTAGGCCCAATGCGATCTAATTCTACGCAGTCAGATTCCGAGTCAGAGCAGCGACGAAAAGACTAGGTTGGCTTGACAGATGAGGAGGGGGAGGGTGAATGACATCGTGAGTCGGTGTTACAATTGTGATATAGATTGCTTTGTATGAAGGGTTTTGTCAATCTAAGGGAACGGCGTTCATGGATATGGAGGAAGGCTCAATGGATTGGCGGCGTATTATCTTTTTCTCAACTACTCGCGTTTTTTTCTCCATTCGACAAGATACCATCTGCCATAGCAATTGACTGGAAATTTGATTTCGTCTCTACTCGACTCGCTTCCCACCATCTTTCTTATCGGGTCTACAGAACAGGGAGGAGACGGGAAGAGGGAGAAAAGGAAGATTGCTTTATCTGGAAATAAGTGTATAATTGTACATGTACCATATAGTATACATATGCTGATCCAACAGCTCCTCTATCGTATCTAAAGGGCGTTAAACACGCCTGGGGTTCTTGCTCTTCGTTCCACCAAATTTGATTCTCGTCGCATCAGCCACCCTCACAATCTTTTCCCTCAGCTTATTGCCCTCGGTGCCGAGAAGGACCTTGGTCGCGGCCTCCCGCCCGGCGCCAAACCCCGCAACACGACCTCGAGCTTGTTGATCTTGCGGTCCCAGCCGGCATCGTACAGCCTCTCAAGAACGTAGACGGTGAGCTGGTAGGCGGCGTCGTACTGCTTCCTCCTCGATTTCCGGAAGCCAATGTTGCCGCACGAGAGCGAGATGATGGCGTCGCGGTTGGGTTTCGTCACGGTGACGTGGGTGTTGTGCTTGTGGGAGAGGATATGGAAGTGGTAGGGCTCCTGCTCCTCGAGGGCGCGTCGACCGGTGAGCTCGTGGGTGAGGCTCGCGAGGGTAGGTTCCTGGTCTTCGGGGCCGACGGGAGCGGGACCTAGGACCTTGGAGAGGTTGGCCATGGCGAATCCGCCGGGCGTCTGCTTCTTCTTCGCCGCTGCCGTCGCCGCATCTTCGGCTTGGGCTGGGGCACCGCGGCTAAACAGACTCGAGGCTAGGTTCCCCGTGCCCTTCTTGTAGCCGGCGCCATCGTTGGCCTGGGTGTTGGGGGTGGTGGACACGGCGCGTACGAGCTGGGGCGTCCTGGAGGCGGAGGCTGCCGATTCGACCGCGTGCCGTAGAGTCGGCCGCGCCAAGAGGCGTCTGGAGAGTATCGCGCTCATGGCTTAATTTGAATAGGGTGCAGATACTGCTGGGTTTGTCGTGCTCGGGTTGGTGGCACGCAAAATCCCTACTCCGTTCTTCGACAAGTATTTTTTTGGGGGCTCCTTTTGAGACCAAGATACGTCGAAAGCTTTTTTGGCTGATCTTGGCGCTGAATCGCTGGTTCTGCGGCTAAATCTCGGCAGTGGAAATACATCTGCTCTGTTCCCCTGCTTTCTGTTTTTCCTATTGGGAAATTTTTTTCTCGTCACTCCCGAAAAGGCTCCTAAGCACATCCGATTCTCGCGTGGGAGAATTTCTGCACTGTGGTTTCCTAATCTCCCCGTCCAGTCCGTTTTTGCCATCTTTTCCTTCTCCCCTCCCCCTTTTGACATCTCTTGATGACACCGTATTGACCTGAATCAGTCCTTTTTCGGAAGATCAGGCTTTCTTCTACATTTATTTAATAAGCTATGAGTTCCTTCGCCTATCGAACGGGGCAGAGCACCCAAGCTGTGCTTTCCGGCGCAACCAGCCGGCTAGCTCTCACCCACGGTCGTGCGTCGGCGTACCGGCGGATATCCCAGCTCTCGACCACCGCCCGTATCGGTGCGCAAGAACAATCCCAAGTCCAGGGAACTTACCAATCTCGACTCCGATCCCCCTTCACTCCTGAATCTATCATTCTCCCCTCCCGCCTCGCCACCCAATCCCGCCAGTTCCACGTCTCCTCGGTCCGTGGAGACAAGGAGAAGCCTGCCGAAGACAAGGCGTCCGAGAAGAAACCAGAAGAGGAGTCGGACAAGGACAAGGAGTCCGAGTCTAAATCCTCCGAAGAAGGCGAGCAGAAGGACGAGACAAAGGAGAAGCAGAAGAAGGAAGATCTCCCCACCTCCTCCCCACGGTGACAAGACACCATGGGAGGTCTTCAGGGAGACTTTCCGGACCGAGATGGAGCATTCTAAGGAATGGAACGAGTCGACCAAGGCCATTGCCTCCTCGGCGCATCAATTCACCGAGAGCGAATCCGTGAAGCGCGCGCGCGAGGCCTACGAGAAGACAAGCGGCGCGGTGTCCTCGACTGCCTCCAAGGTCGTCAAGACCACCGCCGGTGCCATCGGAAAGGGTGCCTCGTGGACTTGGGAGACGCCCGTCGTCAAGGGTGTTCGATCGGCGGCCAATGTCACCGGCGAGGCCCTTGACAAGGCTACGAAACCGATCCGCGAGACCGAGGCTTTCAAGAGCGTCAAGGATGTCATTGACGATGGTTCCAGCGCCCGCTATGGTGGCTGGGTTGAGAAGGAAGAGCGTAGGCGGAAGCGAGAGCTTCAAGCACAGTCCGGCGCGGCCCCCAAGGTCCTCGAGGAGGATCCGGAGTAAGTCCCTATGATGATGCGCATTCACTTTTTTCCCTTCAACCGTATGCTAATGATTGCCGTTCGTAGGGCCGGTACCAATGTTACTCTACACAAAGATGCCGCGTGGAAGGAGGCCTGGAGGGATTTCAGGGACACCAACAAGGTCATGCAGGGTCTCTTCAGCGCCAAGACCGTGTACAACGAATCCGAAAACCCCTTGATCAGCACGGCCAGGAGCATCACCGACAGCATCGCCGGCTTCTTTGCCGAAAACGAGAACGCGATGGTGATCAAGAAATTCCGCGAGATGGACCCCCAGTTCAAGGTCGAACCTTTCCTTCAGGAGCTACGCGAGTACATCCTCCCCGAGGTCCTCGACGCCTACGTCAAGGGCGACGTTGAAACCCTTAAGCTGTGGCTTTCCGCGGCGCAATTCTCCGTCTACGAGGCCCTCACCAAGCAATACCTTCAGCTGGGCATGAAGTCGGATGGCAAGATCCTTGACATCAGGAACGTCGACATCCTCAAGGCCAAGATGCTCGACCCCGGTGACATCCCCGTCTTCATCATCACCTGTAGGACGCAGGAGGTGCACGTCTACCGCAACGCCAAGAGCAATGAGCTCGCCGCCGGAATGGAGGACAAGGTCCAGCTCGTTACCTACGCCATTGGCATCACCCGTGTTCCAGAGGACGTCAACAATCCCGAGACCAGAGGATGGAGGTTGATTGAGATGCAGAAGAGCGGAAGGGACTGGTACTAAGCGCCAGCTGGCACCGCCCTTTGTTTCCAACACCCTACTACTCTTTCTTCGATGAGCCTTTCTTCTCCTCGCACACAAGGCTCTCATCCATGTATACAACAATACCAACAACAATAACAACAACAACCCAAAAGGAGTGATGAGTTGTGAGCCACGATCTAGCGTCGCTCGGAGCATCTTGTTTCATTTGCCTGTACAACACATGTAGGAGCTTACGAGGTGTTTTGTTTCGTTTTTCTTCTTCATCATCTTTTCTTGTGTCTACTCATATTGGACCACGTTTTCTTCTCTCCGATTATTCCGGGAGGGTCACCAGGCGCATCTACCTAGCCAAACGGGAACGCACACACACACCACTCTAACACTGCTCTTTATCTTTTTTTTTTGGGAGAAGGGAAGGAAGGGAGAATTATCCGGCGGAGGGTGTCTTACTCGTGTTCTTAATTCTCTTGTTTTCTTCTTTCTTGTTCCCCAGACTCCTTGATGTATGAATTTATAGAACGGGGAGGAGCATGGCATCTTAGAGAAAGCCCTTATACTACTACCCTGTCGGGACGAAGGGGTAGTCGTTTAATCCATAGATATGATGTGTATATCAAGAGAAAGAACACTTCGTCTCAAGTCAGCCTAACGATTCGCCTCCGCTAAGATGATGATGTGACATGAGTTGCCGTAAGGCTTTAACATATTCTTCAAGAAGCTTCGTGTAAGCTTGAGCTAGAGGTGCATGAAGCTAAGGTGACAGACATGGCCGAAATCTACACCAAATCGAAGTATCCGTATCTCCGGTCCCATCAAGACTTGGTTTCCTGTTCCGAAGCTACATTCTGCTGACATTGTGGTATCGTGTCACCCAGGAGAGCGAGGTCTCTTCCCTTCGCGGCTAAAATCACAAAGAGCCCCGACCACTTTCTTGACTTGGTAGTCGTCTAATTCCTGCTCAGTTGCCAAGCAAAACAATTGCAGAATATGCCACTTGATGTACATGTAAAAAAGAGGAAAGGAAAAGTGAAAAAACCAACTTACACATCATTCCGGCGCAAGATAGAAAGGTGTATGCCCTCTTCCTTCCAGTTCCCATCTCATCCCGACCTCATTCTCGAAGCTCTAAAGTTCCATTCCCTCTATGCAATCTCATCTCCGTTTTCACTTTTGAATACAACCTACTATCCCCCTTCACTCGATTCTCTCCGTCTTTGCATACACTTTAATTCACCTTTTCGTACCTGGGCCGGCGTGCCCAGGAACAGGCCAATGGCTCCCCGCACCCACTCTATATCCATCGGCTATATTACCGAGCCCTCTCGCCAGGACGGGCCAAAACCGTCAATTTTACCTGTCAACGTAGGACCATTCTAAATTGCAATTCCCCTCACCCTAAGAAAAATGGTCAGCTCTTCACCTAGCCACGGCTCACCGTATTGGTCGTCTCCTTCGCCATGGTATGAGAGGAGCCGGAGGCTACTCTAGCTCACAACCGGGACCTACTGCGGAGGGGAAGGGAGGGCCCCAGCATTGATTAACTTATAAAGAAAGATGGCCATGGATCTCTTCCGTTCCCGTACGGTAGGTAGGAAAAAGGGTACGGTCCGGCGGAGCTTTTTCATCTTTCCTCTTCGCATCTCTCTGGTCTCTGTTTTTCCGAGCCTCTTCCCTCTTTGAAGTTCACGCCCCTTGATTATCGCTTTCCCGGTTCTATCTCTTGCGCAATTCAGTACCATAGATAGAATAGGAGAGGGTCGAGAACGAGCATCTTCACTATGAGGACCACCACGCTCGGCATCGCCGCCGTGTTCACGACGCTGCTCACCGTCGTTACCGGCCGTCCCCATGAGCTGCGCGGCGCTAAGATCCTTCAGAGAGCCGACGAGGTCGCGGAGGAGTATGACTACGTAATTGTGGGCGCTGGCACCGCTGGCCTGACGGTCGCGGATCGTTTGACCGCGGATGGAAAGAGTAAGCGCGCCATTTCTCTCTAGACTTTCTACCGACGTTTGTGCCGGCAGGTGAGCGTGAACAGAGGCTAACATGTCGGTAAACCAAAAGCTACCGTTCTTGTGATCGAGTACTGTCATGTCAGTAAGTGATGTCTATCAACCTTCTTGACCCCTTTCGCCAATTGGCCTTTTTCTTCTGTCATTCCATGGACACGAAGTGTGGCAAAAGTCCTCACCATTCCCACCTAGTTTCCGACGAGGTCACTCGCGCCGGTGGCGGGCGAAGCTTCAACGACCCGGGCATCCGCTACAACATCACCTCTGTTGAGCAGCCCGATATGCATAACCGTACCCAGGCCGTCCGCATCGGGTGCTGCGTCGGAGGTAGCTCCGCCATCAATGGCATGGTAGCAGTCCGCGGCACCCGGAGTGAGTACGACGGCTGGGCTGAGCTCGGAGGCCCCGACTCCACCTGGGACTGGGACGGCGTGATTCCCTACTTCCGCAAGGTCAGACTTATCCCTTCCTCTCTCTCTCTCTCTTTCTTGGCCCTTTTGTTCCTGTGTTGTTAACGCGTTAAGTGAAATCAAGGCCATGCACTTTACTCCCCGTGGAAGAGCTTTCTCAGGCCTTCAACATAACCTGGGACCCCGACGCCTGGGGCATGGAGGAGGACACCCACATCTACGCCTCTTTCCCTACTTACCAGAATCCCAGCATCAGCAAGTCCCCTTCTCTCCCTGGCCCCAATCCGCTCCCCAAGCGTTACTGCGCGCGCGCCACTAACAGCCCATCACAAACAGTCCCCATGTACCAAGCCATGGCCAAGATGCCCCGCATGGACGTCCCCCTCGACGGCGCCAACGGCAACAACGGCCTCTTCTGGTTCCCGTCCAGCCTCGACCCCAACACCTACTGGCGCTCCTACGCGCGCACCGGCCACTACGACGGCCTCGTCGACGAGCGCGACAACCTCCACGTCATCACCCGCCACAAGGTCCGCCGCGTCCTCTTCGACGACGACCTCGCCGCCACGGGCGTCGAGTTCTTTTCCCGCGACGCCGACGCCCCCGAAGAGGAGGAGGAGGAGGAACCGGCAGCCGGCCCCGCGACCCAAATCGTGCGCGCCCGGAAAGAAGTGATCCTGTCCGCCGGCACAGTGCACACCCCGCAGATCCTCCAGCTCAGCGGCATCGGACCCAAGGACCTCCTCGAGTCCGCCGGCATCGACGTCCTCGTCGACATGCCCGGCGTCGGCCAGAATTTCCAGGACCACGCCTACCTCAGCGTCGGCTACCGCTGGAACAACGGCGCCCCGCCCGCCCCCAACGTCACCGCCAACGGCGACCCCGCACGGGTTCCTCGCCCAACCTCGGCGCCTGGATCGGCCTCCCCACCATGACGGAGGACTTTGAGGAGATTGCCGCCCGGTACGAGGCCCAGGACCCCGCCGACTTTTTGCCCGCGGACTCCCACCCTTGGGTCGTCGCCGGCTACGCCGACTTCCAGAAGCTGCACGCCAAGCTCTTGCGCAGCAAGAATACCAACATCCTGTGGTACCCCGTCGGCGGCTCTCCCGGCGGCATCGTCATGAGCATGCACATTGTCAGCCACGGCACCATCAACATTGACCCGGCCAGTCCCGAGAGCGAGCCCATCGTCGACTACCGCGCCCTTTCTAACCCCGTAGATCTCGACATCATGGTGGAGAACATTCGGTTCTTGAGGAAGTACATGGCGAGTGAGGACTTTGCCGAGTACGAGCCTGAGGAGACTATGCCTGGGATCGATGTCGAGGGTGAGGAGCTGGAAGAATGGATCCGTGAGGTCCTCATCCCCACCAACTTCCACCCTATCGCGACCGCAGCCAAAAGCCCAAGGAGAAGGGAGGTGTTGTTGATGAGGAACTTCTCGTCCACGATGTCAAGAACCTTCGAGTGGTTGATGGTTCTATCATGCCACTTTTGCCGGGAGCCAATACGCAGCAGCCCGTTTATATGCTTGCAGAAAAGGTGAGTACAAGCGGAAAGATATAACTGGCACCACTCCTCGTTTGGTACGAACGATCATATTAATTATAACTGTAGGCTGTCGATCTCATCAAGGCTCGCAATGGCGGAAGTCCCGAAGCGGAGGAGCCCACCGAAGAGCCTATCGAAGAGCCCGAGGAGCCAGCTGAGGAGCCAGCTGAGGATCCCGAAGAGCCGGTTGAGGAGGATCCCGAAGAGGAAGAGCCCGAAGAGGATGAATAACTCCCCTGTGTGCTAACCTTTCTTTCCACGCCCCTAAACTAGTGTGGTAACACCCAACGTGGAGAAACGGGAGAGATGAGAGACACGATAAAGCCAAAGGTCTTAGTTTGCGCGCTAGCCGGTTCCTACTTCAGTATATGCTTTCAAAGGTAACAAAAACGTAATGAATATACAATTCATGGGAGACCTGAATGACATGACAAGTGCAAACTACATAAAACCCAGGCCCCGGTCATGCTAAAAGTTCAAATGGATGGAGATGGCGGGTAAGATATAAGAAAACTAAAAACTTGGCCTTTCAATCTTGACAAACGGCAGGCGTTGGAGGGAGAGAGAAACTAAAGAAAAGTAAAACACCACACCCGAATGAATGACGCTAGTAGAAATGATGAATATGCCCAACCATCATCGTAAGACTTGGGAAGGGGAAGAAAATGAGGCCGCATGTACGGGCGGTCCTGAGTCTATCAACGCCTTCGCTGTGTAAATATGGATGTCCATGAGAATCGCTACCGGAAAAATGAATCAACCAACTAGATGTCGGAGAAGCGAACCATGTAAAAAGGAAAAAAAGAAAAAAAGGAAAAAAAGAAATGAAACAAAAACAAATGAAGGACATGAGCGGAAGCCAGCAGAGCGAGGGCTTCGAGGAACTCATCCTATCGCTCACACGCGCTGGGCAGGGAGGCACCTACTCAGTGGTGCCCAGCCGCCAATCTCTCGACTTGGACCCCGAGCGACGGCCCTGCCGCCGTTACCCATATACCGCGAGGCCGCGTCGAGATCCCATAGACTCCCATTCTCAATGTTCCTGGTCAACCATCTCTTACGGATTTGACCGACATCGTCAGGAAGGCCTTGGCTGAAGAATCGAAAGGTCATGCACTCGTCGGGATCGAGCTCTTCCCATTTAGACATGAGATAGACGTCCTCCGTGTACCAGCAACCGGCGACGGCAACGGTGAACTTTTTCTGCAGGTCAGGGCTGTCACGGGGCATGGTATTGAAGTAGACTTCCTTGACGTTGACGCGCAGCGGGCGTAGACGCCGGGCTTGGGCTCCATGAACCAGACGAACTCGAGGTCGCGCAGCCGCGCAATGTTCCACCAAAGCCAGTGATCGGCCAGCGGCACGTGGAAGAGCATGAGGCGCTTGAGGTTAGGCCAGAGGGCCCAGATATCGGTGGTAGCCTCCGAGGTGGATAACTGGGGGTACTCGGAGAGGCAGATGAACTCCTCGAGATTGACAAGGCTCTCGAATCCTTGGCGCAGGACTTGACGGACGTTGAGGTGGTCGTCGTACCGGTCGAGAGTGGAAAAGGGCATATCAATCACGAGGCGGCGCAGCGTGTCGGCCGTGTGATGACAAAGCTCGTTGACCCATCGCGCGGTGGGCAGGTCGTCAAGAGTGTTGCCGAAAGGAGCTAGATAGAGAGAGGTGATACTCTTCCAGGACAAGGCCGGGTCAGGGCTGTAGTGAGGTCCATCCAGGGAAAGCAGCATGCGGCGAAGCTGGTTGCTGCTCTCGATGGAGGCGCTGTGCTTGCGGAGGAGGCGGGTTGCGACGCGATAGGTGGACCGACAGACAAGGGTGAAGGCAATGAGGAGCCGGGAGCGGGGGTCGTCGCGGCGCAGAAGAGCGTCGGGTGAGTCGGGGATGACGGATTCCACGATTTGGAGAATGAGCTCGACGGGCAAGCGCGGGGGCTAACCTCCTTTGGCGGGGAGAAGGGTGCCATGACAGGTGTTACAGAAGATACCGTCATTATTTTCTGAATCGCGTCGGGGGATGGAGACTATGGCCGAAACATTGACGGATAGCCCCAGCCAACTGTGCTCGGTGAGGGCGCGCGGGGTGTCACACTATTGGCCCAAGTGATAGCTCGCAAGATGTCGAGTGGTGGGAGGTGAAGAGAGGTGAAAGAAGGGCGAGCAGACGCAAAAGAAAGAAGAAAAAAAGAACAAGAGAAAAAAATAGGGCCGTCTTTATGCCATCAAGGGTGGAGGGTGGCTAAGAAGCTGACAATACAGATGATGCGTGGTGGACGAACTGCGTCATGAAATGCGGATTGCGCCCTGATGGCTTGGTTTGTTGATAGTCCCAAAGCTTAGGGTTTTAGAGGCAAGGCTAGAGAGGGCGGAGAGGGAAAGCGCATGGGATTCGTGGACCGGCGGGCGAGAGGAGCGGGGTTCGTTTCTATTCTCTTTCCTGGCTTGCGAGGTGAGCGAAGTGGAAGAAGGTTGGGAAAAAGGCGAGGGCTACCGAGGGATAAGAGATAAAAACAAAGACTAGGATGGGAAGAGGATGGAGAAATCCAATAATTGTCTATATACTTCAATGTTCGTACTTGCCCCCAACTGCATGTGGTATTTGCTGCCGGGCCAGAAAACGACAGGAGCAATCCACAAGGTCCTTTCCAATCCAATTATCACTTGTGAAAGTACAATCAGACGCATTTCGTTCCACGGAAACGGGTCAAGTGCGGACCGATTCCTTTTTCTTTTCTCTTTCTTTTTCTTTTCTCTTTCTTTCTCTTTCTTCCTTTATTCTCCCTGTTAAACAGAGATAGTAAAGGCAAAAGTTGCAAAAAGTTACCGCCAAAAGATTTCACCCGATTGGCTTCCCTTGAATTTGAAGTTGCGTTTTGCGCCCTCGCTGCGGGAACCCAATGCTGCGATGCCGTCATTGTTTAGTTGCGCCAGCGTCAGCCTGCAGAGGATCAGTCCCAGAAGGGCTAGAGCAGCCCCTCGCATCAGACAAGGGTTCGGATGGACTGGGCCTCGCCTGGCCTGGCCTGCTCCCTGTGGGAACGAGGGAATCAGCACCTCTGAAGCGTGCTCTCTTTGCCTGGCTTGCCTGCTTGCCTGCTTGCCTGGCCCGCCCCGCCAGGCCAGTTGGTTCCAATGTTGTCCTGCGACACCCGCTCCACCCGCTCCACCCACCGGAGCAAAACAAGCAAAAGATCCGCAGGCGCAAAGCGTGGCACAAACGGTCACAGCCCACGATTCTCTTGTCACTTGGGAACTAGCTCGGTTCTTTAACAAGGTTAAACATTGGATGCGCTTTCCTCTCTTTTCACCCGAACCATTGGGCGGAATTGCAACAGATTTTGATCCCGGGCTCATCTGACCTTAAGACGAGATTCGACCCATGGTGAAATGAATTGCGGCGCGCTCGCTCTGACTTGCTACTCTGTTCAGGCATTCATATTCTTCATTCTTGAAGCACTAGCTCGACAAGTTCTTTGAGGATCAGGAGGTGTGGGGTCCGCGTTGATATTCACCCGAGAGAGCTTGCGTCCTGGGTATTGCACACTCATTCTCAAAGATGAGGAAGAGCAATAAATCATTCCGGAAAAAACTAGCAGGGGTGATCGGAAAGGAGAAGAAGAAATTGAATAATCCAAGGTTGCATGGCCGAGTGGTTTTAATATTGAGGGAGGGGAGGAACCCGAGGGAAAAGATAGAACATTGAATCAATTGATAGCAGCAGAAGAGTGAAAATGGGCGTCTCTCGGAGTTTCGGGCACTCCTCGCCGTGTCACGTCCCAAAATGGACCGCAACGCGCTGAACCCCATTTAGGGCAGAGGTATTTATTTGATCTAATTTGCTTACAATGGATCAATGTAGGCATTGTACATGATGGTTCGGGTGTTTTCGAATTTTTTTTTTGTTCTGCCTGCTCGAGTTGGACCTTTAGATTGGCAGGTTCGATTGGGTTGGTCAACAGGGTCTCGGCCTGGGGCTCTTGCTGCCACACACACACACACGCACGCACGCACGCGGACGGATATTACTTACATACCCGAGCACCATCTCTGGACCATATCGGTGGCCCTCCAACCAGGTCATGAGCTTTCTTCTCCGCATTCTGCTTCGAGATAATGGTGCCGCCATTGGTCACTTCTCCGCTGATCACCACTCAGCAGCTCGGAGGCCCGGGGAAGCTCAGCGATGGATAGCACAGCATGCCGCTGAAAGTCCACATCCATAGATGTAATGTCCGAACAACAACTGCAAAAGCGGAAGACTCGCGTAGGGCAGGTCCCGATTATGAAGGAAGAGGAAACATAAAAACTACCAGCTCGAATTGAGGCTGCCCGTATAGTATAGACTTACCAGTACGAAGAAATTATCTCATTCACAGGGAAAGGCAGTGTGGCTAGCTCCCGAGTGCGCTGACGGTTATCTGGGACGGGACATCTGACACCAAACGGACAATTTTCCCGAACCCCCATTGAAGATTCGTCCCCTGTCTCCACCTTCCCGAGGCTGGTCTGACCCCTGGCCTCTTGTGGTCTTTTTCTTTGCTTTTCTTCGTTCTCGCGACCATGCTCAACATCTGCGAAGGGCTCAATGGGCAGCAAGATTGCCGTGTCTCTTCAATTCTTCGTAGCCTAATGGCGCCTTTGTTCCCCGCGCCCCTACTCCCGCTCGCCAAGTTTGAGCTAACGGGTCATCCTCCTTTCCCTACATGTACTGTGATATTTCTGCGTGGGGCCGGAGAGGAGTGGTGCTGAAAGAATTCCAATTCCCCCTTGCTTGGAGACTGGTGCGATTTCCACTTTCCCCCACACTCTCGATTCGTCCTTCCCAAACGGGGTCTTAGCACCCAAATTTTTTCCCTCGCCTTCAATGTTCTCTCTCTCCACCCTTTGACTGCCGTGTTCCCTCCTCCCCCAAACGCTACGGCACTATTCCATTGTTCCCCCTCAGAGCTAGCCTTTACTGGTCGCCCTCAGTGAGTTGTCATTATTCCTTCACTGCCCGTTCCGTTCTTCCCGGAACTCGCGGCTTTTCCACAGGCGGCTCTCCATCGCCGAACCTCACACGCCCCCTCTCCAAGTGATCTTCGTCTGCTTCACCGACTCGGAACCCCCTCAGCCGAGGTCGAATCCTTCCTAACCACAGAACAATCCCCCTAAATACCCTCACTCGTGAATAAACCCCCTTTCGTTGCTGTATTCCGCTTGCTGCCTCCCCTCTCCCCCACGAATTCCATCCGCCGTTTAGCTTTCTTTTTCCCGCTCCACCCAGCTATGCTCCATCGATTAATAGCCACCTACCTATCCGAGACTCCCGGCAGTCGTGCAAACATCTTCTTATCCGCCGATCCGATCCGATCCGTCGCGTAACATCCACCTCGCTCAATATACCGAACCCCCATCAATCCGGGGAAGAAGGGGACCCAAAAGAGGAAGAACAAGGGGAAAAGAATCGAATTGGCTCAAACCCTTCCCGCGGCGCGCTTCCACGCGGCTCCCTCTACCCTCCTGCATTCCGCACCTCCTCCGCCTTTTTCCGTTATCGTCAACGACCCGTTTCTACCCCAGAAAGCCATCGGCGGCTACCCGCAAATCTAATCGGTCCATCCGGTCTTTGGACCTTGTATCACAGTAGCGGATATATCCCTCACTAGACCTACACGACCCTCTCGTTACATACATATCGATCGATACCTACGTACTACTTCTCTCGCGGCGCGCACACACGTCCCCCGATGTCCAAAAACAGCTCAGTCATCACCTACGCTGCCGGCGCGGGTCTCGCCGCCATCGCACTGGTCTATGTTTTTGGTCCTACCTACCTCATCGACGAATCTCCCAACGGCACTCGCCGATCCTCTCACGCCGTCGGCCTGCGTAACGTTGGCAATGATTGCTTCATCAACTCCATCCTCCAGGCCCTCGCCGGGCTCGGGGAGCTGCGCTTATACCTCATCCGCGAGACCCATCGAAGGGTCATCGATGCCGATGTATACGAAGCCCTCGTGCGACCGACCCGCTCCGCCGATGCACCTTCCCATTTCGGTGGTAAGGAGCTCAAGGAATGGCAGATTCGCAGCCTACAAGCAGGAGCCGTGACGGCAGGGCTCAAGGAGATGCTAGATAGACTGAACGAGAGGCCCATTTCCAAAAAGGCCATATCACCGAGGGGTTTCGTCGCGGTGCTGGAAGGCGCGTTTGGCCAGACCATCAACCGACAGCAACAGGACGCGCAGGAATTTCTTCAGCTGCTCGTAGAAAGGTTGCAGGACGAATACAACGCGGGAAAGCGAGCGAGGGCACACGCGAAGCGAGAACAAAATAGAAGAAAGCTTGCGGGGATCCACATCTCCTCCGAGAATGGCACGCCCACCTCGCAAAGGACGGATCCGACCCTAGACGCCTTTCAAGGGGAGGGCGAAGAAGCAGAATACGAAGAGCATGACTTTCCCTTGGAGGGCGAGCGCGAGGCCCAGTCCGAGTGCATGACGTGCGGGTATAAGACGCACCCTCGCAAGGAGGTGTTCTGCATGCTTACCCTCTCCGTCCCTCAAGTCCCTCACACGACTCTCGACGCGTGTTTCGATGGGCTCTTCAAAACCGAGCACATTCCCGATTACAGGTGCGACAAGTGCCGTCTTTGCACGCCCGGAAGCTCCTTGCCAACGACCTATCCAAGCTCCCGCCGACTCCCGCCGACGCGTCCGAAGACCCCCGCCCTATCATGCGGGAGGCCCTCCGCAAACTCGACGAGTCCATCGAAAAGGACCCCGAGAACCCGCCCAGCGACGTGCCCCTGCCCAACTCGAGCCACGCGCCCAAGTCCACCATTGCACGCTCGCACAAGATTACGCGCTTCCCCGCGTCCTCGTCGTGCACCTCTCCCGCTCCATCTACGACCGTACCTCGCAAAAGAACATGGCCAAGGTGTCGTTTCCCGAGCAGCTACGCCTCGGCGGACTGCGCGAGACCAAGCGCTACAAGCTCCTCGCCACCGTGACGCACAAGGGCGGGCACTCCAGCGGGCACTACCAGTCCTTTCGGCGGCATGCCTTTGCGGCCAACCCCTTTTCCAACCCCCATCTCATGAGCGGCGTGTATAGCAGGGCCGCCACCCCTCTGCCACACCCCGCGTCGGTTCCTCCGCAAGGGTCACGGCGGATCGACCGATGTGCCCACCGCCAGCCCCGCCGCCTCGACGCCGAATCTCGTCGCGAGCCCTAATTCGTCGGGCGAGCTTGTCACGCCTCCCGGCGTCGACGAATCTTTCCCCTCCGCTGGTCCCGTCAATGGCGCGTCGTCCAAGTCTGGCTCGATTAGGGACAAGGACAAGGACAAGTCGGACTCGAGCAGCATCCGCTCCGTCGCTGCCTCGGCGCTCTCCAAGCTTTCGCCGTCTAAGAGCGGGTCGAACCTCAACGGCCAATCGAGCGTGAACGGCGCAGCGCCGTCGGAGCGCCGGCCGAGGACGGCTCTCAAGAAGAAGAACCAGAAATGGTGGAGGATCAATGACGAAAAGGTGCGGGAGGCGCGGACGAGCGAGGTTTTGGATATGGAGAGGGAAGTCTATCTCTTGTTCTACGAATTGGAGGCGGACGAGCCTTCAGATGTATGATGGGAGGAAAGTCTAGTCGCCCAACTAGGGCTACAAGGTATGGGCAAAAAAACAAACAGGGGAAGTTGGATAAGGAAGAAGGAGGAGAACAAAAGGAATCATCTCGAGTTATATAGGACTTGGCCGCAGCTAGAATTTAGAGGTTGCTATGGCGGTGGGTTTTATATCCCTCGCGGAGCCCACGCATGCCTCTGCGCGTTAGAGTGGCGGAAAAGCACGGAGACGCAGGTGGAAGCAGAAGGGTGGGAGCAGAAGCGGAAGCCAGAAAAAGATGACCCTCATAGGCATAGAATGGGGAGTCAGTGTACCAATATCATCTAGATGGGATCAACTGTCCTCTTGGATAGTTTTAAAGAAAATAGGATTAGCATCAGCACATTACACCCACCCGAGCAGAAAACTAGTAGATATAAAAAAGGGGTTATCGATCGAGCCTATGAGAGACCCAACCTTGCTCTTGACGAGGGTCATACCAGTCACGACGCCGGTAAACCCTGATCAAATCCTGGCCATCTAGCGTACGACGAGTGTGCTAGTCTCGTGTTTTAGGAATAGGAAAAAGAAAAGAGGTTGCTGTGTATTAAAAAGAAGAAGAAAAAAAGGGTACGCCATTCTCGAGTCTGGGAATGTTGATTTCTAAGGAGGGTTCCGGATTAAGACGAATAAGAAGAAGCCTTTTCCTCTGTCCCAACTTCCCTCACCACCCAATGCTCAACGACGTCACCGAATCCCCTCGGCCGCCCCCTGCCATACCGTATAGAACATAGAATTGGCCCGGCCCGGCGCAAGAATCCAGCATGCAGTTCTCAGCTAATAAAGAAAACAAACAGATGTGAAAAAAAAAAAAAAAGGGAACAAAGGCCTGCCCCCTTCAGGAAACCATCACCGTTTGCTTCTCACGAAGCGCCTCTATTGCCCCAGAAGCTCCTGCTCTATGGTAGCGATTTCGTCTGGGGACGGCGGACCCGCGGCCTTGACCTGCTGCTCCTTTTCGCGGTCGAACCTCCAGAGGCCACCCGTCTTGTCGGCGTCGCCGTCGATGCCGAGGCCGACCTTGGGGGCGAGGTCCCGAAGCACGTCGTCGGGGAGCCACGGGCGGTAAAGTACCTCCTCTGCCAGGCCCTGGACTCGGCCTTTTCCTTGGCGCGCATGTCCCTCTGGGCCTGCTCAATCTTGCCCTTTTCGAGGCCGACGACGTCCATGTCGCCCTTGGCAACGCCGGCGGCGACCTTGGCCCAGGCGCGACGGGACTCGAGGGGTGCTGGGCGTCGACGGGGGCGACGGAGAGCTGGGTGCCGGGGAGCTGGCGGCGTCGTAGGTCTCGACGAGGGTGGAGGGGCCGTTGGACTTGGCGGGGCCCTTGTAGAAGCTAAAGGACTTGGTCCAGACGCCGGTGGCGTTGTAGAGGACGTCCTTTTCGTTGTCGCCGCGGTAGACGACGGCGGTGACGCTGTTCTTCTCGCCCGAGAGCCAGCCCTTGCCCGAGTAGCTAATCTTGGAGGTGATGCCCGACGAGCTGGTGATGAAGGAGTGGGAGTTGAGCTCGACAAAGGGCGCGCCGTAGATGAGGCCTTCGATGTGGAGGGAGGGGAGGGTGATGAGGTAGGTCTCGGGGGTTGCGTCTTGTCCGGGTAGGGCACGGTCAGGACGGCGTGGCCGATTTGCTTGACGTTGATGGTGCGCGAGAATGTGGCCTTTTGGGCGTTGTAACCCTCGAGGTGGGTGCCGGTGGGGACATTGGTGATGCTGTACGCGGTGGCTGGGGGATGATGGCTATATTAGGGGAGAGCGAAGGAGAGGACAGGTGGGGTTAGCTTGCGCATAGGATGATCCGGACAGGAGAGGCCTTTGTCCGGCAGTGTGTTCTGCCAAGGGCCGCCGTCTTCAGAAGACAAACCTACCTTACTTGCTCGCTGATGAGCTCGGTCACGCCCGCATCGTCCTCCCACTTGCCAAGGAATAGCTCGCCGAGGAAAGGGTTGAGAGGCTTCTTCTCGTTGCCATATTGCTCGCTGCGACTCGCGTACTGCTGCTTTAGGGTGGAAAGGAACCACTTGAGCACAAGAAGGGAGCGCTTCTCGGGGTCGGACTCCTTGGCGGGGGCGGCGAAGCAGGGCGGGTGCTCGCACCAGTAAGAGCTGAACTCGGTCAAGCTGGTCGAGGAGAGGATAAATGGCGGGGCCGTGAGGGACGAGAGGTCGCCGTTGAAAGAAGCAATGGACTATATAGCGGGGAAGTTGCGTGAAGGGTCGGGTTAGTTTTCACTTGAGCGAGCAACTTTTGAATGTCACGTCTTTTTGGGGTTTTCCTTTCGTCCTTTTCTTTTGTCTCTGGCGAAGGAAGAGAAGTGGGAGACGAACCTTGAGGAAGGCGGACCAGCTGCTGCTGCTTGCCACGGAGCTGGGAGTCGCTGACCGGGACATTGTGGCGTGCTAGATATTTCACAAAAGGCTAAGGCTACCAAGGGAAACGGGGAGGAGAAAGAAAAAGAGAAAGGAAAAAGGTTGGAAGTCGTCGGTGCGAAACGGAGAGCGGACGAGCAATATCGAAAGATGTGCTTTTTGTATTTAATGCGATGGGGGAGGCGGGGTTAAGTTGCCAAGAAGGGAAATAAGAGCAGTGGACCACGCCGCGGAGGGAAACGAGCTCGCTCTTGCAATCAAACGTCTGGACTAACGAAGCACGGGAAGGAATTGGCAGCAAATATGGGACCAGCAGCAGGCGGTGGGACCGGGGGAAAATTATATATCAAGGGTTCAACTTTTGGGGAAGACTCAGCGCAACACGTCAAAGTTTCATTGGCTCTCACAGATGCGAATTGTTGTTTCCCGTCGCCCATTCGTTTGGTCCCTCTTCCCGTTAATTTTTTTTTCTTCTTTTTGTTGAACGGGGGTAAAACCTCACGAGGGGTAAAAGCGGGATTAGCAGCGCACGAGGACAATTGGTTGAAGCCTGGGGGGCGGTGACGGCCAGAGTGGGCAGAGGAGGTGATACAGCAGAGCCAGCACCAGACCCCTCTAGAGGCCGTTGACGTCAGGGCAGGAGGCGTTGCGTAGTGGCGTCATGGCCGGAGAAGGGGTGGGCCGAGACAGCACTCTTGAACGCGTTGGCAAATCTGATAGATCTATGGATGGATTCTTCTGATGCAGGGATCTGGCCTCCAGCCCCGCAGTATAGACCCTTCTTGCCTTCTTACCAATAAAATCCTCTCTCGCATCACAACGGCGGGTTTCCTCTTGAAAGATTAGATCAGGGAGGAAACATTGAAAGAAACGGAGCACTGGCCTGAGCACGCGACCCGAGTGGCAAGGCACATGCGAGTGATTTCCCCTCAGCGTTGACACGAGCAGGCTTAAAACGGCTAGTTTCCAGCTGTCAACAGCTGTTTTGATGACGGCCTCCTCGAGTCTCGACTCGCAAAGCCTCGCTTGAGCATTTCTCCTAAGTACAAGAGTGCCTCTTGTTGGAGAGCCAACCTAATAAAGAATCTAGATCGTCTATCGCCTCGAGTCTGCACATCCCTTGGTACCCTCGGGTCTTGATCGTCAATGATGGGTGGGCCACTACGTAACCCCCATCTTTATCTTCGTGGCTTCGCCGCGCCACCTTCCACGTGAGGGGCCAACCGGCTGGTGCGCAACTTCGCAGGTCTAGCGCGAGTTGCGACTTCTCGAGTCGCCAGTTAGTGGGTTCAAGGGGGCCAGTGGACCTCATGGACTTCGATCATCAATTGATCAATCGAAGGTGGGAAATTACTTGTCGAGACTCTACTCCTCTTCCTGAAATGTCTTGATCAAAAAAGAAAATAAGAAGATCACCAGCCCTTGGCTCGGCTAGGAAGTTGATTCGGATCACATATCCTCGCCTCGAGAAATATCATCAAACATGAATGATTCACTCCAGACACACCCAAACGCCAAACGGTGAAATCTACTCGAGGTCCCTTCAGCTTCAAGAGTAAATTTAAGCAAGCACATGATATTCATCTTATCTATTTGGTTCAAATCGTGATAAGGGCCCTTGTTCCCCAACGCCACATAATGCCAAGCCGAAACGCCCGTGTTCAAGAAAAAGACAACGCCACCCTGGTAAACAAATATGTGCAAAGAAAGTCGCGAAATAGAGGACATGCTGTTGCGTCTAGCATGATTCCATCAACTCTGTCGCCCAGTTCCCGTTGATCCCGGACACGGCACCGACTTGCGACTTGCCAACCGTCATCCAAGGGCTAATGTGGCACTCCTTGCTCTGCACATCCCACTTCCACGCGAGGCACCTCTTCTTGTGTCTCATGCACAGCCTCATACACTTCTCGGCCGTCGGGATCCCTCTCGCCGTCTGAGTTCTCGACCGGTCCAGCTTGCCCACAAAGTCGTGGTCCTGTCTCATCGGCCGGTCGTTGAACCCTCTCGTCCCGGGGCCTCCAAACAGGTCCCAGACGTCGGCCCACACCGTCGTGCGGGTGCCTCTCTCGTTGAACACGAGGCCCAGCGCCTTCATATCCTCGGGCTTCTTGAGCTCGTGGAAGGAGACGAGGGGCGAGCAGAACCGGTCGGCGGAGATTCGCGTGTCGGCGGGCGACTCGCCGTTGAACATGTGGCTGAAGCGCTCGTCGATGAAGATGCCAATCTTTGCAGCGTCGTCGCCACGAGCTTGTCGCCCCAAATCTCGGAGAGGGAGTTGACTTGGGCGTCGGCCGCCACGTGCGGGTTCTCGCGGTACAGTTTTTCGACGGCCCCGCGGGACAGCACGACGGCTGAGCCGCCGTGGGCGAAGCGCCCACGATAGTCGCCGACGGTGTTTCCGAGATAGTACGGCTCGGCGGGGTCGAGGTGGGAGAGGACCTGCCTCAGGGATTCGATGACGACGAAGCTGTCATCGTCGAGAATGAGGTACCAGTCTTTGCGCGGCAGGGTTTTGTAGACTGTCCCGAGGCCCCAGATAAACTATGGGTGGTACGCGTGTTAGTGCCAGAGCTTCATCTCACTCTCTCTTCTTTGTTCTTCTACAAAGAGCTTTTTTTTCTCTCTTATTTATGATGTAATTTTGGTTGAAGAAGAAGAATAAGATGAAGAAAAACCTTCATGTTCCCTTTGGAATCTGGTCTCAGGTGCGCGCTCTTCAATCACTCGCCGACTCATTTCAGAGTTTGTTTGTCCGAACCCCCACGCACGAGACATGCGAACGAGGATCGAGCGATTTAGGCCGAAAAGGGCAAGGTTCAGGAACAAACCACTCGGCTTTTACCCGCAATTGCCAGAACGATGTAACCAGCGAGACAGCAATTTTCATGTACCCAGTCACAAGCAAAGGAGGGGGGCACGAATGACGAACTGATAACAGAAAGAAAAGAAAAAAAGAGGAAGATAAAAAAAAAGGGAAGAAACGGTACACACCTTGAGAGCATCGAGTTCCCAACCCACATTAGAGCCAATCAGTTCAGCTCTTTTATGGTCGCCGTCCTCAATGGCCCTTTTTAGTGACTGGTATTTCTTGAAGCGGTGCGCCTTGTTCAGGCCCCGGGGAGCAAGCGCCATCATCAGACTTCCAACAGCATCCTGGATGACAGGGGCACCGGTCGTGGCGTTGGCGTCTTGCTCGAAATCGCCAACGACAATAGCTCGGTCGGGGTTCCATTGGTCGAGTCCAAGAGCCTCGAGCTGCGCCGGTAGCCTTTCGCGGGTGCCCCAGCCGGTCTTGATGAGGAGACCGACGCGGGATTCGAAATCGACGGGGTAAGGCCCGGTGGACGAGCGGATCCACGAATCGGTGGCGGCGGTGGGGTTGAAGAAGGAGTAGATGCAGACTGCTTGGAAGTGTAGGCCGAGGAGGATAAAGTTGTCGGCGGGGAGGACGAATTTGGCGACCTGGTAGACGAAGAGGGCCGCGAGGGCGTAGGTCGCGAGGCGGCGAAAGGTGCGCCGGCGGGGATGGGGAGGAGCGCGCCCATGATTCAAGAGGTGGTGTCGCGAGAGTTGGTGAACCGGGTGAGACGAAGAGAGTGAGTGAGTGTAAGCAACCTCGAAAGAAAGGAAGCCACGAAAAAGAGAGAAGGAAAGAAGAATGGAATGTTCTCCGGAATGAGGAGCTGCGGCTTTTCAGCACGCTGGCCTTATCTCTCCGGTTGAGTTAGTTTAAAGAGAAGCGGCACTTTAATCAAGACGGCTTGGCACAATGCTCGCTGATCAACCAGCTAACCGGTCGACTGCACCAGACTTTTCCCAGCCGAGGCCGAAGGGGGTTCCTCTTTGGTTTAAAGAAAAAAAGGAAATGGTTCTTGACGAAAAGTGAATTCGTTTGCTCGATGGGAGCCGAAACTGGTCGACAGCCTCTTGCAAGCCGTTGGAGGGCCGTGTGGTAAACGAGCGACGATGGACCCAAAAGGGACAAAGATCGTGGAAGGGGAGACTTTTCAAGATGCGGAAAGAGAATGCATGACGACCATGACACGCCGTGCCGAAGATGAGAGGGAAAGATTTCGCCGGTCCGTGAAAGGGGGCAGCAAAGAAGCCGCGAGGGAAACGAAGTGAGAAGCACCGCCACTAACAAACGAGGAGGGCGAAGGCGAGGGTACAAGCGCTGTGCTGGGTGGGTGAGGCTCACGGCGCTTTTTTTTCTTCTTCTACCAGGGCTCGCTTTGCATGCCAAAGATGAAGAATAGTAATAAATAGCGGGAAAGGTGTTTGGACGTGGCCAAGCTTGCCGGAGTGCCTTGGGACAGGTTTCGGACGCGCTGGCGGACTGGACCCGGCGAAGTGATGGAAGACAGACAAGGGCGAAGAAAAAGGTCTGAACTCGAGAAGGAAACAGAGGAGAAATAATATTCAAATCACCTTTACGATAATAGCACTTCAAACGAAGGAGGAGGGAGCCATGAATGAAAGAAGGACATGGGACTGGGACGGAGAGGAGGGCCAGTGATAGATGCGGCCCCAAAGATGATTGCGCGGCTCTTGACTGTTCTTGTTACCCACCATCCTAGTCCGGTATTGAAGCTCCACCTACATCAATGATCAGTATCCACCGTCGATTTAATACGATGCGAAACACGAACACTTGTCTACTAAAGAGAAAAGAGTCCTTGGCTCCCATTAGTAGATCTGCGCCCTTTACCATCCAATCTCCAATCTTCTGTCCGCAGCAAGGCAGCTAGCGCGGGTTGGCGCCAAGCTCCCTCATATCCAAGTTTTTTTTCTCAATCTTCGCACCAAGCTCGTTGCAGCACCAGCTGCAAGGGACGGAGAGACCTGCCCGGATCTCCTTGCATGGGAATTTCAAGGAAATGATGTCAAAGGTAAGAAGATTGGTTTCCAACACGACGTTGAATCTCTGTCAAGATGTTGGCTTTCTTCTCCTCGCTATCTGCACGTATTTTTGCCAATCCCCTTGTTTACTTGTCCAGTGCAACCTGGGCGGAGGAAAAACGTCTTTCCAGCTGGAAATTACAGAGACCCATGGCTCACGCTTGGCATTCAAATGGTGGGTTAGGTGTTCGGGCTCATTCCGGGACGCTGAAACCACGACTGGGAGAAAAAGATTTGCGGCCGTCAGAGTGACTAATAGTGACATTTGAAGATCGCGGCGAACCTGCGCGGATCACAGTCCGATTGAGATCTTTGCGAGAGCGAGCCCTTCTCCAAACTTCAATCTCAAAGTTGCGCGCAAAGGTTCTATACTTTACAAAGTTGGGAGTTTCTTTCCTCCCATGGCAAGAAGTCATTCCCCGGTAGCCAAAAGCGAAAAGACGGACAAGATGTGAAGCATCGCCGCGGTAATGGTTTTTCTGTTGACCTGGAAAGCTGGTGAGAGAATGGTGCGTTTTACCCGCGGCATGGCGTCTTGCCGTGCATGTAACCCTTGCCAGGACAGGACATCGCGGCTCTCCACCCACCAAGCACAAGCAAGGGGATCGGCGTAGATAAGGAAGACACGGATCGCCTCAAAGCGCACTTTGGTACAATGTCGTGGCACCTCATTGCTCATTTCAGCTTTCCACGCCCGCGATTCGTCGGATTTAGAAAGAAAGAAAAAACGTGGGACAGCAGCCATCGAGAATAGCTAAACCCCTCGACTCGAGATCTCGGGGTTTTTTTGTAGGATGAGTATTTTTAAATTCGGACTACAGGGCGGGCAGCTTTCGCATCGCGAATGCCATTGAAGAATATATATAGTTGGCAAAAACAAGACCAAGCAGGGGACTGCAATGAAAAAGGAGGAAGAGGAGGCAGAACAGCAAGACGGCTGCTCTGGTCGCACGTAATACGAGGGTCAAGCGGGAGATCTTATTTATACTTGGAAATTTTGTACGTCGTCCAAATACACTTGATCCGAGGACTCAGCAGCGGATAATCCCGCTCCGACCATGGGTAGAAGCTCCAGATTCCTACTCCGAACACCAATGCACGTATAAGTTTTATGGCTAGGTTGACGGTTGCCGACGATGTCTTGGACGGGACTAACATAGCTAGCGGTGACAATCGGCGAATATTTACGGTGGAGGAAGGCCGCACAGGACACACCGGAACCCCTCGAGGCAGGAAGCGTTGATGTACACAAGTAGTGAACTTGAATTGATGTCCCATGATTTTTAAAACCCAGTCATCGCGCCCGGTTACTACTCCAGTCATAAAATAAAAACAAAAAGAAGGGAATCAAGATGAAGATAAACTCCCATTTCCGGATACATGTTTTATCCTACATTTGACGCTTCCACACACCGTCCCATGCTTTAACCCATGCAATCTCCTCCCCCGGTTCCCCAAGTACCATGCCCATTGCGCATTTTTTTATTCCATAATGTCTGTTTTTTTCTACGGCCTAGAGCCCATCGTACCAAACCTGGCTCTTTACGAGCACTGAGTAACGGTGACGACGGTCAGGTTAGACGCGGGCGTGGCGGGGGCAGCCTGCGAGGGGGTAGCCACGACGGCACCAGCACCGGAGAGGGCCTGGTTGAAGACGTCGGCAGCAGCCTGGTCCTGGGTGGCGGCGAGCGCGGCAGTGTTGGCAGCCTCGCAAGCGGCCACGGTGTCGGCGGGAGCCTTGCACGAGTCGCGGAGCCTCTGGCAGATGAAGGAGGAGATGATGCCGATCCTCTGGGCGCTGCCGTGGTTGAAGTCGGCGTTGTTGCTGGGGGCAAAGGACGCCTCCTTGCGGCCGTCGAAGCCGACGCCGAACTGGATGGTGGGGTCGGTGCAGCTACCAAGGTCGAGGCCCTGGCGCTTGCGGAGGGTTGGCGGCCTTGCAGGCGGTGAGCTGCTGACCGCACTGGCCGATACCGCCGGCGAGGGCTCCGCTGTTGGCGGCGTTGGCGCAGGCGTTTTGCTGGATGTCGCAAGAGCGGTTGATGGCAGCGCCCTGGCCGACAAAGGTGTTGCCGTTGACGGAGAAGGGGCGGTCACCGGCGGAGGAGATGACGGGGGAGCGGGGCCACCGAGGGTGCCGGTGAAAGCCTGGATGTTGACACCGGCGCCCGAGGCGGAGTGGCGGGAGCGGAGGCGGCGGGGGCGGCGCTAGCGCAGTTGACGATGGTGCGGGTGACCACGCTGCAGACCTGGGACGCGGCAGCGGTAGCGGCGGGGGCGGGGGCAGCAGTAGCGCTCGCACCGGCACCGGCACCGGCACCGGCACCAGCGTTGTTGTTCTTGTTCTTGTTCTTGTTCTTCCTGCCCCTACCCCTACCAGCGGCACGGGTGGCGGCGGGAGGAAGACCGGCGGTGCAAGGGGCGGAGTCGCGGCCGCGGTGGTGGTAGCGGCAGCGCCGTTGCCCTCAAAGGTGCCGCCGGTGGCGAGAGCAAGACCGACAAAGTCGATGTTGGTGGCGGAGATCTCACCGGTACCGGTGAAGGTGGGGACGACGTCAGCGACGGCGGCGAGCACCTCATCGGGAGAGGCGTCGAGAACAAGGAGCCTCTGGGTGAAGATGCATCCGGGCAGGTCACCGGCGGTATCGCAAGTGTTACCAGCACCAGTAGCATCGTTGACCTATTTTGCGTCTTTAGGTTAGCCAGGGCATTTCTTGTGTTTCTTATTCCCACGGAGTAACTTACATCGCCGGGGGCAAAGGTGCCAGACTCGAGGGCGACCAAAGGATCAACGCCGATGAGGGCAAGCTGCTTGGCGAGCTCGAGGGTGATGGCCGTGTTGAGAGCGGTGGCACCGTCGGAAGCGGGGTCCTGGTGCTGGTCAAAGGCAGCAATCTCGGGGTTCACGGCATCCTCGGGGCAGATGATGCTCTTGACGCCGACACCGCCGGTGTTGCGCTCAAGGGCCTGGTAGACCAGGGCACCGGCCATACCACGGACATCGCCAATGGCCTTGGCGTTGGTAAAGGCCTGATCGGCAGTGAACTGCTTGAGGCAGTCGAGGTTGATGTCAGCATCGACACCCTCAGCAGCGGCGGCGTTACCAAGGAGGCCGAAGACAGGGTCAACAATGCCGAGGGGGTTGTTGAGATCGAGGAACTCCTTGGTGATCTGGAGGAAGATCAAGTGGGACTGCTCCTGGGGCACCTGGCGCTTCATGATGACGGGGTTGGCAGCGGCGGCGGCCACAAGGGCGGCGGTAACTTGGCCTTGGTACTTCATGTTGGTGGTATTGTTTCGGAAAGAGAAAAACGGAAACGGGAACACTGGTCGATATTGAAGAGAATGAAGGTGGAAAAAAGAGGAAGAGACCGACTTGATTGCAGTCAAAAAGAACAGAAAGGTGTTTTAAAAAAGCGGTTGATTGTAAGATACCAAAAGGAGTGGCAAAGAATGGAAGAGTTCACAGAACTCGGGTTGAAGAAAAAGAATGAAAGGGAAAAGAAGGAGAAACGAAGACCGAGTGTTGGAATGGATCAGGTTCAGTGAAGCCTGGAGAGAAGAGGAGAGGAGAGAACAAGAAGCCATCGTGAGGGAGGTCAGCCAGGATAATATAGTCGGAGACGGGCGAGGGAAGGACAGGGAGAGCGGAGCGACGACCGAGTCTTGGACCGATCTGCGAAACCAATCGCCCTCAGCACATCAGACGACAGCGAGAACCTGGAAAGGTTCGGGTGACTGGTCGTCGTCTCGCTCGCCTCCCTCGCACACACACACGCACACACACACACACAGGCCTAGGGCACTGCCAGGGTGAGGTGGTCTGGCGGGTGGGTAAAGGAAATTCGCCCAAGGGTAGGAAGGAGGTTGAGCCGAAGGTAAAACAGGTGCGGCACGTCACGATCTGTCTGAACCCAGCAAAGCGGGCCAGGATTCAGGTCTGTCACGGACAAGGGTAAGGCATGAAGCAAAAAGGCAGGGAGGAGAATGTGTAAGTGATGCCTCACCTCCTCCTGCTCCCCTTCTCCCCACACCCTTTACCACCAGAGCGCTTCATGTGTCTAGGGCGAGCCACCGAGCGAGGTTACATCACCCTCACCAATCGCACGGCCTCAGAAAGGTGAAGCGGGCCCAAGGGGTCGGAGAGGGGAGCTGCTAGAAGGGGAGAGAAGGACCCTGGAGGCTTCAGGCATCCCCGAACAGGTCCAAGGGTTTTTTTTCTTGCTCTTCTTTCTGTTTGGGAGGGGTTCGCCTCGACCGTTGCTTTCGCCGCGCGAGGTAGGAACTCAGGTGGAGAGGGAATCGGCTTCTTCCAGGGGGCCCGGCCTCCGCCTCTCGCCCACCAAAAATCTTGCTCTGAGCGCCTGTCGAAACCAAGTCTGTCTAGAATCCTTTCCCAAAATCCTCATGGGTGTGAAGGGGGTCCCAGGACACCCGTATACCCTCACGATGTTTCCCAAGCCTCTTGACGAGGGACCAAAGGCGGGCAACTCGCGCAGAGCGGAAGCAGGCCTACCAGACTATATTTCCCACCCTTTGAAAGATAATTGGCGATCTTATCAGGCCGACAAAATAAAATAGGTAATTAAATGCCTCGACTGCAGACTGACGCGGCGTTAAGAAGCAGACAAGACCCAGGAAAGCGGTCGAGTGTCAGGCGTCGCGCAGGAGCACCCGCCTAAGCGGTGGTGAATCACCGTCGCTCTTCGAACAGCGTGCAAACCAGATTTTTTTCTCTTTCGCCCGTCTCTTTCCCCCTTTTGCCCTTCTTTGGGACTTGGGATGGGGAATCCGCCGTCCGGATTGGTCCAGATCGTGGTAGTCGCCCCAAAACCCGGGGTCGATCTGAGATGGAGATCAGACACTTGGAGCCGCATGTTGCGCTCAAGCAGCGTTTCGACAGGGATCTGTAGTCGCCCACACTGCTGGCTGGTTGGTTTGCACGGCCGCTTCCAGAGCGCGCATACCTCACCCGCGGATCCGACTCGATCCGCGGGATGGCAAATTGGCAGGGAGACGACTTCATGAAGAAGAAGACAGGTCCCAAAGCGGGCACTATTCCTGCATGACGAATGAGAAGCCGAGAGAACAAGAAGAAATCACGCTTATTCAATTTTAACTTAGCAGATGCATGATGGAGACTGATGGGTCCTTGGGCAGGGCTGTTGATGGATAACGGAGCGTAGCGCGTAGTTACAGAGCTTGTCAAGCATGTTCTAGTCGAGCTCAACAAGCTTCTAGCACTCGGCAGCTACGACCCGAGAACCCCCAGCAGGCATCCATGCCTGCCCCCAAAAGTTTCAGCTTGGAAATTTCGTCTCGTCACGAGGAAGGCCCTGAGCAACAAACCCGGTCGCTTTTTCATGTTAAAATATGAAAAGGAAGGGAAAAATAGATATCTTCACAGAGGCTGTGTCCCAAGATACGCATTAATAGAGCCTAGCAGTGTAAAATACTAAACAACGTATTGATCTCTGGATTTATCCATCCATTCCATTGAATTGATCCAACAGATCTATGGATGGTCAATGTATGTCGCAGCGTGCACATACAAAGATCGACCCTTCCCAAGATTTTAATCCCAAGCGACCGATCTCAGTGCAACTATTAATACCCTTGCAGTTTGATACCAGGCACTCCTGCGTTGCCCCCTCCCCTGTCGCTCGAAGCAAACGGCACCGACAAGAGGCCCAAACTTTTTGGTGGTCTCACAACTTGTCGCCTCCCGCCTGTCATCCCGACCTCTCACTCACAGAGGGAATGAGAGGCGCTTCCGCTTGGGCCTAGGAATCGGCCGCGACGCTGCTCCCTCCCCTTCTCTACCCCAACAACACAAAGCTCGGCCCATCCATCCGTCTTCTCCTACCCCCGTGTTCTTTCAGGATTCCATTCGTTTGTTCATTGCTTGTTGGCGGCCCTGCCCACCCGCCTGACCTCCACATCGAAAGTGTGTAGTTTAGTCCGACTATGGAATAGTCTACGAACAAAGTCGCACGTTTCTCAGCTCCCCAGTCAGTGCATTCTGCCTCAGATGCAGTATCACATTGCCAAGGATCCTGTTCGTCGTTCGACACTCCTTCATGAAGCAACCGTTCCCTCTCGATCCCACCGAAACAGTGTTGCAGTGAGCCTGCTCACCTCGAGCGTCAGTGCAATAGACCCTCACCCTCCCACTATCATCTCCTAGTATCCGCAGTGATGGAAAGAGGTTTTGCATCTTCTAAGCACTCGGTAACCTTTCCGTGGGTGTCGCCCTGATGACACCCCACGGCGGGACGCTCGCAATGGGGATTCGCGCGCGCTCTAGTCTTTCGAGCAAGAGGAAGCGTCCCTTGCCGGCGATCAGACAGGCCGAACTTGGCCCCTCAGTAGCTACCACAGTTCCCCTTTGATGGGGAAGATCCTCGAAAGCGATCTTCGGTCCACATTGACTCAGCCCCCATCGCTGCCGGGCAAAGCATTATGCCCTTTTGAGCGAAGTCTCTCCTCTCTACTCCCGAGGGATTGCGTTTCGTCACCTCGCGCGGGATCAAGGGCGCAGAGAATCGTTTCATCCCTCTTGTCCCAGCGCCCCTGGTCAGTGGACATTGATGAGAAAACAAAAGTTAAACGGGTTGAGCTCACCCTTGCTGTTTTCTTTTCGCACCAGGCCTGCCTTCGGGCATGATGTGACGACCGGATGACTCTAGTTCTTTTTCAGCGAGGGAAGGATGAGATAGAGTCGGTCCTGTGGACCGAACTTTGGGTACGAGCCGGGACAGGGGCTGAAGCAAGGGACCATCTCGCTGGGGAATGCCAGGGGAGCAGAGAAAGAAGATCGGAGAGCTGCGCCAGATCCGGAATTGGGGAACGAAGCATGATCCAAGATCACAAGCTAAATGCCTATCTCACATTGCTGATATGCTTCCCCAAGCATGACTGCCCCTCCTGATCTACGATAAGGCTTGTTAATGAGCAGCTAAGCTGTATGCCTCTTTGTCTCGGGTGATCAAGAGGATCCTGGTGATCATTAATAGAGATAAGGAGTCTTCGGGCGGTCTTGTCACACTCTGGGGCGCATCCCCAAGCCTCGCACGCACATATTTGGTTTTCATTCTATGCAATGCGACTATATGAGGAGATCTTCAGCCCATCGCCCCTGGGAATCTCTTCCCTCTTCTCCCCTTCAGCTTATCAGATTGAACAGCCAGTCTTTTCGTCTCCAGTCTCTGATATGATGGCAGCGGCCGCAGTGACGCTGTTCATGCTCATATCAGATCTACATCCCTTCCTGTCTTAAATACTAGAGTAGCCAATGGTAGCGTATTGTCAGTTTCTTCATTCTCAAGTGATGCGAACAATTTTGCTCTGCGATATCACGGTGCGGAAGCTTCACTCCGCTAGTTTTTCCCCTTTTCTATCACAATGGATATTCTCCGCCTTTTTTCCCCTCTTTTCAAAGCCCGGTCACATAGGGTCCATATTCAAAAATGAGATATAGTCGTAATAAATGTAATATATATGTAAAGAAAGAAATAGACAGCTTCACGGCAGTCATACTTTGAGTGAGCTTGCTGCTTGCTGCTATACCTCGATGACTAATCTAGACAAGGGCGTTGAGAACCCATGACTTCAGAGCTGTCATTACCACGGTCGAAGCAGACCTCAGTTGAAGAGCTCCAGGAGACGGTGATGGCACGAATATTGGTGAAGCATTGATACCGTGAAACGACGAAATTCTGAAGACTAGGACATATCTTTTCTTTTCGGCAAGCGAGAAATTTTATCCCTTAAAGATAGACGCAGTTGATTCGACGCTCACGAGTTTCTCTCGTGCGGCTCCCCGCACAGCTAGCGAAGATGGAGGGGTCACCGAGAGCAGGAGGTCCGGGGCACGCGAGGAACAAATCAACTACCAAGGGTATGTCTGCCACCATGTTTGCGAATCTTAGAGCATCTTGGGCCGTTGAGGGGTGATAGGGCAGAGTTGTGCGTGCCCGTCCGAGAGCATACAAGGCTAACTTGAGATTCCTCACATCACGCAGCGAGGCCTAGGTCATCGACCAAAGGGCCCTTGGATCTTGAGGAGTAAGCTGAATCTCCATTTCTCTTGAGCTGCCCTTGCAAATTTGATGTTAACTCGCCCTTCTAAGCTCGCCCTTGTCGTCACCCCGGCCTCAATCCCCCGCCATCAGACTCGCTCAGGCTCAAGACAGGACGCCACTATCTTCTAGACAAGGGTCACCACTTCCTCGCTCTAGCATAGGTTCTCCAGTGCCGACAAAAGATCCTACGGTGAGGGACTTTAGCTTCCTTCTCCGCCCAGAAATCTATCACCCTCTCACCACCCACAATGTCCCCTAGCCTTCCGCAACTCGCCAAAGCAGCCGGCCCCAGATACGCCTCTCGACGAATTGCTCGCCAGAGGGTTTTACCGTGCTGCCGCCATAGCGGCAGTTCAGGAGCTCACGTCTACGATTCCAGACAAGCCAGCTATCGACCCCGCAGACCACAGCCGCATCTTCAACCTCCTGTACATCAGGCTATCATGTCTAACCCTCATCGATGCCATGCCTCTAGCCGCGCAGGAGGTCAAGGCATTTGAGGATCTGAATAACCCCATGGTCTACGTGGATCAGCTCACCGGCGAGCATCTCGTGCCGTGGGACCTTCGCGTCCTCAACGTCAGACTGCAAGCGCTGGGTTTCGGCGACCCGCGTAGGGCTGTCATGAGCTTCCACGATCTCGCCCGCGAGGCGAGGCATAACATTGCCCAAGCCACCGCGGACCACGATAACTCTGCCAGGGAGCTGTGGAAGGACAGGCTCTACGCTCTCGGTCTCAAGATTGCGGGAGCGCTCGTGGAGATGGACGACCTCTCGGGCGCCGCGCATCAGCTCACCAGTCTAAAAGACCGCGGTGACGGCAAGGTTTCACTAGCGAGAGCGCTGCTCTGGCTCCATATCGGTAACGCCGACGAAGCGAGGCGCGTCGTGTCCGGCAGCGGCTCCTCGTTGAACGCGGGGGACAAGACGGTGCTGGCGCTCGCCGACATGGCGGACGGCGAGTTCGAGACCGCCTTGGACAAATGGAGGGCGATTGAGGAAGGCGAAGGGGAGATGGACGAGATGGTGGGGATGAACACGGCGGTCTGCCTGCTTTACTTGGGCAAAATGGAAGAGGTGAGTTTTTATAGTTTGGGTGCTCCTAGGAGGCCCGGCAAAATCATCCCAAGTGCATGCGAAAAAGCTAATCTCTAGACGGACGTATAGGCGAGGACATTGCTTGAGGGGCTGGTGAGCAGCGGGTTCTCCTCGCATACTCTTCTACAGAACCTGTCTACGATTTACGAGCTGTGCGCGGAAAGGACCAAGAAGGGCTTAAAGCTCAGACTCGCTGAAAGGGTTGCAGCAATGGAAGAGTCAAGTGCTAGAGGGTGGGAGAAGACTAATGCAGACTTTAAGCTATGAGGAAACCACGAATATGTAGACGAGACTATGTTGAATCGCTCTCCGTAGTCAGTCATCCCTTAGACCCATTGAATTTATTACAGTCGAATAAATCGGTCTAGTCACCCATCACCTGTTTCCTGGTTAAGCCTGACCTTCTCATCATATCTTTTTCTATATTAATATTTATGCTGTTCATCAATACATGTAACCTCTCCTTCCTCTTCTATGTTATCATTGAGAAGGTCCAACTCGGCGATATATAGTTGTGCTAGGTTAGCTGTGATTATCGCTTGCCGGCTTCTAGACTGATTGATAACCCCACCAGAAAATCATTTCCATCCACTCAGGTGGACAAAAACCACCTCAGATTCCTCACAGTCCAATGTCATGCATGCAAACCCTCCTCTTTTCTGTTAAAATTCATAATTGTATATTCCCCTCCCCTCCTTCCCTCACTTTTATCTCGCAAGTCTCGTCTTACTTTTCGTCGCCTCCAGCCAGCCTCAAATTAGCGTTTGGCGCAACGCGGCCCTGCGGCAGCCAGAATGCCGCCGACCCTCCGAAGGTCGACGCGGACCCGGAAGTCAAGCATAAAAGCTAGCCAGCCCGAGATAGACCTTGACTCGGATTTTGAGCCCGAAGAAAAGGTCGCGGTAGCCGCGACACCAAAGAGGCGGGGGCGACCGAGGAAACACCCGCCTGTAGCGGAGTCGATCCAGGTTGAGCCTGAAATTGAAGAGCCGGAGCTTGACGAAGGGTCGGGGACGAGGCCGCGCAAGAGGAAGAGGAAGAAAATGGAAGCGACACCCTAGAGCCGGGAAACGAAAGCTATCAAACTGATGACGAGGGAGAGGAGCTGGATGCGGGCGGCGGGGAAGACGACGACGATGACGACGACGACGTGGTGCTCTCACACGATGATGAGGATGGGTCGGTCGTCGAAAGCGACGCTTCGGGAAATGTAAAGGCGTCGCGCAGGGCAAAGAAGCCGACAAAGGCGTCCACGATCGACTCCAACGCCATCGAGCCCTACCCGTTCTCCAAGAAGACGACCCGGGCGTACGAGGGCCCGTTCAAGCGCCAGCGCAAAACCCCGCACATCCTGCAATACATGTACGGACCCGCGGAGGCGCATACCAAGTTGGCCTATGGCATGCTCAACCGATTCTATCACCTAGAGACCCTGCCAGGAAGACCCGTCGACGATTCGTCGGGCCCCCTCCTTACGCCGTGGGTGCCGGAGGGTTTGAGGCGTCCCAGCAAGCTGCCCTCACAGCTTGGCTTGATAGGTATGGGCGCGACGAAGGCGTCGGACCGAGGCAAAAGCTTGTAAAGCTTAGTAAAGCCGGCATGGCGCCGTACTTGGTGAAACCCGACGGTAATCTCGCCGTCCTACTCGGGCCCTACGGCGAGCAGCAGGAGATCACTTTTCCCGGCGGCGCAAACCGGGGTGTCTGCTTAAACGGCGCGGATCTTCCAACCGATAGCCACGCCCGGGACGAGAGAAGCCAACCCAAGGGCTGGATGTTGGACGCGGGCGGCCTCGTTCTTTCCCTCGCGTGGGCGTACCGCCCGGAAAATACGGACCCGGTCCTCGCGCTCTGCGTGGTACCGCACTCGGACCAGCACCACCCTAACACGGCGGAACGGGACGCCCACCTTGGCTCCCGCAAGCACGGCATCATCCAGTTTTGGAAGTTCCCCGCCAAGAAGACGAAGCAGGAGGACATGGTGCCCAAGGCCGAGCCGCCGATTCTGCTGCGGACCCTCATGTTTGATTGGGGGAGGGCGAGGCGGATCAAGTGGTGCCCCGTCCCGCCGACGGAGGGGTCCATCATGGGGCTGCTAGGTCTACTTACGGGCGATGGAAAGGTCCGGGTGCTCGAGATTGAGAATGTTCGGCCAAAGGAACGCTCAACATTTTGTAAGTGGCTTTTCTTTTTCTCCATTAGTCTTCGACTACTAGCCTTCTTTTTCGCGCGACATGCAGTCTCTTTTTTCTGCTTCTCCGTTTCTAATCTTTACGAATAGCCAAAGTCGACACGCCGGCGTTTACTCTATCGATACCCGACGAATACGGCGTTGAAGCCACGGCTTTCGCATGGGTCAACATTAACCGCATAGTCATCGGCTACACCGATGGCAGTCTCGCCCTCTGGTCGCTCTACCCTCTCGCGCTTCTATCACGCCACCCGGTGCACACGACCTACGTCGTCGACATCGCATCTGGCTACCCGTCGCGCCCGTACCTCGTCGCCTCCTCTCCCGTGAGCGGGTTCCCGCGCTCGTCGACCTCACCTGCCCGACGCCCGAGAGCACCGGCTTCACCCGCACCACCATCACCACGCAGCCCAACCTCCTTCAGTGGAACGACCCTCTGCAAGGATTCGTGTCCTGCTACCCCTCGGGCTCCGTGACGGAAACGTCGGTCGGGTTCATGCACCACCGCTACTTCCCGCACGTGCGCCGCGTCGCCGACTCCCCCAGCCTGCTCACCTGCCTGGCCGCCGGCTACACGCACCCTTTCCTCCTCACGGGGCTTCGGGACGGCTCCGTGTGGGCTTGCAACGCCGCCAACAAGATCTTCGCCACCCGGCAGGACCGGCCTCTGAAACTCAAGGTGCTTGAGCACGAGTATCGGCCCGCAGAGAGGTTCAACGCGTCCGCGGTGCGCGACAGCGACGACGCGGCGATGGCTGAGAAGCTCAAGCAAGTGCGCGCCGCGGTGCGGATCCTGGGAGGCTGGGGAGAGGAGCCTAACGTGTGGAGAATCGATAGGAGGAGGCCGACGCAGAAAAGCTCGAAGAAGAAGACGACGAAGAAGAAGGCAAAAGGCAAGAAGAAGGCGAGAACGGCGGGGAAGAAGAAGGCCAAGGGCGCGGCAGAGGAGGAGGAGGAGGAGGACGACGACGACGATGTCGATGCTATGGACGTGGATGAGGACGAGGAAAGTTCTGCTGGGGAAGAGAGCGAGGGCGGCGATGAGGATGGCGAGCCCGTGGCCAAAGATACGAGGTCAATGATCAATCACGAGCCATTTACGAGGATCATGGTCATGGAGTGGAACCCGAATCTCGAGTACGGGTGTTGGGCGGCTATCGCGGCCGCTTCTGGTCTTGTGCGCGTCATGGATCTCGCGGTGGACGTGGACTAGATACAGCCTTAGCAGGGAGGGTAGCGGTGAACGAGAGAGGTCACGATGCGCAAAGTCTTCACCTCTGTGTACTATAAATGATACCACATGCCGCAGATTGGAAGAGCGGGGAAATGAAGAAAAAGGAAGACTACTACTGATTTCATGTCCCAGAGCCTCTCTATATATCGTACAGTTTACTTGGGTTGCCAAGAAAGAAAGAAAGAAAAAGAAAGAAATAGAAGCTAGACGAGAGGCGGGGCGCAGCCGCCCTCACAAACACTGCTTCCCCATAACGGTGTGGTGGTGGTCAAACGCCTTGGCCATGGCGTAGAAGTGGGTGGCAGCGGCCATAAGGACAAACATGTGGAAGAGCTGGTGCGAGCTGCCCCAGATGTCGAACTTGCCGGGAAAGCTTCTCTCGGGCCACCGAGCGGCGTAGAGAACGGCGCCAAAGATGTACATGAGACCATGCAAGATGACGAGGCTGAGGCTCATACGCTCCTCCATCTGCTGAAACTCGTACATGCTCAGCGCGTGCAGCACGGGGACGACGCCCGAGGTGCCGAGGGCCACAAACATGCCGGCGCGCCACGGCCGCCAAGCCGGAGTGCGGAAGCGGTCGACCCACGAGACGGCGCCGCATCCTAGTCCGAGCAGGATCATCTAGAGGACGGCGCAAGGGCGCTGGTTAGCGGGGGTTCACCTCGAGATGGAATTCGGTTGGTCACCAGCCACTAGAGATGGCGAGGTAAACTTACAATCCCAAGATACAACGTCATTAGCGTAGGGTCGCAGTAAAAGCCGTAGTACAAAGCTGGCACATAGCTCCCAACAATCAGGAAGATGATGCCCGAGTAGTCTAGCTTGTTCCCGACGCGCGCAACTGCCTCGGAATGGCTCGAGATGGCATGAAACGTGGCGCTCATGCCCAGGCAGCAAATGGCGCCACCAAAGAAGCAAGCGAAGACGAGTACGTCGGCGGCGGAGGCGGTATCATAGCGCGGAGCAACGACGGAGTAGAGGAACGCGGCCCCGGACAGGAAGGCGACGGCGCCGAGGAGGTGGGAATAAATGTTGACAGACTCGTTGTGGAGGTATCCTAAGGAGGTGAAGCAGTCGGTGAAGCTGCTCGTCGAGGGACGGTACCCGCTGTAGATGAAGGAGTTATCGCGGCGCCAGTCGGGGAGGTCGTCCCAGAGGAGGAGAAAGGCCTTTTCTACCTCGGACTCGAGGTGTTTCGCCTTTGCGATCAGCGTGTCGGTCACCGAAGCGATGGAGGATACGGAGGAGCGTCGGCGCCGGTGCCGGAGGGACGCGTCGTCGGCGGGCTGGGGACCCATACTTGCGGTATAGCTGTTTGATTGCGCGCCGAGGGGAGGGCGAAAAATCTACGAGTTGTCGAGGCGAGATTACAATGGCTGATGATGAGTCTAAAGCTTCTGGCTAAGAAAATTCAGAAGCGAGGAAGAACGAGAGCACGGAGAGAAAAAGAGAAAAGCGGCAAAGATATATTCATTCGGTCATATCCGGTCCAGCCAGAATTTCCCTTTCGTTGGTGAGCTCAACAGATTTTGAGGTTTCTTGAAGTGTAGTAGTGGGGCTTCGCGAGCTGGCCGAGGCAGCTCTATTTCATTGAGCGTTGCGACGCTTAAAAACATGTGGGTTGAAGCAAGTCGAAGCGTCGAAGCACATGGGCAGGGGCGAAAGGAAACGCGGGTAGGAGCAACCCATGTTTCTCAATGCGACCCCAAAAATTTAGTCTTGTTAGCAAATCATTGCGAGGACTTTTTCTCCCCTCGCGACAGAAAGCCGTGAAATCTACCTCGGTAGAGGAGCGAAAAGAAGGTTGTGGTGTTGTAGTTACACTTCTTTCGCCTACTTGAAGAAAGAAAAAAAGAAACGTTTATCTTGAACTGCTTAACTTCATGAATGCTCTAGAACAAAAAATGCAAGGGATGGGCTTCGCCTTCCATGATGGACCAAGGCGCGAGAAACATGCGACAAAGAACTCGTTTGCGCCTGATACATCCACGGGTCCGTCCTGGAAAACCACTCTCCTCCAAGTCCGATCATTTCTTGCCGCTCTTCTTGATACCCTGGTTGCCCGTGTTCAAAGGGCCCTTGCCGGAGGCCTTAGCGGCCATCTCCTTGCGAGCCTTCTCCTCTGTCGCGGGCAGACAACACGTTAGTATGCCTGGGTTCGGTGCGTGGCCGCAGGGAGTGGGTATACTCACCGGCCTTCTTCCTCTCGAGGTAAGCGAGATCGTCATCGTCGAGATCCTTGGCGTTCTTCTTGGGAGCCTTGAGAGGCTTGACCTTGCCACCTAGAAAAAGAGACAGAGGGAGTTAGTCAAGGGCCAAGACAACCAGAATCGGCCAAGGCTGCGATGCGGAATTATCAGCCACGAAATCCCTACCTTCTCTGTTGGAACCACCCATGTTGATGTGAGGCAGGTAGTGAAATGGGGCGTATGAACTAGATGATGGAAGCGTCTGACAAAAACAGAGATCAAGGAAGAGTCGCAAGACCGGCGTAATAGTTGCTCAAATGGATTATATCCTGGAGAAACTTGCGCCAGTAGGTGGGGAGGAATGGCAGAATTATTTGCCCCGCATTCACCGACTTTGTGAACTGATAATTCTATATCCGCAATTCATGCATTTAAAGGAAAAGACTCTGGAAAGTTTTTGCCAGCCTTCTCAATGCTGGGGTCTTGCCCCCACCCAATTTTCCGGGTGCCGAAGGAAGTTGCCTCCAGGCAGTCAAACACCAAATCGCATTTCGAAGCACATTCCGACGCGACATTCGCTGATCATCACATCTATCTCTTCAGCAACAGCATTCGCCTTCTACTTCTCCCTATCCTCTGTGCCATCTCATCCTTCTTCTTTCCTTCACCCCTTTTATGGTTGTTTCTCTCTTTTCGCACTTGATTCCGTCGCCGCCTCCACATCGTGCCGGCCTTGAAACCCATTACGTCGTGACTCGTGACGTGATATGATCCCTTGAGACCGTCAGGCTGAGCGATCCGGTTCGCACCAATTTCCTGCTGGTCGTCTTGAACTTCCGAGGGCTACTGAGCTAACATTTGGTTGACTTTTCACATCACAAAGAGATTTCGAGGCTTCGTCCTCTTCTTCATTCGGATCGCCTTGCCTTATCTTAATACCAACAAAACCGTTTCATTTTCTTCTCGGTAGGATGGCGCCACCCGCCAGCTCAGAGGAGGGTGAAATCATCGAAAGTGTAGTGGCGGACCTCAAGGCAACCTCGTTGCCAAGTACTGGGAGAAACGGTGTTGACCGTCAAGATAGACACCGACGCAGAGCCTCGCCCTCTAAATCACCCGATCACGTTCACCCCGACCGGCGCAGCAACTCCCCACGCGGATACAAGCGGTCGAGAGATGATCGCGACAATCGCGACCAGAATAGCAGCCGTCACGGCGGAGACGCGCGACGCTTTCGCTCCGGCATGTACGACGACGACGGCTGGGGGACAACCGTCGCCAACAACGCCCCTATCATGATCTAGACCGACCCTACTCCGGTCGTGACCGTGACCGTGACCGCGAACGTGATAGAGACCGAGACCGAGACCGAGAACGCAATAGAAGCCGGGAGCGGCACACGGGGAGGGATCGCGATGGCTACCCTGATAAGCGACAGCGAAATCGAAGCCGATCCCTCAACCGCCGCGACCGCGGCGCAGGCGGAGGCGACCGGCACCGCGATGACCGTCGCAAGAGGGAGGAGCAACGATTCGAACGTCCAGGTGATTATCTTAGAACTATCAAGTATGATGATGACGTCGACCGCAATTCCCGGGCCGGTTCCACCGTGTCCCGGCGGTCTGATGGTTTCGAGGCTCCGTCCACATCAAAACACGATGCTAAACCAGGTCAAGGGCTTGCGGATGAACGACATTCCTCCCGTGGCTTCGTCGCCGCGCGCGATTCTCAGTACGTCTCCAGGGCTTGTCGGGGTCGCTTCACCCTCTCTTGCCCCGTTCCTTTGTGTTCTCCCCGTATCACAGCTAACCGCGTCTCACCCCTTAGGTCTACCCGCGAGTCAGAAGGATCCCCCAGAGCCCGAGCCTGAGCCCGAGCCTGAGCCGATCGACGAGGACGCTGAAATTGAACGACGCCGCAAACGGCGCGAGGCGCTCTTAGCAAAGTCCAGCTCCGCCACTCCTCTGCTCATCCACGCTCTCCATGGGGCTGACAAGTCGTTGGTGAACTCTCCAAGCCGATCGCCGCAGAGAGCTGGCTCTCCACAATCGGGTAAAGGATCATTCTCTAACAGGGAGAATTCGGCTAACTCTCCAGATGTCGCGTCCCCGCTTCCAATGACTACGAAGGTGAAGCGGAGCTAGGCGCCTTGGGCATCACCAACGACGAGGACCTCATGAACGTTCACGCGCAAGTCGACGCGGACGATGAAGATGGCCCATCAGCAGCCGACTATGATCCGACTGTTGATATGAAGGAAGATGGTCTGAAGGATGAGAAGCGGTTCGGAAATGTCGGACTACACGGAGAGCGGGGCCGCAAGCAGTCTCTCGAGTCATCAGCTGCTGCGCCGGTGGCTCGTGAGGACGCCAAGGCTAATGATGATGATGACGATGACGACGACGACTTCAACATGTTTGCCGAAGACTTTGATGTGGACAAGTACGCGGCTACCAAGTCGAGCAAGGCGGCAGGCGACCTTGACGGCGGAGACGGCGACGGTGGCGGCCTGCTCGAGGACGTAGACAAGGACGGGTACTACAAGATCCGCATCGGTGAGATGATTAACGGAAGGTATCAGGTCCAGACCACCCTAGGCAAGGGCATGTTCTCTGGAGTTGTTCGCGCGGTAGATGTTACGGACAAGAAGAAGCTCGTGGCCATCAAGATGATGAGGAACAACGATGCCCTGCGCAAGGGCGGTTTCACCGAGATTGCCATCCTACAGAAACTCAACGAAGCTGACCCCGAAGATCGTAAGCATATCGTGCGCTTCTGGAGGCACTTTGACCACAAGGGCCACTTGTGCATGGCGTTTGAGAATCTCAGCCTGAACTTGCGAGAGGTGCTCAAGAAGTTTGGTAACAACGTCGGTATCAACCTGAACGCTACTAGGGCCTATGCTCATCAGATCTTCATTGGGCTGGCGCACCTTCGAAAGTGCGGCATTATACACGCTGATTTGAAGCCGGACAACATTCTGGTGAGGACCCCCCTCTTCTTGGTTCATCCATACCTCCAGCTTCAATTTGTTCCTCTAGAAGTTAGCTCATGTCTGCTAACCCTTTATCACTTTCCTTCAGGTCAACGAAAGTCGCAACCTACTCAAGATTTGCGATTTGGGTACGGCCATTGATAAGCTTGATGCGGCGACATCGCACAACGAGATCACGCCGTACCTCGTTAGTCGATTCTACCGAGCACCGGAGATCATGCTCGGTATGCCGTACGAATACGCCATTGACATGTGGTCCATCGGATGCACGCTCTACGAGCTTTACACGGGCAAAATTCTATTTACGGGCGACAGCAACAACCAGATGCTCAAGTCAATCATGGAAATCAGGGGCAAAATTGCGCCCAAGTCTTACCGCCGCGGCGAATTGGCGGCCATGCATTTCGACGAGAAGGGCAACTTTGTTTCCGTAGAACGGGACAAGGTGCTCGGAAAGGTAAGATCTTTTTTCCTTCCCTTTTTCGTGTCTTTTTGTTTCGTCACGGTCTCCTGCTTTCACTCTTCGTCCTCATTATTCGTGTATTCGTGGTGGTGTTTCGCGTCTCTCGGCATCCATTTGCGCGTTTGTACCCCCAGTTACTAGTGTGCCAAGTGGTACTCTTGTCGTCCGATTGACACGATTCTATTTTTGTTTGTATCGGCCGCCCAGCCGCCCTATTCCCAGTGCGCCTTTGAAACAGCGGATCGCTGGAAGAGGTGGGCGGGCTGCTATTTTGCTTAGGATGCGTGCGCATTGCATTGTGGCGTTTGCGGAGACGGTCCATCATACCCTTAGTTTCCCAAAGGTTTGGAAGTGTCTTAAGCGCCGGCCCAAGCCAGAGACCCAGACGTGGCCGGGCCCAACGCCGGCGAGACCTCCCCTCCCCTCAAGCAAAACACATCTCAGATCGGAATCTTCATAGCCCATGGACTCGGCCTCAAACCCAATACCGCTTGGGCTTGGTTATGGCCCAGTATGGTTGGACCCAATCGATCCTTGCCCCAGTTTTAATTCATCCCGTCATCGCAAGCTTGGCTTGGGCTAGTTGCCTTCGCCCGTCTTACCACGCCGATGCGAATTCGGCCATGACGAGCGAGTCGCTTGTCTGGGAGCTACAGGTCAACCCGATTGATTGTTTTGGGGGCGGGTTTAGTGAGGTCCATGTACGTGAGCCTACCACTTGATATGAGACACGGTCCACTTGGGTCATAGGTGGTCTCCGAGATGCCTCCCCTCGCCTCCCCTTTCCTTGCACACACCCCGGCCCGCCAGGACAAGCAGCTTGCCGGTCAGGCAGTTCGCATTGGTCCCTGAGCAGCCGCCGACCACGGCCCACCCCCTCCGATGCCTTGTCTTTGTCCGCTTTTGGCGGCTTGTCTCGTCGATCAAAGCCATCGCAAGTGACGGCCCTCTTTGACTCTCCCCTTGCAAATAGAGCATTTTCATCTTCATTTTTGTTTGGTTTCCTGCCACGCCCCCGCCCCTTCATTATTGTCTGCCTAGTCCTGTTCGCCAGAAACGTTTGCTAATACGTCCGCTCGCTTTCCAGACAACGATCAAGACCCTTGCTTTGCTCAAACCAACCCGTGACCTTCGCACCCGCCTCACGGCCGCATCAAGCGGCCTGGATGATGCCGAGGCGGGTGACCTCAACCACTTCATCGACCTCCTCGAGCATTGCCTAGCCCTCAATCCCGATAAGCGGATCAAGCCAACAGAGGCCCTCAAACACCCCTTCTTTACCTCTTGGGCCAGCTCGGCCAGGCGCTGATATGCCACTAACGGCTGTGTCGTGTGCGATTCAACGGTCTGCGACCGTGTCACGGGCCCTTGGCGGTGCTAGCGTGGCAAGCAGCCAGGTGGCCCGGCCATGGCCAACGCCCTGGGGCTCAATCAGCCTCCTCCTTTTTCTTCTTCTCAGGATCACAGTTGCAACTGTTACCGCCATCAACGTAGCATCTGATGGATGGCGCCTCCCTGGCTCGCAATAGATGCCTCGCCAAGGGTCACCTTGGAAAGCGGTCTGGCCGTGAACCTCTACCCTCGCTCTGCGAGCGTGCACTCCACTACAAGAATGGTCTATCCTCAACATCCACCGGCGCTAAGGGTGCTATGAAGATGTTTTCCAAGCGTCAACGGACTAGATGATGATGGGGAGCCCTCGGTTTCGAACTCCAAAGCCACCGGCGCCTACTCGCTCTCCCATGATTTAGAACATGAGTATAGTAGATCACCTTGGCGAGCCCTTTTTTTTCTTTTAATTTCTTCTGTCCTACCTCCCATAGAACCATAGGGAATGAGAGTTAAATAATAGGATATCAATAGAAATAGACATTGATTCAAAGAGAATAAATCGGGACGCATGCACGACGAGGAGAAAGCTGCGATGCAGATGTAGACCGAGAGCCTGATTCATACGAGATTTGCATCCCACAACTATCGACAACTTTCATCTCCCATTTCTCTTCCCGCTCCCTGTGCCCCCTTCTTTCCTTTTGTTGTTTGCCTTGGGCCGCTTGACAGTAACGCGACGTCAATCTCTCTCTCAAGTTCACGTTCTCAAGCCAGCCCATTCCTTGCCGTGTCCCAGTGCCTCGGGTTTTGTTACCAGTCCAAGACCTATCTTTTTTTTTTTGTTTCTTTTTCTTTTGAGCCAACGGGTCCGAGGCAGTATTGGGCATGTTCCAGACCTGTCAGGCAACGACGCCCCCGCGACATGGCCTCGACGTTCTTCGCGTCCCTCACCCCCGGGGCGTACGGTGGGCGGGGAGAATCGCGATTCAAGGAGGACCTTCGGCCCAGGGTACAGGACGCCTTCTTTGAGACAGGCAATGCGGTGTCGAGAACGCGTCGGCTGGTTGTTGTTTGTCTCATGATGCCCTTTTTCTTTCGTGAGGGGGTGTGCAGAACGTGCTCCAGAGAAAGTCTTAGTGACTACATGTATGCATAGATGGAGCAGGGTAGACTCGGCCAGGGGAGTAGGGTCAGTGATCTGCGGTTTCTTTGGATCCCAATCTCGAACGAGCTTTTTCCTTCTCGCGAGGTAAGGGAAGAAACACGGGAGGATCACCTCTAGACACTGAAAATGGCTAGTCCCCTTGGGAGTATCCCCTTTTGCTTCTCGTGAAAAGCACAAGATTGGTGTTTGTGTTTGTTTGTGTGCAGTTCAAGCGGCGGGATGCCATGCCATGCCATGCCACGCCATGTTGTCTCAGTCCAGCTTTTCTTCCACTACTTCTTCTACTTCTTCTGTGTATATTTCGTTTAGCTCAAGCCTCCACCAGCAGAGACGATAGTGTACGCAAACGCGTCGACTCCATGCGCAGTCACGAGCTACTACGACAAAAACGAAATCCTTCTTTTCTCTCTCTCTCTCTCTCTGTTTCAAAGTCGGGGAAGTGCGAGAAAAGAAAGGTGAGGATGCAGCCTCAAGGGTTCGGCAAGACGCGCGGCTCTGTTGCAACTGCTGCGTCCGCCACGAGCGTGCGAACGAAACCGGCCAGTGCTTGCTCTTGAAGAGGAGCAGACACAACATGCCCGGGGAGAGCGAGCACTCTTCGTCGGACATCGTGGGCGCGTTGCCAGATGTGAAAAAAAGAAAAAAAGAAAGAAAAAGACAAAAAGGTGAGAGGATAAGCAAGTGTTGATAGTTCGCATACAGTTGTGGACCACGTTCCTATCCCACCAAAAAGAAGGAAAGAAAACCTGAAAGGCAAGAAAATGAGCAAGCTCCGGTGGGATACCGTCGTTGAACCGGAGAGGGAGACGCCGGTCGCCGCAAGCCCGTCTCTTTTCTCCAAGCAACCTTGTTCCGATGGGGCTTTGTGTATCCTACAACGCCTTCCTACGAGAATGCGGAGACTGAAAGACGCGAAGAACTCATTCATCTCCTCGTGGTGTTACGGCATGCACCGCCCATCCAACGCCCACTTCTCCACAAAATCCCAATGTCTCTCTTTGTCCTCTCCACAGCTCTCTTGTTCCATCACACTCTTCAACACTTGATTAGGAAAGTAAGCAAGTGGGAGGAAAGTAGGGATAAGTCAAGAACGTCACGCCACGGCCGGGGAGATGGCTCAGCCTTCACGGCCAGCCGCGTTCAACTTCGCCGAGGCAAGAGACGCCGGCCGGGTTTGAATGGTGCCATGCGCCAAGGCTGGTCTTTTTCTCTTCTCCTTTTTCGGTTTCCTTTCTTGTTTGTCTCAAATGGTCTTTTTCTCCATCTTCTCGCCGTGGTTCCTTTGGTCTCTCTCCTGCCCTTCTGCGCCCGCTGCGCTGCCCATCTTTCTCTCTTCCTCATAACCTCCCCAGAGGCAGGCTCATGGACTTTCTCTCTACGGCTACACGCATAAAGCCTCGTGAGAAAAGCCCACTCATCCTCTAGCCAATCTGAGATGTGACCGCATCGGGCGTAAACCGCACAGGAAGAGAGAGAGCGGAAGGGTGGAGTGACAAACACGCACACCGAAAAAGATAAGTGGGAATAAGACCAGGGGGGACGTTCTCCTGGTAGTCCATGGCCCCTTGTCGGCCGCGCGGTTCTTCGGGCGCCTTGTTCGTCCCCAAGATTCCGTAGCACTTGGCCTACGCGGCAGCTTCCCGCCGCTCCCTTCGCTCCCCTCCACCACCAAGATCCCAAGGAAAAGAATATAGCTCCCATGAGGGAGGGTGGTAGCCAAGGGGAAAGGGGGACACTCTGGCCGGGGCCAGGTGACTATTTACGAGCATAACGGGTGCTCGGCTGGGTCCCGAAGGGGGACGGCGAGGGCGAGGGCGAGTGTGAGCGTGAGAGGCGGGAGGCCAGCGATAAGAGGCGAAGAGGGTGAGCCAACGCTTTCGACGCCACCCCAGGAGCACCATCACGTTCTGTCTCGCAATGGAAATCTGCCTTTCGCCGGGCCTCTTTTACTCCCTCTGCCGACCCCACCCCTCCTCATCCCTCTCCTCCCCATGGGATGGGATGGCCGCCCTCGTCAGAGCCCTCTTGTGCATAGATGTGACTGCTCCGGACGAGGAGTTGGCCAACGCCCGTCAAGCCTCGCCGGCTAAGTCTTCCTTCCCCAGGGTGTGCGTGTGTGTATGTGTAAGTGTAGATGTGTGTGTGTGTGTGTGTGTGTGTGTGTGTATGTGTATGTGTAGATGTGTGTGTGTGCGTGGATGTGAGTGTGTGTGTGTGTGTGTGTGTGTACGCGAATGTGTGTCGAGATGTCTGCGGCACAGGTACGACGAGGGTTGGCCAAGTCAGACGACATCCGATCAGATAGATTTCATCGGGCAATGGCTATCTGTCCGGTTCCTCCTCATCATTTCCCAAGCAAACCACAGCAGCCCCAACCAACCCACGCGATGATTGTCGTGCATTCTGCAGCTCCCTCTCTTCCGTTTCGATATTAAGACACAAAGGAACCGGCGAGGCGGTGGGGAGGGAAGAGGCGCAGAAGAGGGTTGAGGTACGACGAACAAGGAGTAATCGCATTAGGAAGCTGGATAAACGCCTCCTCCTCCCTCCGAAAGAAGTCGACTAAAAATTCAACGTAGATGGATCTCAACGATGGTCAGCTTCGGGAAGACGGGCGTGCGTAGCCGTTCATGTTCTTCCTTGGCCATTTTCTTTTTCTTTTCCTCTCCCGTGTCCATATCCTCTTCTTTTCTTTTTCTTTTTCTCTAAGCCAAGTGCTGGACCTCCGTTGACATTGTCCTTTTTTTCTTCTTTTTTTCGGATTAGATCACAAGAGAAGATGAGTGCTTTCTGCGACGAACATGCGTGACACAGCAGCTGCGGAAAGAAGGGGGTGTTCAAGGCGAAGGACAAAATAAACAACGAGGTTGGCTCATACACATGTGTTTCTCGTCGGCAGCGTTTGCCGCCGTGAGCGTCTCCATCTATTCTCTATGTTTTTGACAGATGCACCCGCAGGCCTAGCCTACTTGGTCTTACTCTTTTCTTTTTAAACCAAAACAAGTGTCTTTTTGTCTTACCATTCCTGCCTTCCCAAGTCTTAGATCAAGCCTCTTTTTCAATCCTTCTTTTCCTCTTTTTTTTTTTTCTTTTTCGCCCTCCACTCCCTCCCTCCTCTCTCGTACGTCTGCCGTCTGCATCATACCTCGCGGCTGAAGGAGGGGGCGAAAGCGCATCGTGATGACCTGCAGATGAGAGGGGGACGGACAGGCGGCTCTCGTCTCGCCTTGCAGCGTCCGGACAAGAAATTTCACCCAAGAGGTGGAGTTGCTGAGGAAGAAATCGCTTGGCCGCATGTTCAGTACATGCATCCCAACTAATACACTTTGATCCGCTCCTACATCTACATCTACATGTAGCCATTAGACGCACGAGTGGATGATATCCCCCATCCACGGATGTATGCTGCTATGCTGCTATGCTGAGCCCCTCCCTCTCCCGACAGCCATTCCAGGAATTGCGCGTCTTCAAGGCAGACGCGACGAGATCCCTTTGCCTTCGCCTCATTCATTCTCTTTTTAGAAAAAAATGGAAAAAAATGAAAGAAAAGAGCCCATGCGTGTGATATTCTTAGTCTCCGAATTTTATTTTATCGCAGCAGGAATTGAAAAACTGGCAAGCAGAGCGAGGAAAGAGCCCAAGCAACGAAAAAGAAAAGGTAACATTAGCATGTGCACACTGTCCTTTTCCACAGCCAGCCATATCCCCCTAAGTCTCTCTCTCTCTGCAGTGGCCCCGGCTCTCGAGCCACAAGAGCGTGAAGCGGGCGCCATGGCGGGGAGGAGGACCCGGGGGCTTGTCCTTTGCCTCTC